AGAAGACACCGAGGAGGAGGAGGAGGAAATTGTTGGAGCGCCGGCGGCGGCGCTCTCTGAGCAGGTGATTCCGTTGCTGCGGTACTTGGATCGCAAGGTCGATAAATACGCCGACCCACTCCAGCCGGGATCTTACATCGAGTTAGTGCGCAGGCGGACTCGCACTAAAGTCCACACCAGCAAGCTATTAGCTAGAGTGGACCAGGAGTTGAGGGACTTGAAGGAGAAGCATGAGTGCTTGTGGGGTCAGTACAAGCTTAATCAGAAATTCTACAAGCACTCCGAGAAGATGAAGGATGAGAAACTGGGCGAGCTCACCAAGGAGCAGGTGAAGGTCAAGGAAGCACTCGATTCTGAGCAGGCCCAGAATCGGATTTTGTCAGAGGAGCTCGTGCGACAGACGCGGTTGTTGGAACAATGTCAGTTCGCACGGCAGGCGGATGAAGAATTAATCCGCAGGTTACAATCAGAGTGTGGCGAATTGAGAGCGCAACGTGCTGAAGCCGAATCGCAATTAGTGCTAATCGAAGAGGATCGCAGGAAGGAGGCGGATCGCACGAAGGTGGAGACGGCGAGGCGAGTCGCCCACTGTCTCAAGGGCTACGCCCACTGGGAAGTGAAGGCGCAGGAGAAACTCACACTGCGTGAGTTTGAATTGCGCGCAGCCGGGTTGTTGTCAGGCGACAGTAGGAGTCGGCGGAAGGTAGCGAAGAAGCTCGAGGCCTTTCTGTCGAAGGCACAGGATACCATGTCCGCCCTCGAGGGGGAGGTGTCCGCGGCGTTGCAGCGGTTGGGACTGCGCAGTCGAGCGGAAGAGTGGCAGGGTAGGGAGTTAGTGCGCGGTAGTCGGCCGCGCAGGAGACGTAGTACAGGTTCCGCGGAGTGTAGTGTAGCGTGGTTCCGTGCAGGCGTGTAGCGTAGTACAGTGTAGTGCTAGGTAGGACTTAGAAGGTATAAAATAGTTCCAGGCGTTTTGCCTGGGGTTCTTTCCCAAACTCAGAAGTATAGATCAGGAACCCATTTCCTTTGCGTGTTTGTGTCCTTGAGTTCTGTCACCACGCAGGAGGAGTTACAACTTAGCGTTCCGCATTTTGTAGCTGAAGGCCTTCGGCCGAATGTTCAGAGCTAGTACATTGGTTAGAGACTTGAGTAGTTCGGATCTGCACCTGCGGGTGACTGCCGATGCTCAGAGCCAGTGACTAGTTAGATACTTGAACAGTTTCGCCCCTACACCTTCGAGTGTTTCTTTCTGATTGTACTCCTTGGGATTTTTCCCCTGAATGCCAAAGTGAAGTTTTGCTACTTCGTGTAAGCCTTGGTTGTAAATTCAGGTTACGCTGCAGCAGGTGCCTTGAGGGTAACCCCTGTAGTATTTCTGGGAATGACAAGTGCCTGAGAATTCAAACTCTTCAATAGACTGTTGTTGTGTTACTGGAATGTTTCACAGTGAGTCCTTCAGTGCGGACCTGTGTTCTCTGCGCGTTTTGTGAGTTGAGAGTGTTGTTCACCGCGTATGAGTGACTTCGATCCGAAGTAGGTAGTCCAAACCGGGTTTCCTACACTAGCAGCAAGCTAGTGGAAGCGTTGTAAAAGCCGGACTTGGAAGTCACTGCCCGCAGCTTTGCCGAGTGTGCTCGTGAGAGACTTCCCCCCTGAAATCTTGAAGTAGAGGTCCTAACGGATCTCTGGGTTGTGTTTCTGTAGTTTCAGGTGTGTGTGTGTGTGTGTGTTACGCTGCACTGTGCGACCTCCGAGTGCGCTCCGAGTGGACACTTGCAGTATTTCTGGGAGTGACAGTTGCCTGAGAATTCAAACTCCTCAATAGTCTGTTAAAACGTGACACTTTGTACCCTGTGTGTTCCTCTGTCCCTGTGGGTTCGACCTTTCTACCACTATATTGCAGTTTTAGCCTTTAGTGGGTTATTACAAGTATGCTGATCCCCGCCATCCTGGGTCCTACGTCGAATTGGTGCGCAGGCGAACGCGCACCAAGGTCAGGACCAGTAGCTCGTTGGCTTCCTTGGACGAGACCATCAAGGACCTGCGGTTGAAGAACGACGCCCTGCGTGGACAACTGGTCATTTCGCGGAAGGTGCAGAAGGCGGTCCACAAGATGCAGGAAGAGAAGCTCGAGGAAGCGAAGAAGGAATTGGTGAAGCAGCGAAAGAAGCTCGCGGAGGATCTCGATTCTGAGCAAGCTTAGAATCGCATCTTGTCAAAGGAGCTCGTGCGACAGACACGGTTACTAGAGCAGTGTCAGAGGGCACGTCAAGCCGATGAAGAGTTAATTCGTCACCTGCAATCGCAGTGCGGCGAATTGAGAGCGTAGCGTGCGGAGGCAGAGCTGCAGCTGGTAGAGGTTGAAGTCCATCGCCGGCGTGAGGATGATCGCACGCGGGAAGAGTTGGCAGAGCGAGTGAACCACTGTCTCAAAGGTTACACTCACTTGGAAGAGGCTGCGTAGGAGAAAATCACACTACGCGGATTAGAGATTCGTGGAGCGGAATTGATGTCGGGTGATAGTCGGAGTCGGCGGCGGGTCGCGAAGAGGTTTGACGCTTACCTGACGAGGTCGCGAGACGCCATTGCGAACCTCGAGGCAGAGGTGACAGCGGTGTTACGGCGGCTGGGATTGCGCAGTAGAGCCGAGGACTGGTCGGGTGGTGAGTTAGTGCACGGTAGTCCATCGCGCAGGAGACATAGTAGATGACATGCAGTGTAGTGTAGTATAGTGTAGAGTGTTAGTTAGGATCTCAGAGGGTATAAAGTAGTTCAAGGCGTCTTGCCTTGGGATTGTTCCAGTTTCGGAAGTGCAGATCAGGAACTCATTCTCTCTGCGTGTTTGTGTCCTTAGTTCTGTCACCGCGCAAGAGGAGCTACAGCTTGACGAAGATACCGCATTTTGTAACTGAAGGCCTTCGGCCGAATGTTCAGAGCTAGTGTACTAGTTAGATACTTGAGCAGTTTGGATCTACACCTGCGGGTGATTGCTGAATGCTCAGAGCTAGTAACTGGTTAGATACTTGAGCAGTTCGTCCTTACACCTTCGGGTGATTGTTCCTGTTTGTACTCCTTTGGGATATTTCCCCTGAATGCCAAAGTGAAGTTTTGTTACTTCGACTAAGCCTTGGTTGTAATTCAGGTTACGCTGTAGAAGAAGCCCTCGGGGCTAGCCTCTACAGTATTTCTGGAAATGACTAGTGCCTGAGAATTCAAACTCGTCAATAGACTGTTATGGTGTGCCACTGGATCTTTTCTCAGTTGAGTTTCTCAATTCGGACCTATATTCTCTGCGCGTTTTGTGAGTTGAGTGGGTTGTTCACCGTGTGTGAGTGACTTCGGTTTGATGAAGATACCGCATCCGAAGTATGAAGTCCAACCCGGGTGCTCTGCGCTAACAGAAACTAGTGGAAGGGTTGTAAAAGCCGGAGTTGGGAGTCACTACCTGCAGAGCCTCTGAATGTACTCGTGAGAAACTTTCCCCCTGAAATCTTAAGTAGAGTTCCTAATCGACCTCTTAGTTGTGCTTTTCCAGTTTCAGGTGTGTGTTGGGGTGAACTACGCTGCAATGTGAGTCCTACGAGTGACCTCCGAGTTGAGCACATGTGACAATCGCCTAAGAATTCAAACTCTTCAATAGTCTGTTAAACGTGACACTTTGTACTTTGTGTGTTACCTCTGGTCCTGTAACTCGACCTTTTTGCTGCTATACTACAATTTTAGCCTTTGGTGGGTTATTACAAACTACAAGATAATATGCAATAATGACTGTGTTTCATCCATATGAAATCAAGAGAAAAAATTTTCAGAGGTTTGTCATGCATGGCCAGTTGATATGTGGAGCTCGACTAAGACTTCCTGCATCGGGAGACCATGACCGGAGTTCCCTTGGGCGTGCGAGGAATTGGAGCCCAAAAAAAATCTCTTCTTGAGATGAACCAGGGTCCACCGGAAATTCGTCACAATACGATGCATGAACAAGAGCACCTGCAGCTTCGCCACCTCCTTGCCTGGACAGCTCCGTGCCCCGGATCCGAACGGTGGGTACGTGTAAGTGTACGGACTCCCGTTCTCAAATCTGGATGGGTCGAATTCAAATGACTTTTCGAAGAAAGCAGGGCTCTGGTGTGGCTTCTCTGCCAACCATACCTCCCGTAAACAGTTAACAAATAAATACGGGAAGCATCGCCCTTCCTATTTTTTTCCTTATACAGATTCTGCCATCGAGTATTGAAGCACTGTATCCATTGTCTTTGTGCTGTACTTTGTGTCTGTTACAACTTGACAAATTTGCTGGTGCAGTGACGGATTCAAGACTGTTCTGCCGCTCTTAACTCACCCTATTTATGATCAGAGTACAGGATCGGACTTGAACCTACTCGAGCAGTCTTCAAGTCTGATGCGTCTTGGAAAAACACTGCAATCTCCTATCCATAAACAACTATAGCCGCAAGAATAAGAAACCCTCAACAGTCTTTTTGTTAGTACGTGTACCTTCCATCCTTTCGGAATGGTGTAGCCCTGGTTCTCAACATCTTCAGTGGTTCTGCGGAAGCAAATGACGACCCGAGGATACAGACGTATTACTTCCTGAATAACCATATATGCTTCATCTTGCGCAAATCTTCTACTTGCAGCCTTTCTTGGTTTTCACACCTTTCCGCAGAACACCGGTGTGCTCTGCACTCACCTCCTTGTTCAGCATCTATTTTTCCATTACCAAAATAAACACCATTAGACCAGATCCGACCCCAGCGTTCGATAACCGCAGGAGTCTAAAACCTTGCAAATTCTCATCATCTGACCTAAGTCCTGGGGCACATATTTGACGTCAATAGACGAGCATCCAAGGAGACTTATCCACATACAAATTAGTTTTAAACAGTAAATCAGATCATATGTAATTCCGATAGAGGGTGTTCCCACCCACCAGTGAAAACTGATGCAATCATAGATATCGATTACACCAACTTCTTATTAGCTTATCGTAAATATGGGGACATATTCCAACAGCATCGATCGTAAAGGTGAGGACGGAAGCAGTGGTATCATGGGATGCCAGGAGAGGTAAAAACAGATTGTCCACCATCTCTTCGTCTGTGTTCATATGACCGTGGTCATCTTTCTCCGTGAGCAGAAGGGAGAGCAGGTCTTATCAGGAGCAGTGCTTCCCTCTCAGCTTGAAATGGATCAAAGGTTTCGCACCCATGACAGATCTCGCCTGACACATGCTCTGTTGTAAGCACATCCTGGCAAATTAAGGGCTTTGGCAAGTGCTTACCACAGAGCGCTTGCCATTGTTATCGCAAGCCCTCCTGGACCCCACAAATTAAGAGAGTGCTAAAAGGCTTCAAGCTCCTCTGGCTCAGTTAATCTCATTCGAACATCTCATGCAAAGGCACAACGCTTGGTAACTTGAAAAGTGTTGATCTCATGTTCTATTTCTCCAGAAATCCAGTTTTTATACGCATGTTTGAGACAGTTCAGATCCATCTTGGCCACTTAACTTAGAGCTGATTCTCGGGACATAAACCTTTTCACCGAATGTCATCTGGAGACCCTGTAGGCGTCACCAGACTTCACTATCAACACATGCTTAGGGTAAGCCTGACAGGAGGATCAGGCCGTGCGCTTTGGAAGAGGCCGTGTTCGTTGTAAACGAGAAATCTTTTTCCTTTGGGCGGATCCGTTGCCACTGCCGTCTCACCTATAACATTGAATTTGAACATAGTCCCGTACTTAACAATTTTCTCCTCCAACATTGCCGCAAAGAATCATTTCGGATAGCCGTGAAAAAGCCCATTGTGTCTCCAACGAAAGTTAGTCCAAGTCGACCAGGTGAAAATGGCAAAGTGCAATTCACTGAAGAAAATAGCCACTTCACAAAGAGCCAGGCTGAGATTATGGCCACCAAAATCAATCATAATTAGGTGCCACTCGTCCACAGAGATACATCTTGAGCTTGGGAGTATACATAAGTCGGATGTGTTCCCTCCATCTTGAAGTTGCTGAGGAAGCCAGAAGTTCATCGGGAGCTCTCAGCTGCGCCATCACTCAGAGCAGGCATCAGCATTTCTCAGGCATTTCTGAATTGCCGCTTGAAGAGCTTCTCTCTTCCACCTTCAGAAGCCCGAGGACAGTCCAGCTCAATTAGAGCTCAGGTTTCTGATGCTTTTTGAGTCGACACTCCCTCTCCGAGGCTTAGAAGGAAGCTCGTGCAATGGACACCGAAGACGACGTTACGAGGATGCATGAAACAGAGCGTAATTGGTGCATCAATTGCACATTGAGCTGCCAATCTGCAAACACAGGAAGCAAGACTTCTCTAACTCTGACAGGTGGTCCTTCATGGTCTTACCTGAAAATTCTGTCACTCCGGGTGTAAAGGGCAAGAAAGAATGGCATTATGTTCTTATCATTATACAGCTGTTCTTGGAATATACAAGCATGTTCTAGATTATACATGAGGATCTCCGCATGACGGATGTTTGGCAATGGCAAGGCGGTGAGCAACCCAAATGCAGCGTTCGGTTATGGCTATAACTGATCATTCGGCGGTTAAAACACTAATTGTTTGTACACAGTTTGGACATACTGGAGTGCATGTGTCACAACGAGGTTAGCCATTTCATACCCACGTGAAATTGTGTACTCACGTGCTTTTCATGAAAATCCTCGACTTTTGTCTTATAGCTTATGATGTTAAATTGCCAACACTAAGAAATCATTGACATGCGTACAATCAACTAAAAAGGAAACAGCATCAAAGATTGCAAGGAAGAAACAAAGGACTGGCCCCACAAGGCAATTCTATACTACTGCTTGACTTGGTTCTGCCTAACTACCTGGTGGCGCCCTTCGATTCGAATTGTCGTCGTCGATAACGGTAACCGCGGCGGGCGGGTGGACAATGGCCCGTAACGTGTCAGAAGTTAGAAGGAAGTTGTGAGCGCTGAAGAAACCCTCGACGACGACGAGGGCGGGCAGAACGGCTGGAGTCTGTGCGGGAGTCAAGCCCAAGTCGCACTGGGCGATTGAGAACCTCGAGCCTTGCGTTGAGAGAGTGCGCCGACGAGATTGAGAGGATAGAAGGCGGCATTCGAGTGGTTGTGTAGACTCTCTAACAGGCTCAAGATTTTCGAGCGATGAGAGAATTTACGGAGGTCGGTCCCCGTGTCCTGATTCCGTGATTTTGTATGACATATGACTGAGACTGGGCCCTTGTTCTGAACTTGAAACGAAAAGCAGAGGATAACACCTTTTGCGTGTGAATGACTTTTGGGGTTGGATATGGACCCTGTCGGAGGTGCAAGCTCTAGCTCAGCGGAAGAGCCGAGATATGTAAAGCTAATCCAAGAGATTGAAACTGAATGCAAAGTTTGTGGGCACTGTGGTACCATGTTTGGAGTGGGCAAAGCACGTGGTGATTGCGTGATATGCACCGACGACAGACAGTTGGGACTATTACCGTGAGTATATTTTCTACGCTGCAAATTATTCACATAAATGGTGCTACGCATAGCTGGAGACGCTCACAGACTCAAGGTTCTGGCAAGGATGCCCAGTACGACGTTATCTGACATATTCCGTAATTCAATATCATAGGTGGGGCCAGAGTTGGGGTACATATTCACAACTGAGGAGACTTGAAGCACCTCTCCTACTTCGGAACGCTGAGAGGGATCTGGTGGAGATATCATATACTACAAAACGTCAACGCTGCTTCCTTATTCTTAATCCATGTATGCCAAAGTCCTTTGTCGGAACTTGGGATTCAAGTGTCAATCAGTTGCAATTGTTTCGGATATGATCTTCTTTGCTGCGATACAATTTTGAAAACTCGCATGCGATGATGCGAAAGCTGAGTGATAAGAAATCAAGTTAAACGGTATATGTTTTGATAATAATTTCAATTAACATTGTGAGGCCACATGAATCTTGCACTGATCATTATGGAATGTTACCCAGTCGGAAACATTTTGTGGGGAAGTACAACGTTCTTGGATGATGCTGCCATAGTAACTATCAAAAAGCTGGGTGGAATACGGGCGATTGCTGTATCTCATCCACACGAACTATTTGGTTATGCCAAGTGGGCGGTAACGTTTCAGTGTCCAGTATATATACATGAAAGGTATGACGCTGATGTAGTCTTCACAAACAGTATACTTCTTTGCCAGCAACTTTTCAGCTGAGGTCATTATTACACTTTTGAATGATAAGTTGTAAGTGTCAAATGTCTTGTAAGAATTCCTACGATACTATCCAAATTGACGCAGTTCATGTCGCTTCTGTCGGTCTTGTTTCTGTTTTGCAGAGACAAGAATTTGGTTGTTCATGACACTGAATTTATCGAAACCTGGGATGGAGAGGAACTTGCTTTATGTAGTCAGATCAAACTGATACGGTTGGGTGGGCACTATGATGGTGGTGCGATTTTGCATTGGACGAATAATGGTCTGGATCAAGACGGAAAAGGTGTGATCTTATGTGCCGATATGTTGCAGGTGAGCTCACTGTACCTTCCTTTACAGGATTATCAGCTGATGTTTAGTTTGGAGCTCATGATTATCTCACAATTTCAATGTATGATAAACATATTCTTATAAACATATAGGCTTAATAAGGAAAGACCTGAAGAGAACGATGGCGTGGGTGAAGGGTTACCAGATGATATATTTACCCAGGTTTCCTCGCACAATTTTTTCTTTGGAAGGACAATATAGCAATTTCAGTCAGTTCAAAAGTCATTGAACTTCAGATAAGAAGCACATATATTTGGCCCTTGTGAGATGTGAAACAATCTCACCTTAGGATCTAAAGGATAAGGGACTTTACTGTCAGCCATGACCAACCAGTCTTGACTAGAAAAGGGCCTAAGGAAAGGGGTCTTTCATGATGGGATATTTCTGTTAATGCCGAAAGTTATATTTATTTTACAGGTTGGGGAAGATGGTCAAACTGTGAGCTCAATGAGATCCTATCACAATTTTATTCCTATCTCAGAATCAGATGTACAACGTATAATCTGGAAGTTGCTCTCCGTGGAATATGAGCGACTTTATGCCTCAGGAAATATCAGAGACCTTCCAGTCAATGCAAAGGTGCTTACTAATCTTTCACTTGAAAAATATGCTTGTGTCATACATATACCCGAAGACGAAAAGGAGAAGATTCGAGATTTGGTAGAACAACGCCTTCATTTGTATCAGTAAACAGCAATTCGTCATTGACGAATAGCAGCCCTAGTATGTGCAAAAACTTTGAGATTCAGCAATATGAAACCAGAAGAAGAGAACATGCATACAGATTTTTTATTTGCTAATGAGTATTGTCATTTGTAAGAGCCCATCAAATTGCATTCATTTCTCTGTACATGCAAAAATTTACATGATGTGAAAATAAAATTCTTCTCCTATCATGATTGTATATTTAAATGAGATATTGAGAGTGACATGCCTACAAAACTTGATGTGGATATCCATCGAATTGTAGAGAGAGATTTCAATGGCCAGGTTATAGTAAAGTATGTAGAAAAAAAACATCATGTTTTCAACGTAGCATCCTCTGATGTTCTGTTCTTTGTATTTTTTTCTTGTGTTTTTCATTTATAGATACTATTATTACGTTGGCTAAATCAAACTACACAAGAGATACCTATTTATTATTAAAATATGTATCTAAAATTAATTCATTCACTTTAATTATAAAATTCGCTTGTATAATCTTATTGAATCACCACCACTATCACCACACTACCCACTCCACTTATATTCAAGAGCACAGATTGTCATTGGATCAAAAACTCTTATCATATGTAGAATTGTCCATAAATATGAAAATTTTTATACTAATTACATTTTTTAGCATTCGTAATTCAAATTTTTAAAAAATTCAATTTTAAAGATTTTTAATTCAATAAATCAATCAAAAAATAGTGAAAATTTCTCTTATTATATTTCTATGTTTATTTTATGAACTCAATCACAGATCATAGTTAAATTTAAGTTGGTATAGTTCCAGATTCATATATTAATACTACCACAAACACACATAATTATGATTGAAGATTTCGTTCATTAATCATATTAGCAGAAATATAAATGTTACGATCGTAGTTTCGGGCGTTATAATTTTGCAAATGGAAAACGGACCACCTAAACCATAAGTATACTTCATTTTATCTCTCACTCCTTATGACCCACATCAATCAGGCATTCTCCATATTCTACATTATCGACATAATAGATTATGATTTGCATTTTTATTGATCAGCCATGAATGGTCATTGTTTTGACAAAAACAAAAGTAAACGGTTATGCTAGAAGGTGCAAAATTAATTGGAGCAGGAGCAGCTACCATTGCTTTAGCGGGAGCTGCTGTAGGTATTGGAAACGTTTTTAGTGTGCGCCTCGGCAGAGCGCGTTTGGATCAGCGAAGGTTCACAGATTATCGCAGGGCCTTAGCCCTAACCTGTAGCGGGAACAGACCGCAGGGATGATTTCCAATCTGATATGTAGATATATATATATATATATATAATTCGATTAGCCCGTTAAATTATGTTTTATATTCTAGACGGTGTAAGAATTCATAGCCCAACGAAGTATATATATGTTTGGAATATAAACAGTAATCATATTATATTGGATAGACACAACTGGATGATATTAGACCAAAATTATTCGTGAATATTAACTTCTTTCTATTCTAGTCATGCATTTACAAATGTCTGCATTGCGCTTTGTATTTCACAAAGTCACCCCATTCTGCATGCGGCAGTTGAAAACCTTTTGCGATGGACTATAACTTTAGCATCGTACTTAGATAGTAGCATCTAATATGAAAGAAATTAAAACTATGGTCGCCTTACTAGATTCAGGCTCCATACCTTGCTGCCTAAAACAGTAACTTAAGAGGGAAATCATCAACGAGTCATGCTTGAGTTCTGATTTGAGACTTGAGGCATGACTTTCACGAGAAAGTGCTCGGATCCAGGGGTCGAATTTTGATATGCAAGCATTATTTAAAGTTGAGGCCTGAATCGTCTTCGAAAGTTTGCCCGAACTGCCAATCTGCCGGTGCCACATCGATAAAGTCCAAGGTCTCTTTGGTCAGTCCCAGAGTGACACGGAAGCTCAGAGCTTGGCCGACGAGTTCTGGGGGTCCGTCTGATGCCCAATTCTGACCCCAGTTTCGTTGCATGGAGATCCACTCGGATCTCGTCCCTTTAATCGCCACTGCCTGCACGTCTCCGGCCCCCGCCACATTCATCACCAGCACCAGGAAAAACCAATTATTCCCGTTGATTTGGAAGCGCACCCCTCCTTGTTTCAAGCACGACACCCTGAATCAGCACACGCATCGAGCACACATCAATTCCGTGGACTGCTGGGAGATGATGCAAGGGAGCAGCACTGATTTCTACTCGAGCCTTACGTCGATGGTCACCTCGTTCGAGACTGACAGACTTTAGATTGCAGATGCAACACTTGTGACAGATCGTAGTAGGAGCTCCAGTGGACGTACCTCCTGTACTGGACGGGAATGACTCCGCCGACGGGCTGCGCGAGGGTAGCGAACATGGGGTAGGAGAGGTCGAAATGCGGCTGAGGAGGGTCGCACCAGCCTCCAAAGGATCCCGGGGGGCAGAAATTGGTGGCGGTGACAGTGATGCTCACGGTTCCATTCGCCAGGCACCAGTCGCTCTCGGAAGCTATGCATTGTATCTGAAAGCAGCCTCCGCAGGTGAGCCCATCGTTGAAGAGCGCGGTGCTCAGAGCCGTCGTCTCCACCCCGTAGCCATTTTCGAAGAGATTACCATATCCGCACGCACCACCTACAGCATGAATGAGGAGTCCAATGTCGATCCACATAAAGGTCAATTGTACACGTATACACGATGACGAGGTTGGTTCTAGCTCCCTAATATTCTCAGAGACTAATCAAGGAGTAGAATACAATGGCGGGATTTCACTTTGGGGTCTCAAAATTCGTGCTTATGAATATTATCTGCAGGTCAACCAGCGCCATGGCCCAGTTCAGCGAAGTGAATGAAAAGTACAAGGGAAGAAAAGGTGGTGTGAAGCCTTTGAATCCCTGCAATGATCCGGAACGAACCTAAGGTGCCGGAGGCGTCGTTTCCACCGTAATATGTAGCGCGAGCACCCCTCGTAAACTCCGTTACTTCCCATGGATTTTGAGCAGTTGCCACTTGCGCAGTTCTGAAGACGCAGGTCATAACTGCAATTAAGAGGACTTCCCAAACTCGAGTTGGATGCCGAGGAGCAGCCCAAGAGCAGCGCGTGGTCATTGTTTCCATTTCAAAACTGTGCAGAGACACGCACATATGCGAAAGAGGTCATGATTGATTGAAGGTCAGAATTAAGTGCACAGGCCTGAACTGAACGAGCGCAAGCTTCATACTGAACTTCATCCCATGCTCGAGTTAGGATGGCACTTGAGTATCCTATGCTAAGGAGCTAACTCCTGAACATACAATCTGCTAATACAAATTCGTGCATTTGCATTGAGAAGTTGCGATGTCAGTGACGGTGAAAACAGGCTCAAGCTAAATCATTAAACTTTCATCGATGAGCCCAGGTGAGATCATCCAAATCTGACATCTTAGTTTTTGCAGCTAACAAGAGCAAATGTACCAAAAAATCCGTCGCAAGTTGAGTAAATGCTCAAAACTTCAGAAATTGAATGTACGGCGTTAGAATCCCATGCCGGAACTAGTCGTAGAAAGGACCACCAGATAGAAAAATATTTCTACGGAAAGCGAAACTAGATAACCAAATAAACCAACGGCACTTGACGCGAAATATGTCTTCTTCTCCACTTTGGTCGCAATCGAATATTGCTGGACTAAATGCGTAGTCATCAACTGATGTCAAGCTCGAGAGTACGAGAAACTACTGTCTGTAATGGATGATAATGAGTATGGATTGACTGCTAAAACTGAATCTGAAGTCTTTAAGATAAGGCCCGAGGATCCCTATAATATAAAGCAAGTCAACAACAAACGTATGAAATTTATGAGAAAGCAAGAGAACATCGACCGTGTCATTTCAGAAATACAATAGGCAAGACTTAGAGAGGTCAATTGATCGAGGATATATAGAGACAGTCTTTGCTGCAACATTCCACCTTGTAGATGTAAGCGCTGACGATGTCTAGATGTCGGCAAATCAACAATTTTATCTCCTTTTCTATAAGAATGTTAGAAGAATGCCAAACTCCTCACACTCGTTGAGCTACTTCCAATACTTCGAAGCTTTGGCGAAAACAAGAGCTTATCGTGTGGTTCGACCTGAGCCAAAATAATGATCGAAGTTCAGCCCTTTAAGCTCAGAAAATCGAGCATGACGTATACTACTAATTAAGAGCTTGAGTACTGAACATAACAAAACATTATTTTACAAATATATGTGGAGTTTGGATTGTATGTGGAATCAGCAGCCACAAACAGCAATTCAGGAGAATACTATTGTGTCGTGAACTACTTTGCGTGATTTGTGATGTCGTAAAGCATTGATCAGATAGATCATACGCCAAAGTCACATGCAGCCTTGAGTCACATTCTTAACGGAGCTTCGCTGTTAGCTTAAGTGAACAGTCGTTCGATTTTGCTTTGTTTGAATATTTTCTATCAATCACGCACAAATCGCTAGCAGCTCATCAAGCATGTAGACTACAGTAATAGAGTGGCATGCACATGAGAAGACAGTGGCTTTCCAGCGCCTTGAGCTCGCTACCTCAAGTATACTGTTCAAGGGATCTCCAAGTTGGAGTCGACATCGATGGAGCAGACTCGGTCATCCAAATTTGATCACGTCATGTATGAATGAGTTAAGAAAGCGTGCAACCTCATGATCTTGTCCACGATCGACTGCTTTGACTTGCCAATGTCAAAAACTACCTGTATCGACTGGATCAAACTTTGCACCTTAATACTCCATTGCACACAGACCTTCCACATGAAGGGAGCCTCACCGACTTAGCCACGCATGGATTAGTCCATGCCGAACATTCTCACGCACACCCATCATGCTCACGACCCGATTATAAGCACGAACACTGAAAATAAAATTTGTCACTCTGATTCTTCCCGTCAACATTCCATGCGCGTTTTGTTTTTATGGATTGTAATGCATCCAGGCACAACAGAGAGACGCAAGAAGAAGCACATGCACAAGCTATGAGATGTATCTATCTCTTTGCTTATGATGGAGGCTACTTCTAGATTATCTATCTCTACTCATGTAAGGAGAACACTCTCTGAAGAAATGACTTGACGTCTGAGAAGTATTGTAAGAGCGTGAACGAGACTTTACTGAACTCGAAGTCTGCGAGTGGTCAATAACTTATAAAATTAATATGACAGATGTTCTCCAGGTAAACACTCTCGGCGTATAGTCGAGAGAGAATTATTTCAGAAAATCCAAATCTCAACAGCTCAAGTCGGTACTACATCCAACTCAGTTTCAATCTGAAATTTTTCTTTATGCGTTCTCAAAATTAAACCTTCGAGTATATAGCCGATTTAACCTCAGCATCTGATCATTTACATTCTGTAAAATCGATCGATACTCTCTTCTTATATCTTATCAAGTGAAAACCACCTTCATTTATTGGAAATGGTTTTGAAGTTCTTTCCTCTTCATACTATGGAATCTAAATTTCAGGGGCCGTTGGAGCTAGCCTGAAGTTGGCTAGCATTCTCTCCCGGTCACGACGAGTCGATTAGCCTGATTATGTGCTATGGGATTGTGTTTTTGCTCTCAGCCTTTAGTAAATCTGCTTGACACGAATCTTCACGTTTATTGCGCCAAGTGCAGTTCTTGAACTTGACAAAACCAGTTGTTTCTTAATTCTACATCTCTCTCAAAATAATATACTCTCATTTTGGAAAAATGAAGCTTAAATTTACTGCTTCCCTGATTCCAGCTGTTATGTCCAAAGTACTATCTCGGGAAAGTATCTTCAAAAGCTTTTCAATAGTCTGCTTAATCGAGGACACATTGTTTCATTGAGTATGGAATAAAATTCAGCAAAGTAATGTGTTTGAGTGTAGGAATCTAGAGGCAATGCAAAATCGCTTTCAATTGTTGGCTCCAATTAGTAGGTTTTCGATCATAATTGAGGTTGATTTTCAACCTACTAGTTTGCTCAATGGCATGCAGAGTCATAACTTGTGTTATTCCATTTTTCTTGCAATCCGTGCAGGTAAATAGTTTTGGTTCAAAAGCATAACAAATTCTAAAGAGTGACTTTGCTTAGAATCAATCTTGTAACATCGGCTATGCTAAATATAATCACTATGAGAACTAATAGCTATCCAAATGAACCAGATAGAAACAGACCATCCAACATATATTATCTGAACCATTCTTTTGTCATAAGGATAAAATACTAGCTAGATTTTACATGAGATAAATGAGATTATAATAGTTACGCAATACACTAGTCGACAAATTCGAGTATCTAGAAATTTGAGTACAATCTCTTACTTATACATTGAGTTCGAATCCACACCTACATATTGATATAAAATGATATGAAGCTTACAGTTATGAACTTAAACCTTGGTTATTATTGCTCCATTTGTCATAATTTGAAGACTTTGGATAGTCATTCCCAAAGATATTGTTATTTAATATGTAAACAAGATAATTACCAACTCTGTACTGTATTTTTTGCTACCTTGTAATAAACCTATGGGCTCAAAAATCCTTATGTTATGTATTTCAATCTTTGTCCAGCAATATCTTGTTATTCTAATATATAGTAGACACCTTGCTTTGAGAAAAAAATAGGAAATATTTCAACTCGTAGAAAAAAGTTTGAGTATCCATATTACACAACTTATTCAGTATATAATAAAACTATTCCTACTAGCAAAATTACCAACCTCTAGAAACATATCTTGTATGTGAAAATGCTGATATGAGAGATGATTAAATCTAAAACTACACAGGAACAAAAATTTCAAAATGGATACTTTTTAACTAGTTCTAAGTAAAATTAAACCTATTGAAGAAGATTGATGTCAGAAAGATACAATCCATATTTCTCCAATTTGAAGAACATCAAGTCGAATCGTAGAAGATATCAAATCTTTTTATATCTCTTCACATAACTTTCCCAAGGTATTCAAGTTAGTCGCCAATGTAACACATTCTTAGAAATTAGTAACATAAACTTACAATTCTGAAACAAGTTTATTTGCTTAAGTACTTTAGTTTTTAACTACATGCTCTTGTAAACTTACTACTCTCAACAAAGTAGTATTAGGTTTATTTTCAAAGTGTGTCGGATAGAAATCAGTGCATGGCCTTGTTACAAGATATTTACTGTTTATAAAATATAATCTATTGCAAGAAAGCCTATTTGACCGTAGGAATTATATGTTTTTATATCATTTTTTGAATTATTGGGTATAAATTGAAAAAAATCTAAACATAAAAAATCATCATTTTGCTTTCTTCCAAATAATGCTATATGACATAAATTATTTTCATCTAATTCGATATAAACATCATATATTATAAACTGTATTATATTGAACCTTGGTGGTAGGTATGTATGATTCACGTGCTTGCCCATGTTCGGGCTAATTGGAAAAGTGAAATTGGGAAAGGAAGGGACCGACGATATTTTGGTGGCCATTACAATCTCACGATCGGGGCTAGCCCACGTCACTACTTGGAATTCACCCTTACAGATAGATGGAATTTGGTTCAGCAATCGGTGACTTTTGCAATTAAAGGCTAAAGTTCAGAAGTAACGTACGGTACGCAGGAGTGCCTTAGAAAATCACGAAATGCAAAGGTGGACAAAGCGCTCCACGTGGCAACAGTGAGCGAGGGTAACGTGCGTGCGGAGCGAAAAGCGAGAACGAGAGGAACTTTTCTTCGGGATTCAACGCTCGTAAAGACCCGTCGCGCAGGGCATCGATCCGAGAGATGGAGCAGCGGGAGGTCGTTTTCTCTCGTTCTCGTACGCAATCTCGAGACAACTTGCAAACCGACGACCGTACCAAACATTCCGAGGCGAATTTTCTCAAGATTGTCGTCCGATGATGCAAGTTTGGCTCACAGATCGCCGGGGCAGCCGGGCCACCGAGAAGTTGAGATTTGCCGTACCAAAAAGGCAGACAGACATCTTGGGATCCGTTTCCGCGGTGTCGTCTTGTGGCATGGGCTCGCCCACATTTCAGGAGTGCGTTGACATTTGTGGAATCGAAACCAGTGCGTCTATTGATGCTCCGCGACACTGAACTCGGCTTAGGTTCTGATAATGGCAAGTTATTCATCCTCGCGATCTGGAGACTAATTTATCGATGTGGTTTGAATTTTTCATCTGATTTGAGAGTTCTGCAGATGTGGAGCTTCGCTATCTTTATGAAATCGAGAGGCACAGCATGTGTGTGACGCAAAAAAAATCACTGCCTTGGCATCGCATCCTTACCGTAACTAGGCACGCCTTCCTGCCCAGGAAGGAACGTCTTGCCTCAGCGCGTAGTTGAGGTCTTATGAAAATCACTGGCTACTCCACTTCGTGACTGCTGGGAAAACTGACATTTCCGATTATTCCCGCCAGTGCTTCTCAAGAACGCCTTCGCAGATCAGATTTGGAGTTGGAGTTTGGAGTATTGTCCTCCTTACGATTCTGCGGTAAAAAAGCGTGAATCGTAGAAAAGAAGCTGCCAGCCATCTTTATGACATTTCCACCATTTCCACCAAAGCTGCGTAGTTTTCGTAAACGTTTTCGTGTAGCAGTGCTACATGAGCTCCTAGTCATGACATGAAGACGTCTTGAGCTCAACTGAGAAGACTTTTATTTGATTTTCTTGCTCTAAGATTTTCTCTCCATGTAGTACTTCGAAATCTTCAGATTTTACATGCTTCCGATCTGAATTTCTGGATCTTCCTCGCATGGTACAATTGTGAACTCTTACATTTGGATAGCCCACGGAATCGGAACTAGTTATACTTGACCGTCAACACCCAAATCCAACCTGAGAATACACTCGCCCTTGGGATTGCGATATTCCTGCCCGCCGTAAATGAGAGGAACTATCCCTCCTTGACCTCACTTGAAATAAGCATAATCACTCTTGTACATAAGTGCAGTGCTTGCAGTACGTCGTGCCTGCGGTGGAGTCAGAACATTCGCATGGGAAAAGCGTCCACACTGCTAAACTCTATCAAATCAGAAGCCTAATGAGTTTATTTCAGACTCTGGACGGTTGCTTAATTCCAAACGCAAGCAAGTGAAGCACTGGCGATGGATTCGGGGAAAGTTGAGTTTATAAGTATTTCCAGGCAAGACAGGAACGAGGTGTGCCGTGGCACAAATGGGGGAAATTGTATGGAGAGGAAATATGTCACATGCTCACGCCTTTCGATGAACGCTGTAGCCATAACTCGCCAACGGCATGATGTCTTCGTCGCAGATCGAGCGTAATTGCGTACTCCGTGCGTTGTGTCGTCTCGACGTTGTCTACGTCATTACTTTAATAAACTGTTCTGTCGGCCCGCATAGGGACATGGTCTACTCGAAATCTGACGACAGATCTGACGTTCTCTTGACCTGATGCCGAGCTTTCCGACATCTCGACGTCTCGTATCGAAGATCGCATTCAGTCCTCGAGGCACAGGCTTGAGATTTAGCAGTGAATCTGCTGATCCGAGTCATTCGTGTGAACCTTCGAACGAAGTGCCTCAGACAAGGACAGAAATCATGGAGCTGTGCTCCGGAAGATTCTGTGGGCTAGACTTCAGCATGATTGAGGACATAATCCAGCTAATAGCTCCTCTTGAGCCCTGCGCTGCTGTTGGCTTGTTCATTTGGTCGGGGAGTTGACGGCGTTGGGCATCGGTCCACGTCACTGTGAGAAGGATGGCCAATTCTTGCACTTTCCAATGCCGTCTTGGCGATGTCAGTGACAATGCTACATTCTGGATACAGCAAACTACTTTCTTTTGTGCGGATATTCTCGAGGGATTTTCCAATTTTATGTTGATTCTCGTCTCGAGCTCATGACTGTAATGTTCAAAAGATCCATGTCATCGAATCTTTCTGGAATCCGGTGGTTTGTTCAATCCTCTTTGGCTCATGCCGAAAAGCTTGACCTCGGATAATTGAATTATCCAATCTTGCTGAACCTTTCTCGCAAACACCTCGAGAATTTGGGCATTCATTAGCACTTCGACCTGCGAATGTTTTACACCTCTAGCACTGCTACCTACTCCAAATGTAGACATGTCGTCTGTTCTGACTAAACTCGACATCCATAGACTGAGAAACTTGGCCAAAAGACGTAGCTCTTGGAACGGCGACCGCTGGTAAATGGCAGATGCCAAATTAGATTTTGCACAGATTCCTCAGTTCTACATTCTTTACGAGGAGATGGAAGCTTCTGAACACCGGCAGCACGCCGCTCTGTCGAGGGAATCCGATTTAGAGTACTTACTTCGACGGTGAGAGCTGTGGTCGAGCAATCGACCTCGAGGACGTCCATACGATCGCTATGCCGACTAACGTGGAATTTACTCTCGAATCAGAGCCAGAAATGGACTCTCCTGACGACTATGCCGCACCAGCGACGACCTCGCCGTCGTCGGGGGAGATCACCCCAAAATCAGAACTCGAATACCGAAGAAGGTTTTTGGAATTCATCGATGGCTTCACAACGATGATTCGGCCCACAATGTGGTCGCAGAGGGCGATGATGTACAAGCCCGATCCTCCGCCGCCACCCGCCGTCTGCAGGGCCGAGGAACCCGAGGAAGATCACTTGAACTTCGCCAAACAACTCGAACAAGTGCTGCGCATCGAGAAGCTCCAAAGTATTAAGAAGCTGAAGGTGAACAAGGATTACTGGGCCAGGAAGGATACTAGCATCCAGAGCCTCTACTACCAACCGAAGAAGGATATGAAACCGAAGATCAGAGACATATTCGCGACGTGTAAGCCTTACATTCCGCTGCTGCTGCCCGACGATGCGCACGAGCCCGAATGCAACCTCTCGTGCGACACATGGAACAGGGACATCAATCCTCCGTTCCTCTCTCGCCTCGAGAATGTGAAGATTCTAATCGGCCACCATACCTTCGCGCAGCTTTTCTACGTCAACCACTCGGAGCTGCTGGGCAAGGATCCCTACGGCAGCAAAGTGTTCCAATGCAAGAGAATCAAGCCGGGCCTGCCTCAAGTGTCGCTCGACGCTCGGCGCCAGTTCACGAGGAGGAAGGATTACAAGCACTTGATGCCGACGCAGTTCGCCGTCAAGATTGTGGACAAGCTCGATCCGCGATCGGAGAAATTCAGGCTGTACACGGAAGTGACGTGCCTGACGAAGCTACTGGAGCACCAGCACATCGTCCGCGCGGAAGAGGTGCTCGAGAGCGAGACGGAGATCTACATCGTGACCGAGCTCTGCTGCGGCCCCAGAGGAGCGCTGACGCTCGATGAGTACTTTCCCGTGGCCACCGACGAATCAGCTCAGTGGATTTTTCAGCAGCTCGTGGACGCAGTCCTACACATGCACAAACGGGGCGTGGTTCACAACTGCTTGACGCCGCAGAACGTGATGTTCATGGACGATTATGACGAGGGGATGGACGGCACCCTCGCCACTTGCCGCTGGAGAACTGACTTTTTCAGCCGCGTCAAAATCATCGACTTCAACAAAGCAGTCTACGATCCTCAGCTCTCGTCCGGCTACAAGGAATTCTTTCAGCCCACCGATTACTTCACGATGGAGGAGCTTGCAGCTTCTCGAGCCGATCCCCAAAATGATATCAAGGCCTTGGGGCGCATTTTGCTGGCCATTCTGGTCGGGCGCATGCCTGTATTGAACAAGTACTACCCTTACCGAGCTCGAATCGAGCATCCAGAGTATCAGTACCGAACGAAATTCAATCCTCTGATGGTGGACTTGTACGAGAGGATTTTTCTGGCCATCCAAGGCGAGCCTGACTACCCTCCGACCATGGAGGCCATCAGAAATCATCCGTGGGTGGATGCGGCTTTCGCACTTCGCAGTAGACGGTTGAAAGATAGACCACCAGTTAGTACTGATTACATGAATTGTGAAACCTACTTGGACAAGTTTTGCTTTCCTGGTTGCAGGTATCACCATGTAAAAAATTATCCCCACGATTGCCAACACAAACAGCAAACCTCTCACTGATTTCCAAATGCGACACTGTATTCAGCAAATTTTGATGCGGAGTTGAGATATAACTCAGATTATGCTTTTCATCGGTCTGTCATTCAGATCCAGAACTTTCAATCCGGATGTCCACTCGAACAAAATGTTTGTATGTAGAAGAGATTCACGTGTGTATTGCCGATTCTGGTCTAGGAGCACAATGGAATGGGAATCCTTACTTACCGTGCATGTTCATCGTTCACGACATGGAGGTTTCCACTTTTATGGTTGATCACGTATAGAACGTAATTTAATGCTAGATGAAATTCTCTAGATTTCATCCAGCAATGAAAAAAGTGAATGTGGTTACGATGACGGAGTTGATGGCGAAATATTTGATGCAGAAAAGGTGAAGTTAATGCCTTTATGTTCAAGAAGTTGTTGATTGCAATTCTTGTGCATACAGTAGTAAGCACAAGAGTTTTTTATGCTCTTTATGGTTCTTCGTGATGCATTTTGTGTACCCATGAGAGAGGAAGTATAGTGAGTTGAGATATACAATGCAGAAACTAGTGTTGGAGAAGATCTCTTGCTCACCAACAAGCAGAAGAATTGCTCGGAAAAAGTACTTGTCACTAGTGAAAAAACAGGCAGGACTCAAGTACCAGCTTAGGTAGCAAGGGTCATATAAAATTTCAAAACAAATAAAAAGTTGCGAAGCAGGTGCTTTTAGCCTTCAGAAGCCAAAGGAAAGTTCAGCTCAGTTTACCGGCTCACGTTTCTTATACTTGACAGTCGACACTTGCATGGGCTTGTACAGAACATTTTCCACTCATAACATAGCCTTCGGTATGTCAGAGGAGAACTGAATTAATTCGCTCGTAGTGGTCAGAGTTTCAATTGGAGTTATTATTGAAGTTCAAATCCTTACAAGAATTGTGCAACCTGTAGTAGAACAAGTTAGCCATTAAATCAAAACCGCTTCTGGACTATAGGACTGCGTGACGCCCACCTGTTGGATTCTTTCCAAGAATGGGGTCCTTCACCTGGTTATTTATATTTGACTTCTTTTCTCTTCCTAGGATGATGGCTTCCAATAAGTGAAAGGTGAACTTCAACCATGCTCATAGCAAATCTCATCCATGATAGAGTATTATCGAAGCTTCAAATGACAACTTCAACTTAGCATCTATACATCGTATTAGGGCTGGTAGACGAACTAAAGTGGTTCAAGGCTAGTGGCAGAAATAACCAACCGATTTAATTATTTGATTCTCGGTGTTCAGAACGTCTTCCACTAGTCGAGTATCCGAGCTGTATAAGTATTTGAACTGGAATATATATTGTTCAATGTCAAAAACAAGATTTGTACTTCGTATTTTCTCGTGATTGCAACTTCTGAGCTATCTGACTGACTACGACTCCACCGAACACTTCGAAAGTAGTAAAACTTTCACCAAGTGTGATAAGGTGAATGGACTTTGACAGAATTGAAGCCAAAAAGGCCAGTTGACAGGTCCTTCAATGTTGAGGGTTAATTCATAGAAACCTCGTATATCCCAAGAAGCAAGCAGGTATCAAAACTCAAAAGCAAACCCTCGCGAGTGAAGCTTCTGCGATACATGTTTTATATTTCAATGAGCAGATGTAATATCACATGTGCGTACATATCCGTTGCAACAATTCCAAGGAACACATTTATTGGGAGGATAGTGACTTTGAAGTGTCATAAGTTTATACAGCGGAATTAACCAATGCTAATTCCGCTTTTATTCACAAACAGATTACATCTATTGAAATATCTGTCATTGAATATTAGATCAAGCTTATTATTTTTGAAATAAATCTCAGATTAATTTGATTTTTTTATGGTGAAACAATAAAAAAATCATTGACATATAGACAGATCTGATATAACACTGTGAGACATGAACATAAAGGTGTATCTTAATAGTTGGGTATATGAATATATTCATTCATATTATGATTGCTAGTTCAAGTTTTATTATAGAACATCATGCAAATAAAAAAAAATTTACAGATATCATGACATGAAATATGTCAAAAATGTTTATGATGGACATTTTGCTCCTCTGTCTTATAAATGATCGTAAATCTGATATCATTCTCTCGAATCTCTCTTCTTTACTTCCTATGAATTATCAAGCTTAAATTTTGATCATTCTTCGTATATGAAACAGTGCTTTGAACCATATTTTCAATTCAGTGATCGCATACATTTGTTGTAATGTAAGAAAAAATATCAAATGCAAGATACGTTTCAATCTTCAAAAGAATGATATATATACTCTGATGAATTATTCTATGATTACTTCAATGTATCGCAGTAGAGAGCATGCATTTTATACATGTCAGAAACGAAAACTTCCAAATATTTTCAAGCGATCTAGCCTAAATAAAAAATACCCATTTCCTTACGTCTGTAATTCGCCTTACTTTACTTGATTTTCACTTCGTAACATAAATCTCTCTGTCCTGTTTATAATTTTTCCGAGATACAGAAACACTTTCAACTCAATTCATCAATTGCTAGTCAGTTAGCGGCTCACTGTCCAAATGGCCTCGATTTCTCCCGATGGATGGGACAGAGAGGGAATAGTTTTCCGGGGCGCCAATGAGAAGGCGTGATTCTGAGACCTGCGACCAATATAGACGGGGGCTATAAGAAGCAAGAAAAAAGGACGGGCATGCTGACGAGATGTCTGTTGGCACAGGTGGCAAATGGGGTGACGGCTGGAGACGGGAGCGAAGCGTTACAGGGCTCCACGTGGCACCCGGTAAGTGAGGGTAAGTGGGCGGGGAGTGAAAATGCGAAAAGTGACTGCAGAAACAGAACGTTTCGTCGAGATTGAGCGCCAGTAAATATTCGAAGCATGGCAATGATACGAAAGAAGGAATGCGTGATTGATGGAGATGCACCGTCTCGCCTCGTCCCTCGTTCCAGCCCGCGAGCCTCGAAGAACTTGCAGATTATCGATTGAGGCGCACAATTCCCTCGCCGGCATCGCGTGATTGACTTCTGATGATCGAAATTTGACCTTCAAGAGCCGCGGCGGCTGGGGTTCTCGGTCGGACGATCAAGGTGCGGCGGAGGCAGAGATATGAGGATTTGCTGCGGTGGTGTGGTCCTGTGGCATGGGGATTCGATCGCTACACTGTCCGGTGGTGCAGCAGGTAGAGTTGCGCAAGAAGGCAGGCATCGTGCGCGGGCTGCGTCGTCTTTTCGCCGAGGGGCCGCTCCCGACGAGATAGAATTGTGCACCTTTGGAATTGCGCTGCCTCTTGTAGATTATGTGTGCAGTGCATAGCTTGGGGACCCAGTTCCTTTCCTTGTGAATCGCTGCGGGGATTTTCGTGTCAATTAGGTTTTATCATGACCAGGCACCTGATTCCATACAAACTCGCATTTTTGGAGATTGATTGTTGCCGGTGTGTGGAAATTTGAGCTGATTTGGCTGCGCGTTTTGGACTAAGAGAGGCAGCTCGTGTGACGCAACTGAATCGGCTTCTACACCGGTTCTAGGTACGCTTTGATGTCCACAACCCGGCGTCTTTGAAGGCGTCTCTAAATCATTCCGCTTCAGCCCCTTTTCAATTCACTCACATGAATGCGTTGGCTGGGTTTATTTCTTGTCATTGGCTACTACCCTTCCGCACTCCTGATAGATATAGTTTCGATGCATGGTGCCTGTGATACTGAAGAAAGTGGTGGTAACGGCAGACTTAGAGCTCGTACCTGGATCAATGTGATATATTTTTTGTTAGGAAGAATTGGAGGCAAGAGAAGAAACAGATGAATTTATATCATGTCTCAATCTTAGTCAGAGTTGTAAGATCCCGTTGTGCGATGAATCATGTGATCCAGATTGTGCTTTTTCATGGGTTGACGACGTCCTTACTGTTGAGCTAAGATTTGTATATGATCACTCGTCAAAGTTTAGTGGACCACAGACTCCCCCTTTTATATTCATGCTAACATAAGGGGGTTCCAGTTTCAGGTTCCAAGTTGCTGTCGTGGTTATAAGTAGAATCCACTTGTCGTTATCATATGGCAGTCTGGCAAATCCAAATATATCTGAAAGAGAGAAACTCGATTTTTAATACTGCCTTACATGAAGTTTAAAGCATATTTATACATTAACATATCTGAGTTTACCGAGTGATACGAAAGTCGAGAAAAATAACCTCTGATACTGACATCACAGGCTGAACACATTGCAAGTTGCAGTGTCTTCACTAGACTACAACCTTAAGACTCATCATGAGTATTTTCACCACAGCGTTTTCTCATCTCTCCCCATTACATTTTTTTGTCACAGCTTCCAATTCCTGAAAATCCAGCACCACCTTTAGTACAGATCTGGACAATTTTCCAGTGCAACCAAAAAAGGAAGATTAAAAACTTTCCAAAGCAACGTCGCTTGTACTTTCACTTGACCGTAGACCGTCAGTAATCAATTTGCTCTTGCAGGTTCTGAGAAAGAAACAACATCTGCCTTTGTTCTGTAAAAGTTCTGCCAAAATGCCTTACGCGCCGCCAGGGGGGTTTCACTTTGAAGTGATCCCCGCCGACAGATGGGCCGATCAGATGCTCAAACACTGGAAGGTAAAATTCCGTATGGATTCTTCTTAGTAGGAACCTCTGACCTACCTAGTTTTGCTTCCTTTTTTTCCGGCTCCTCTTAAACTCCTTGGATTGAGCGGTGTCTTCTTTCTTCACTCTGACAATTTATACCTTAGAATTAAATGCTAGATTTGAAGGACAGCGGTATGCAGCACGTACTCCCGAGAATCTCATAACAGCTTCGTTACAGCTACTTACTTCACCACTTACCGTGCAATTGTATGGCAGATCGCCGCATATAACAAGGCGGCGAATAATGATGGAGGGGATGTCACTCTTGAGGATCTTGGTACATTTCTAATCTTCTCTCTTGGAAGTTGTATATTTCTTCACGTTGTCTTGTGACAGCAGGAGCAGTAGCTCTCTTTGTTGTGTTTTCATCCGTTTGGCCCTTAACAAGCTTCAGCGTCCGTGAGATTGTTTTCTTATGGACGCATCGTACTTTCGTCTACAAAAGTGAACTCAAGAATTGAAAGATCAGCAAATCCTGTCCAGTAAAAGACAGGGTTAGGGATATTCTCTGTTCAACAATTTCCTAGTTGAGCGGTTCCATGTGTTTGCATCTTTATTTACTGATATTATACCTGTACTTGATACAGAAAAACCAGGTGCTGATGGTCAGCTCAGTAGTCCCCGGTCTCTCCAAGCATGTTTGTACCTCGGAATTGACCCTGCAGAACTGGTTCACCGGTAAGTTGTTTTTTCTTTAGTTGTAATATAGTCAGCCATGTTGTGATTGTCTTTGTGCTTCAATTTTAATATGATGGTTTATTTAACCAGCGGGGTCCGTGAGCACGAATCTCATCTTCTTATATGCTTGATGGCACGATAGACCAATCGATGATTTCTTGGAGAGGGGCCTCAGCCCAGCGCTGCAGGAGCTCAAGTTCCAGTTTTATGAGAATACACGGCTAGGTAATTTGCGGATTCCTACTTACTAAGATGACGAGAAGGACAGAGGAGACCAGAATATCACCAGATAACTTGATTTGTCGCACGTAACCTTTAACTTTAATAATCCCTTACAAGAGCCAATATGAACTATATTCTTTCTTCTTATTCGTCTGCTGAGAAAACTCGTCCCGTTGAACCCTACTGAGAGATCTAGAACACCGAAAAATATATTTGTCAGACTACACGGGAAGTTTCTGCCTCCCAACAGTGATAACACGAGGATGTCTTTCAGTTTGAAGCTATTCTAAGCTACTGCTCTGTGAACCACGAAGTTGTATAGTTTTGGTCTTTGCGGTGTTGCGCATAGCTTCGTAAATACAACTTCTGTCATCCCTCCTCAAAATGATAATGCAGAAAAAGTTGGAAGGCTCAAAGAAGAAAGGAAAAGAATTATAAGCGAAAAAAATGATGGGGGTGTAATTCTTGGAGCCGATGGCCGAGTCATCGGCACAACTTCCCCCATGAAAAACAAATTTGTGGAGAGTAAAGATACCATGGAGAAGGTAGACATGTGCATGATACTTCTGTTGACATAATTATCAAGCCTTATAATCTAATTACAAGCCTTACAAGATAACGGGGAAGTCCTCGGCAAAGTCTACCACCCTGTCGTCCACTTGTTTTGCCATGGTAACCTGGAAACCCAAGCATAACAATCCTCTACAACCGTGGAGACTATTGCTGCAACCATCGAATCGGCACAACGTGCAGGCTTTCCTTCACTGTTTTTTTTGGGGAAAAGTCATATCAATACTGTGATACTGTAGCACTAGTCACTAGTCAGACTATACTTTTGAAGCGGAACACCCACCTTTGGCATGCTTTGAAGTCATGATCTAGTCTGCTACGTATGGCTCAGGTACTCTACATTTCTGAGAGTCTTTAAGATTCTCAAATGTTTTTTGCAAAATCATCATGACTACGGAAATTTTTGGATATATCTAAAGATGACGTAGCAGCTTTGATCTTTATGGCTTCAGGAAGTACAAAGAATTGAGGTCGTTCGTCGAAGACAGCAAAGGGAGCTAGAACAAGTAGCAAAATATGAGGCTCTACGACAGGTAGGCCCGCAGATTCTCCTCGAAAAGTTGCGCTTTTTAGTTGGGATTTCAATCTCTGGACTGAGAGTTGAAAATCGAAATGTAAACGCTGCGTGTTTTGCAGCAACTCGCGGAGCAAAATGCTGCAACTATGGAAATGGAGAAACGGAGGCGAGAGGAGCAGGTCAGTTATATCGTTCTTGATCAAAATATGCTGTAAAATCCACATATTCGTTGAACTTACTGTCGTTTTCTTGAACTTTTTCATCTCACTCAAAACCAGGGAGCACAGATGATGTTCTCAGTTTTTGTCTTATTTCCTCCAGCCTTGATATCAAAGGCATGTGTTCAAGTGTCAACTTTGTCAATTTCAATTTTTCATGGAAGTGTGAGTAGAAAATATTTTTCAGAAGTCAGCAGTTTCTAGTGCTACTTTATCTTGCAGAAAAGAGCCAAGGCTGCGAAGGATAAAGCTTGGCAAGCTGAGATGCGTGCTAGGGAACTTCAACGGGCGAAAGAGGTATTTCTAGCGAAGTCCACTTATTGCATTCGCTCTTTTTGAGTTTGAGCGGATGAGTCTATTTAGATGACGCGTTTGTCGAGACTACTGGTAGTCTTATATTTCAAATTGTTTCAGGAAGCAGAGTTGGAGGCAGAAGCGAAGCGAATGGCTCAAGAAAGATATGCACGGGAGCAAGCAAAGATGGAAGCAGACGAAAGGAAAGCGGTGAGGAGAGACGCATACTGAGTTATATTTTTATTAGATGACATATTTAATTATTCTATGTAAAGTTTTGTCTTTGCTAACGTTTACTTTATTTTTGCAATAATCACATTTCGAACTTGCAGTCATATGCTGACAAGTACTTTCCGTTCTAGCCACTTGCATTTGCTCTCTTTCTCTGGCAGTTCTTTTGGCCCGCAGCGTTTGGTTTCTTGTAATCTTAAGATTCTCAGATGTACAGAACAATTCTCCAGATGTGCTGACCAGATTCATCTTGGTTGTTTACCAGAAACAAGCTAAGAAGGAAGCTAGGTTGCGGGAGATTGAACGTGCGCAGAAGCAGGAGGAGTTCCGCGCGCAGCTGGAGAAGACTCAGGAGGAGTTCCGAGAGGTTGCGGCCATTTACTTTCTTTAAAGTTTGCTCTAAAAAGCTTCGCATATGTGATGTTTCGAAGCAACCTCTGCAGACCAGCACGAATGATGGTGTTCTGTTCTTTCCTCTTCCTAGGCTGCGAGGGAAAGAGGTAGAAAGATGGAAGCAAGAGATCAGGAACGGCGGAGGAATCTGGCAATACTGAAGAAGATAAAGGCAGAAGAAAACGCTGAGATCCGGAGGATGATGGAGAAACGTCATGACGACGCATTAGCTGCATGGCATCGCATGATACAGAAGAAGGCAGATGACTATAACGCTAAGCAAGCGGTTAGTTCCAGCTTCCTGACTGTAGTTAGATGGCGGATGTGAAAGAGGGATGAATCTTATTCCCTACATTGATATGTCATGCCTGGCTGCCATGATTTACTTACTCAGTCCACTTGGATATAGAGAAGTATTTTCTCTTGTGTTAGCTTTGGGTTGTGTTCAATGCAGTTTCGTGTCAAGAAAAAAAACTAGTAGGATACTAAGGTTCCAGCATAGTAGGCCAGTTAAGTGTGCAAATTATGCATATCGTATCTAGATTCGGCTTGCACCTCTTGGAGAGGTCTTGTAGGGTTCCACACAAACGAAGATTGTTTTTGACATCAAAAAGTGTAGGCAACCAGTTTTAAAGCAAGCCAGTTGTTGTCCAAACTTGGAGCACGATGTTACGTAAGCTTGCGATAAATGTAGTAACTTCTCTCTAACCTTCACCTAAAATCTGCATAGGAAAGTACGGTGGTGTGAAGCCTCTACATGCTACTGGTCGCTAAAGTCTGAATGCCTGAAAACGTGATCAGGAAATCAAGCGAAAGATGAAACTTAAGTACGAGATCTGGAAGAAGAAGGAGGCTGAGAAGAAGGCGTACCTAGAGAAGAAGGAGCAGGAACGGTTGGATACCATTGCAGAAGCTAATGCTATCCGTGAACGAAGATGCCAGGTTCATTTCGTGAAACTTTTACATTATCCACATGTCACGGCATGCAGTTTAGGAGAGAGCAAAAACTGCAGAATTGGTATCAAACTATGTTGAGCATACTAAGGAGCCAATAGAATAACGAGGAACATATCATGTTTAGTCGCGCGCAAGAACACAGCTTCCCTTTTGGTCAATCTGTTAGAAGATGTTCCTTCGATGGATAGAGCCGCTATAAAAGTATGAAGCACTCATGCTTGAGGTTTCTGAACAACCACATGTTGACTCGATATCTATGCTTTTTCTCACGTTAAACCTGTCAATCTTGCAGGAACTTCTAGCAAAGGCTGAAGAGCAAGACAGGAACTTGCACAATTACATGGTGCAGAAGCACCTGGATGAGGCACGTAGAACTGTTGAGAAAGAGCTAATACACGAAGCCAAGCGTCAACGTTGTGAAGCTCTGAAGCGAATCCAGGTGTGTTATAGTCCCAACCCCGTTTGGAGCAAGTAAAAAACTGAAGTTGAAATCAAGATGAAGTCCTAACATTGTAGAGAGCTAACAAAGGCTAACAGTTTATGGTTTGGCTGTCCAGAGCCTATCATTTCTTGTGATTCTTGTCAGAGTGGGCCATTGCCTGCTCGGTATCGCATCTGCGTTGTATTTTTTTCCTGAGTTCTGTGTAGGTGTGTCATGCTTTCAGGCTTACTGACTTTGGGTGCTTCCATACGTCCTTGTTAATGAATGACTAAAACTTATTCTTTGTGCGATGTTAGCAATTTCCGTTACCTTATACAAATTACCTCACCCTTTTTATGGAACCCTCGCTTTACAGGCACTACACAGGAGGCAGATCTTGGAGAAAATAGAGATGGAAACGCAACGCATTAGGAACTTACTCGATGGAAAACAGCAAATGTTATCGAAGCACATTCAAGCTAACCTGAATTTAGTGATTCATCGGCAGTCAATGATAGAGCAAATGCAGGAGTTGTCGGTAAGATCTACCTTCCTCTACGTTTACCTCGAGCAATTAGCTGAAATTATATTTTGCTCATCTTTAGCTGAAGGTCCTCGCGGAAACTTTGGGATCCAGTCGATTTCATGACCTGGCAAACTTGTAAAAACGTACATCTGGTAATAACGTGTAGAAACTAGCTTCCAAAGGTGTCCGGTTGAAATGAGTTAAAGCGAAAGGACAATGTGTAGTCCAAGCATGCCGTCGTCCGGATGTTGTAATTAAGTCTTTCCGATTCAGTTTTTGGTTGCCGAGGCTTATATCATTTATTGTTTGTTCACAGATAAGCAAAAAGTGGAGGCAATCTTTAAGCCCAGAGAGCAGAGAAGAAATGGACAAGCTCAAAGACGCGCAAAAAGGTTTTAAGAAATGATTGTGGTGAAAGAATTTCAAACCTTCAATCCTACGGTCGTAGAGATGATATTCTCTCATTAGTAGGTCAGTTTGTTATAATTTGCATATGCTGACATTTGCCGGGTTCTTAGGGCCTCTGAGACAAAGTTAAGTATACAAGTTTTCTGGATGGTATAACATAACTTTCTCTGGAAGGAGGCCACTTTAGTTGGTTAGCCTTGCAGCGAAGTAACAGGTAGGGGAAAGGACTGGCGGATATTTTCAGCGTTGACTTGGGGTTTCCTTGAGGTAAGCTGTTAAATTTGCTAGATTTTAACTGGACTGTAAGGATCGACTAACTAATTTCTGGTTCTCGCCGTTTGTGTGCACACTGCCAGTAATCTTACATTCACTTACATTGCTATCGATGATAACCAATCATATTCTCGTTTGAGGCCATATGAATCTGATTTACTAATTACTTCTTCTTACCCACGCTTAATGGTTTTGAGTAACAGAGGATGTGTCTCTTTGCTCTTTACTGGCGCGAAGAACTACCCAAAATAGGTAGGCACGTCATCAGATGTTGCAACTTGGTGTAGACAACGAATTATCAGCATCAAACCCTTCGGGTACCGGCACAGACCTGAAGGAATTTGAGCTTGATAAGAAGAGATCAGGCTTTTCTTTCTCTTCTCCAATTTTAAAAGAGATGTATCTGACCTACCACATAGCTTCGTTGATGTCATCTGAGACGCATAAGTTGGCTCAGCTGATTTAACAGATTCATGACAAGATGACACTCCCTAAATGTCCGCATCAAGGGGGTGAATGACGTCATCATCCTGTCGGGTAGAGAATTTTACTCATGATTGAGTGAAACTCCTCTAGAACATAAATTTGGTAGCCTCTTTTGTGGGCTCACTTGGTCCTCTCAGGGACCTTTGCAGACTCCGCTTCCCTTATGTTGGAAAGCAGTTCTTTATGCAAAGAACATCTGGTATTATGAGATTGGGGCCTGTGGCCGTTTAACTAGCTGTTTCACGGTAACCAGGGACCCATCGTTTTCTTCCCAAATCAGCGTTGTCACTTGAATCATCTGGGTTGGGGTCTAAAAATATGTAATCCTTTCTCCAGTCTTTTGAAATTTGAAAGAGAAGATATGAATATATGTCAGAATCTACTCTTGTTTCCAAAAGAGGCAGGGACGTGAAGTGAAGTTTTTCAGCTTGAGAAATTGCTTGCTTTTGGTCTGTTTAAGGCTTCATTGTCGCTTGATGATGCTGCAGATTTATCTAGTGTCTCTCAAGCTCCTCCTAGTACATGCTGCACAGAGGCGTAGATACAAGATGGCTTTACTTGGAGAAAGCTTCTTCTCGATTCAATTTAAAACACTTTGTCCCATGCACGTGAACAAACATGCTTTGAGGATTAGCCCGGCAAATACCTTCTACATAATTCTCATGCTGAAACCCTGCTACTTCAATTCGCACTCGCTTATTGCACCACTGGTCGCTGAAGTTGAGCGTGATACTCCATGTCTCTATCTAACAGATCATCATGACCATGTTTGCGCTCCAAGCGTTATTGGCATGCTCTCCCAATGTACTTGAAGCGGCGTTGTTGTGCAACCTGTACTATGCGGCAATATCAAGGTTCAGCTCAAGATCAGCAACCTTTGGTTCTGTACGGTATTTGGCAATTAATTGTTTCCCAGCTGCTTGACAACTAGATCTGTAACCTATGAACCCATTTATTTACAAAGCATATATGTGCCGCAGGGCTGATTTAGGGTGCTTTGTTGTTTCACAGATCTACGGCTTACACGTTCCCCTTGTTTAGGCGTTTATTTCAAGTGTTGCTGATGAAAGACTTTGCGCACTATACTCCTGAGAGGTGCTGATAGCTTGCTGCTTTGCGGAAGTTGATCAGCTAAACGCTTAATGTATTGCATGTCAAGATTAAGGTCAGCAACTTGACTGCTACGTCGTTTGTACATCTACAAATTTTGGAAGGTCAAATATCAGGGCAGCTATAGTATCTGAGACAATCTGCTTTTGAAGTTGTCAGTAAATTGGTTCTGTTAGATGATGCAGAGGTAGGTTGGGAGGCCTTTAGTGTTCAGTGATCATATTCTGGCAATTCCAGAGAGTGCTGCAGTTTTGTCGCACGTTTCTGAACGGTAGCAAATCTATAACCTTGTTGAGGGTTGTAGAATCCATTTTTTCTCAGGCGTGAAGGCAGGTGCAGGTCCGTCAATTGTGATGGCTAGGTTGAAGTGCAAGTTGAAGAAAGGCGTGGATGAGGCTTTTGTGGTAGATTTATCTGTCATCGAGATCAGTAAAGAATCATCATTTTCCCACAGCTGAACTGGTTCCAAATCGGCTTGTATATATTGTCGCAATGACAGTAGTAGAAAGATTGTAGATACCTAAGAGGATGATAGTGCTGTAGGAATGAAGTTTGAACGGAAGCTGCTTTTGGCTTTGATATACCCTCAGCTTACGTCTTTATAGAGTGTTATGGGAAACGCTACTCCTTGGCTAGTCTTTTTTCTCTTGAACAGTGTGATATGATTTTGTCATTCGACTTTGGAATATCTTCTGCCGTGCGAGGTGCTTACACTATCTGCTTTAGTCTGTATATGTATCTTGTTGGAAATGGAACTGTGCACCACCGATAGTACGGCTTATGAAGGGTAGTACTGCAGCAACTTAGGCTGGACCACCAAGGAAGGGTATGAAATACTACTTTCTAACCTAGATATTAGGAAAATTGATTCAAACTATGTTTGAAAGTTTCCGGTGGGTTGGCTGGCTTATGGGGCATTAAACGTTGTGAAAAGTAGTGGCCTGCTCCCTAAAGCTGCAATACAGCCTGCAGGCGAGCTGTCAAGGAAAACTTTCAAATGACGTGTGTATTTTGTAGCACGAAATCTATTTTTTAGTTCTTGTTACTAACTTAGAAAAGATGAGTGTATTGTTTCGCAACTAATGCGGGTCCGTCTTTTCCTTACGAATGATCCGAAGAAAAATGATATGCGCATTATTTTGCCCTATCTGTTTTTATTATTTATGATTAACATTCGCATAGTACCATTTCATAATAAGGAAATGGTAAGTCGTATTATATCTCATTGAAGTAAGAGGTGGATTGGGTGTTTCTTGAACATCAACTGGAGAGAATCCCACCTTGACATCTGTCGACGTGTATCAAAGATCTCTCTTACTGAATCTACGAGAATGTCACAAAAGTAGACATCAGACTCAAATACGGGGAAACATCGACGTGCGGACGGTATTAGGTGTTTGTATGATGTGATACTCTAACCTGTAGAATGGACAGCATCAACAATTCACAGGATGGAGTCGCTGCTATCTCTATACCCGAAAGAAAGAGTACCGATTCTGCCAACCTGAATCTTCGTTTCTGAATCCCAAGCACGACAGGAAGGTAAAGTATAATGCTACCTTTAGAATCCCGAAAGCAGCTGCTCTCTATTTCATCTTGAAATGTTACCTTTCGAGTAAATCAAAACAATTGGAGCAGTCTGAGACTGAAACTTGCTCTAATCAGGATCAATTTGAAGAAATTCCTGCAAGATAGTTGCGATGGTGGGCATGACTTAAGGTCTCAGAATGATGTCTGTTTTCTGTTTCTTGGAGCATGGTTCTCTTCTGCCTGAGGGATACATTCACACGGTATGTGCAGAGGATTGAATCAGAGCCAGTGGAAGAGATGTTATAAGACTTCTTCAAAAGTGAGAGTGAACATCCGCTCTTTTTAGTTACTAAGAAAGAGATGAAAGTCAAGTAGCTACAAAAATTGTACCACTGTGATAGTTAAAGCCGATCGAATCCAAGGATGATGTTATCCGCATTGACAACTGCGGGGCATGGCTGGCCCCATAATGTAGTGAAATATAGAAACAATTTTCCACTTTGATTCCAGAGTGCATCATCGATATTAATCAACTATCCATTTTTCGAATCTCGTGAGGTTATTGTACAGATTACTGAGTATCCTCTTAAATCGAATTATCTCCGGCCTTCCTAATGTTGTGTGGTACCTTCATACGTATCAAACATGAATACTTGGTTTTCTTGTATTGAAGGAGCTCTGTTCATCCAAAGCTCTAGAGATTGTTTCATGTAGTTTTGTTATGATCACTAGGCTCTTGAGCTCTCAGCCACATCCTCTTCCTTTGTTTTCAATCTTGCTAAACCACTACCACTGTGTACTTCATCTTTAATGTAGTGACAAGATTTGAAAAGTTAAATGAGATGCAAAGAACCAAAATGTTCATGAATACCGAAACGAGAAATAAAAGAAAGTCACACGATGGCAACAAAAGTTCATGAAGTTGTATAGAGAAACTCAGTCAGATTTCTTTTCAACATCTATATCAATCACATTGTCTCGTCCGTTGTGCATAGGTTGCACAGTGTGTGAGTGAATCTCTCTTGTTTCAAAGATATTTGTGTCAATATTTTTGTGCTCCGATCAGGACAGACTTCATGCCCAACTGAGCAAGTGAGTGAGAATGAGTACGCAAAATATCAACTCCTCTTATAGTACGCTTGGAATACGGATGCTCGGTCTTGAAAATCTCAATATTTAGTCTTCCTTGTCAAAGTCTATGACTCGAGGCCTGGAAATATGGAGGTTTCTTTGGTCTATTAACTACCATATATAGTCTGTATGTATATAACTAATCAGAGTCAAATTTTGCCCAAAATCAGTGTCAATCATGTATTCGTCTGTGGGCCTGCGAAGCAAGTTCAAAATGGTACGTACAGTGATGTATCATGTAGACATATGTGCAAAGTATTGTTCGAAAAGGCAATTTCCGAAGTAGTGAAATTTGTGCAAGCTTCTCCAAGAATATGTCCAAATCTTGTCGTGAGGTATACGAGACCGACATGATAGCAATTAAAGAGATCGTGAAAGACAATCTTTACTAACCTACACTCTCTTTCGAATGCACGGCTGATTGTTGAGATGCTTGATTTCATTTGAATAAACAGATCTGCCTACAGCTTCAGAAACTATGCAGTGATTAGAGAGGGAAAAGGAGTTCGATACAAGAGCATGATTATATCTGAATATGCGTTGAGCATTTACGCGAGCCAAGAATTGTGTTCAGCTTTTTTTTTCAGTAATGGACTACAGTAATCCCCCAGTAGGGTGACCCACTGCGTTCATACATTTGCAGAGTGCTTCTCTCTCTCAACAAGAACCGTGTACAAACTTCAATACGGCAGTACTGTAATCGACCTTCGTCTAGATTCCAATTTTGAGCTGTATTTGTCCACAAAAGACACAAAGAGGGTGTTCCCACTTTGATATCTTCTGCTTATGTCCTAGGGACTCACTGACGTGTCAGGAAACAGTTACGTAAATTGGATTTCCGTGAGCTGTAAGTCATTGAGAATTGACAGCCGTCGGTGGCCATTCAAGTTAGGATTGAACACTATTTCCTTAAATAGCCAGAGACAGACTCCTCTCCGCTGGTGTCTACTTACTCTGAGACTGTTCTCAATGTCGCAGCAGGTATTATAAACTGCCAATTGGAGCTGCCGACCATCCCACTTACATGCTCCATGAGTGTCGACCTTCAAACTACTACTGCTAACTGATGGAACAAACTTCGGAACGATCTTCTGACGTGCGTACACCTTAACATTCACAACCCTGGTCAGACACGTGAAGCTCAGCACAGGCACTCTCATGTGTATGTGAATCACAGTTTCCTGAATTCCTTTCGTCGGATGCCGAAAACCGCTATATTTCAATTCTCCTAACAATGGAGCTACGCTGGTGCTGCCGAATCTCGATTATGCGAGTTATATCATCACCGCTCCAAAAACAATATTTCTAGCTCATATTCTGCAAGCTCGTATACAACATGAGCCTATGTATACTCTGTTCACTATGAATTTTGTTGGGAATCTCCTGTTGCCTCAGTCCCTGCACTCGGAGAATTTTGCCTAATTTCTACATAGCGTGCAAGAATGCCGTGCACTATCCTGGGTGCTGCCCCGTCGCAGAATCGCCTGGTCAAGTCGATGGCCTCATTAATCACAACTTTCCGGGACGTCTCCGTGGTCTCTATCTCAGTGACCGCAATCTGCATGATACAAAGAGGAATCCAGGCAATTTCCGGTTCGTTCCTCCATTTCCTAGGGAACAATGACTTGAGAGTCTTCTGCTGCGGAATCCATCTCTCTGACGTGGATTTCACTATACTTCTAGCTAAGCTCAGCGTGAATCTACTATAAACAAGGGGTAGAGGAGCCAGGAGAACCGTGCCTTCAGCGTCGGCTTCTTCCTCTTGCTGTCGAATAATGGCAGCAGCCAACTCCTCATCTTCCTCAGTCTCATTCTCGCCTACATCTGCGGGATTATGGTCGTAGGTTTCGAGAATTTCCCTGTCAAAATCTCGCCCGACTCTCTGATTCAGGCGCTCGTCAAAAACCTTGAGCGAATCCACATCCCTACACATAGCGCTGTATAATGTACACAAAGCGAGCTCTCGGGCAGCCCTCGGAGTTCGAAGGCGGCCAAATGTATCCAGCTTTTCTTTTTGGCTCATTTCCCTGGGCTTCCTGGGCAATTGCGGAGGTCGACCCTTCTCATTGTCGTACGCGGTGCTACTGAAGCTTCCCCGGTCGCTTTTCGTCTTCCTCTCCGTCCTCCTCTCCGAGCCTGCCACTTCCGCAGAGCATCGGACACCACTAACTACCCCGGAAGTCTTGATCCCGCTACAGCTCGCTCCTCTGCCATCTCTCGCCCCCGTCCACCTGCAAATTGCTCGTTCCTGCCCCGGTAATGTCGCCGATTGCTGCAGAAGGCTCTTCTCCCACATCGCCAGTAATCCCATTGCGACCGACCGGCTTACTGCTCGATGATGATCCCAACTCTCCTTCCCGTCTCACGCATTCGTTTCTCACCTCGCCATCGTCAACTGACGAGTTGGGACCCGAAATCCTGCGAGCAGGAAGGGCAGGATATGGTCGCCATCCCGTCAGTAGACATCCAAATCTCGACGAGAGCTCGAGAAGGAAATCTGGACAAGGATCAGCGAACAGACTCGGACTCTTAAACCCTAAACCTTATCTTCGAACGAATGAGCTTCGTTCTATCTTCGAGCCTTGGACCCCTTGCCACCGTCACTTCATTTCTGAGCATCTTTTAATTTGCTTCTCCTCTTTTTACGGGACGCTACTGTCCGAGTCAAGACTGGGGTGTGTGATTTGCAGGCTCCAGTTCCTTTCATCTGCGGTAACAATAAGAAGTGAATTGCCCTTAATGTAATAAAGTGCATCACTCTCTGGCTGTTCTAAACTAAGCTAATCTTGATTCGTACATGCTTATACTTCTCCTTCACATGTAAGTTTTGTTGATGACTATAGATTTATAAAACACTTACATATCATACACTGATTATCCTTTTTTATTGAAATCCTTTACTCTTTGAACATTCTTGGTAATAAGAATCAGATTTTATTTATGGTTTTGATGAACTGAATTTTATCTCTTGATTCACTGAAATCACTATTAGAAAACAAGTGTGTTCATGTCTTGTAGCTTCTTCTTTGCATACTACTTCTTTTTCTTGTTTCTATATCGATGTGTCATTACATGATTCCATTGTGACATTTCCATAATCATGTTCTTCACGATGTTTACCAGCTTTTATAAGTTGTTCATTTTAATGCCGACCAAAATTAGCACTGTCTTGTGCTCATCTACTTGGCATGACATGCACGTCCGATATATATCTACCGACATTCTACAACTTTCAATACCTGTTCAGAAGTTGGAAGAGTATGCAGCCTGCTCTTCTGCACATGTATTTAATATGACACACTTACATCCATAGACATTGTACATATCATATGTACAATTCTTACATGTTAAGAATACGGAAGAATATGCATCCATCTCTAATGTACATTCCTTTGACATGACATCTACCAACGCTCTACAACCTTCTACATCTATTGCAAGTTGCAAGTTTGAAGATTTCTCTTTTGCACATGTATTCTACGTGATAAGCAGTCACATTTACCAACCTTCTGCATCTGCTCAGAAGTGGGAAGAGTGTCGGTATTCAGATTTTTCTTCTGCTCATGCAATTGACATGGTATACGTTCATATCTACCAACCTTATGTACCTGTTCAGAAGTTGAGAGAGTATGCAGACTTCTCTTCTGCACATAAAATCTGCATGACATCTACCCATCTTCTGCACCTGCTCAGATGTTGGACGAGAGTTGGTAATTTTCCACACATGTTTTTATTATGACATCTACTCTACGTTCTTATACAGTGGTTTAGATTTTGGAAGATAGTTATAAACCACTGTATAAGAACACTCCGTTCTTTACATGTCTCTCTGCAAGGTATTTACCATCATGTACAGCGTTGTTATTTGGAAGGTGGAAAAGTATACCTTTGATTTTTCCCTCGCCCTTTCCCAGTCGCTCTTCAGTCGGTTTACTGGTAAGAGGAATCGATAGCCACAAATGTATTTTGCACATCTCTTTTGTGTGGCATCTACCTACCGTCTAATTCAGTCAGAAGTTGAATCCTTGCTACTTAAGAGAGACTCCTACATATCTCTTTTACATGACATGCATTTATATTAGCCGACTTTGAACTGTTGGAAGAACCATCTCTTCTAGATGACAAATACCAAACTTCCAGTGTCATTCAAAAAAATGGAAACTATACAACCATCCCTTAAGTATGAGGTGTAGTCATGGTTTTTGCATTATGTCATGAATATCTCATATATATAGTTACTAGAGACGTATAGCTATACAACATTTAAATATGTAGTTAATTAAAAAGGCCAATTTGAAGGAATTTTTTTAAGTAAGATTCCCTACAAGAGAGCAAGATTGCACCTTCTAAATTCTGCCTGGGTATTCGGTATACGTTTCACTTCAAACACTCTTCAAGAGATCAACATTTCCTCTTCCTATGGGTTGTCGGTTTTGATGTGAAAGCTTCTAAAGGACATTCAAAGTTTTATCTAGATTCATCATACATAATGTCAAACAATCTGTTTGACATAAACTTGATGATTTGAGCCACGCAACCTTACCAAAATAATATAAGTAAATTAGGACACGACCAACAACCGTGTTTACACTTTTGTAGTATGTATAGGATCCCAGTGAATTTTGAAAGAGCTGAACACTTTAAATTAAAAAGAAAGGAGGTCTTTGCCCTGCTGGAAAACATATTAGTGTCAAAAGCAAGGATGGTTAAAAATCTCTTGTTTGTTAGAATTTTCAAATCCAGCCGTGATTAGAACATCATTGGAGGACTAGATGTGATGTACAGAGTTATTCTAAAAGTAAAATATTCAAGTCTTTTTTAGTTCTTGAAATGCCAATCGTATGAAATCTTTGACTTCGGTTTCGCATACAAAACTTGACTTCTCAGTATTTTCTTGTTGAGTATTACGGTTTATTGGTCATTTTCACGCACATCAAAATGACATATTTGGCATCCCTTGCACTGTGAGACTCCTTGTGACTGAATGCTGAACATAACTCTGTTCGGAGCAGATGCAGAGGAAGCTGTCGTGCGAATACATATCGCCATATACTCTACATCGCTGACATGCTACTCACATAGACATACACACACATACACACATGTAAGGCGCAAGAGAGTACACACTCAAATGTCACAACTTTGCCAGAATTTTGAAATAAACAGGAGATTCCCCACTGGAATTCACGTCGGTCGATTACCCTACTGGCAACAAACCTTCACCGTCACAAACATGAGTCAAGCCCAACCCACTCCACACTCGGAGAATCTAGGTCGACGCAAAGGGGAAAGTCTCTCTACGCTCCCAACGCTTCCACGCTCGACTCGAAGAACTAACGTTCTTCGAGCCGTCCCCGACTGATCGTGATACCCCTAGTGATCCGAACCCTAATTCCACGTCTAAATATAGTAAATGTCCAGATTGCGTGAGCAGACTCGAAACTACATGACAAAGCTTTTAATGTTTATCTGTAGTCCTCATAGATCAATCAACCACATGAAAATGTGCGAGGATGAGTGCAATAATATATTGCTGTTGCTATTCAGTTCTTGAAATTTTGTACCAAACATGAACAATATTCATGTTCTACCATTTCTTTACATTTCGGTAATGTATGCATGTGTTCTCCAAACTAAACTGAGCTCAATAATAAGATGAACATGATGAGCATTTACTTATATTTGCTTCTATGATATTCTCTAAAGATATTTTTTTCGATACATGATTGAAAACGGAAGAAAGAATTATTCAGAGCCGTAGAGGAAATAATAATTTACCAGACTTGCCCTCTTCTCTCAATAAAACCAGATAGGGCTCGATATGCATTGAAAAAGAATTCTATCAGTGTCGTAAGAACTGTCGTAGAAAGAAATTCACCAGATCAAGGATCACATTCCTGGATTCGCTCAGAAAACAACTGACAACTGTAAACTAGAACTCAGCAGAGTGACTGACAATTGGTATAGCAATCGTAAAAGCAATTTTCAGTCACTCTCATGTGTTTTCGTTTCTTTTCTGTTGCTTACATTTCGTTGATTTGTGCATTTATAATTTATAACAAAGATAGCTAAATAATAACACGAATGTGTTCAGCATTTCCTTATAAATCCTTCTATGACACCGTCCACGACACTGGAAGATTATATTTCAACACATTATTGAGCTGAATTCTTTCAAAATGTCGGGATCAAGGCTGCAGAGCAAGTGAAAAGGAACTGAACACATTTGCCCTCTTCTTTCTAGGAACCCAATTGAGCTCAGCAACTCATTAAACAATATTTTAGGGTTGTAGAGAGTGTCACAAGGGAGAATCACTAGGTCAAGAAACTGATAGCGACTCATGAGTCTGAAACAGAAAAACAGGTTGACAAGAGAAGAGTGAACGAAAAGTACGATCCCTCATGAAATCGCAACAGCGATTTTCAGTCTATCTTTGTTATTTCTGTTCCTTACATTTCGTTAATGTATGCTTTTATTTACAAGAAATAATTAGCGAAAAAAATATGAAAGTGTCAAGTATTTCCATATACTTCCTACTATGACACTCTCCACGAAAAGTAAACATCTCTTTTTCCGATACATGATTGAGCTCAAAGTTTTTTTGAAGTCGAGATGTAGCTGTAGAGCAAGAAAGAAGGAAATTATCAGATTTTGCTCTATTCTTTCTAGCAAAGAAATTGAGATCCATAAAGTATTCGAAACAAAATTCTTCCAGCGTCGTAAAGAGTGCCATAGACGGAAAATCCCCAGATCAAGAAAAGCTTTGATTCTCAGAATCTCTGTTTCACACGTATGATAGCAACAACAACTCAGAAGGGTGAAACAGGAGGGAAGGTCGAACGGAGAAGATGAGTGAAAATCGCTCGAATCAGGAAAAGGAAAAGGAGGATCGTAAGAGAAAGTTTCAGTCCATCTTCTTGGTTCATCTCTCGTCACTCATGAGGAGTGAAACCAGAATACGAAAGTACCCCTCCCTGAAATGGAATGCGTTCAGGACCTATTTCGAAAACACCATCGAGTACGAAAGAAGATCCGACACGATAAATCAGTGGAACTAACACGCAGAGAGAGAGAGAGTTAAGATTTGCAGTAAATCGAGCCACGTGAACAACACAGTAGTGTCACACTCTAGATGGTTAGAGCAAGAACAAAACAACAGAAGCATGGTCATCAGACAACCGGCCAGCTGGTGAATCATTGCAGTGCAGTGCAGTGTGTGTGAGTAGTGAGTGGCTTGGAGGCATAACTGCAGATCGAGCCGGAGAGAGAGCGAGAGAAAGAGAGAGAGAGAGAGAGAGAGAGAGAGAGTGCTGTGCCTTGCGCAGTAGCTGCTGCAGCCCAAAGGTGGTGACTGTGTAGCTCACTCACGGATATGTCTTCATTCTCGGTGGCGTGACTCGGTCTAGTGCCCAGCCCAGCCCAGCATCTCGCAGCACCAGGAGCTAAGGAGCTAAGGAGCTAAGAAAGAGGAGGAGGAGGAGGAGGTGCAGCTGCAGCAGCAGCAGGAGGAGGAGGAGAAACTGGAGGGAATATCTAGAGTTTCTGGTTAGCTGGAGTTTGATCTTCTTCCTCGCTAAGTATTATCTCAGAAGTCGAACAAACTTGTGTCGATTGACTTGGGGGCCCTCGCGCAGTGTAACGTTTGAAATCACCTTTTTGTCTACGAGACTTTACTCCAGGAGAGAACCGAGATTTACGTTTCATACTCGAGCGCAGCACACGCACGCCCGAGTTTTTGGCGCCTTCGGTCGAAGTTCGCGGGCTCTGTGGATGCTCTGGGGTCCGAAATTTTGATCTGCTGATGGAGGCGGGGGGAGCGAATTAGACTAGGCTCCGATCGATGCTGAAGCCAGAGCGCAGCTGACGGACTCGCTCGTTCTTGGCGGCCTTCTTCTTCTTCTTCTTCGAGGCTTCGAGGCTTTCGAGCGTGGGAATCATGGAGAGCGAACTGTTCAGGGGTTTTGCGACTGGCTAGGCTTGCCTTGCCTTGCTCGCGGTGCCTGCAGCGAATGCGAGGCCGCTGCTGAAGGAGTCGGTGCTGGTGGTGCACGACGAGGATGAGGACGATGATGATGGACAGACATGGCGTCGAGGGCCTCGGCCTCGGGGCTGCAGAATGCGGCCGCCTGTGAGCTGCCGGGCCCGACTTACTGACGATTGTGCTCGAGGATGAATGTGCCTCGCGCGCTTGATTAGGGTTCGATCCGAAACTCTGCCTTCGAGGCCTCCCGCGCTCGGCCTTTCGCCGTTGACGTTGCCAACGTCGTGCAATCGGGGCCTCGCCCATGAATCTCCGCGCGCATTAGGCCACCGATTTCGCAACTTCTTGTTCGTCGAGGTGCACGAAAATTCCGCTCTTCTTCTTCATCTTCTTCATCATCTTCTATTTCAGAGTCAGAGGCAGGGACGAAGCCGGCGAGAGGGACTGTCAGCGCTACCCGAGCAGCGCACGAGATCACAGGCCACCGGATTCCGTCGCGTCCTCGGGCACGGCCTCGTCAAATTCCGATGCTCTGTTCGCTTCTGTGCGGAGAATTTTAGATTTTCCTCGAGTCGCTGGAGTCGACGAAGCAGTATCGAGGTTCTGTAATCCCGAGTTTCAGACATTTCGGCGGGGGAGGCACAATGGGGAGGGCTCCCGGTTCCGGAGGGGCTCCGGCCTTTCGCTTCACTGCCAGAGAGGTACCGTTTTTTTTTTCGTATTTTCTCCAAGCTCTTCCAGTTCTGAATTTCCAGCTGCAGATGGTGCAATGGACGAGGGACATTTGGAACCTCACGAGGCTGTGACTCCATGTTGGTGGTGGAAATTATTTAAGAGAAAATGCCCGACTAAATGCTTGCACGGGGGCTTGGAAAATCACCCGGGATTAGTGAGAAGCTCAATACTTTGGTTCGGCTGGTGCATCTGGTGTATTTTTATATTAGTTAAGGGGTTTGCTTGGTTTGCTGGGAAAAGGAAGGACTATCCGCATAAATACAACGTACAAAATCGTGCACAACCTTTGCCCACAAAGTAAACCTAATTTATATGTTTTGTAAGACCAGTTAACATGCTACAAGTTTCCGTGGAAAGTCATATCCTTACATCGGGTAGTTTGGTTTGGTGAGGGTTTGTTTCCTGAGAATTTAAGCTGGTTGATCTGAATCGAACGAACTTCAAAATTTCACTAGCAAATAAGACCCATTTTTGGCTAAACGCAATAATCGTTTATTCAATCAGCGAAATGTGACTGAAGGTTTAAAACTGGCTGCAAGTTTAGATAGACATAAAAAGGTCCAAAGCTAATGATCTGATTTTTGTGAGCGCACACTCTTCTCTTCCTTCGTTTATCAAGCTCATTTCTGGGACTTGTGAGGGCTGGTTTGACATCTTCTTTGATGGTAAGTTCAAGACACATATTTATCTGAATCATCAGTTGGTATGAATGCGTGTTATCATCGTGTGGTTCCTCTATTCTATTTGTACAAAACAATTAACGATGTAATTCGTATATAATCTCCATACGCATGAACCTGCACTTATCCAGTCATGCTGATCCAACTTTTGATCTTTCTTCTTTTACTTACCTGCGTATTTTGGTGGTTTTATGAATTCTTTGTGAGAGACATCTTAGCAGGTGGATGCAACCAGATAATTTAATGTCGTTGTAAACGCGGAGGGTGTGAAATTACTTTAGAATTTTTTACACATCTTACATGACCAATAGACTAATCTAATGGATTTCATCTTATTCAAAAAGTGGAAGATCAATTGGCACAGCCACATTCTTGCAATATTTGTATATGTGTGTCGGTTGTTGAAACGGGTAAGTATCATTTCGAATTTTTTATTCAAGCATTAGTTTCTGAACAAACATAAAATAAGGAGATTTGTTGTAAGAGATTTTGCTTCTCATGCAATCGTTACAAAGGCAACCCTCTTACACTGGATGATTGCGCTAAATGAGTCCCATCTACTTACTCAATAATCTGGTCACTTCCAAGTTTGGACAATGCTGGGTGAACCAATTGGATAAATTTTAAATAGTATGAATATAATTAAATGGTCGTGGTATTATAACCTAATATAAATATGTCAATGCATAATCAATGAACTTCCAAATACCTCATAGTTTCATTCTAACAAGGGCCAAGATTGGACTCAAGTCTTACAGAGATTTTATCATGTTAGTACGCCTTTTGTATGCATCCATGAGGGCGAAGTCTTTCACAGTTGCAACTCGACCAGCACCTCTCCCATCATTAGTTGTTCTTTATGTTAAAATATTAAGTTGCACATATTTACTACATTGACGGGCAAATCCTTGCAATTAAAATCGATGAGAGGAGAATTGGTGGAAGAAACTCTTTGCAGATTCTACCACCACATGTCTCATCATTAGCTAAAGTTGATATAATTGTAAACTGATTGAAATAGACGTGTATATCTACTACACTGACGGAGTAATGAATATAGAAATTATTTGGGAATATAGAATTGACGGTAGAAGTCCTTAGACATGACTTGCAGTTTACATAAGAATACTAGATGGAGTGAATCAAAGTTGGTCATCACTGACATTTCTCACATTTGACAACTAAACCAACTCATACACTGATTTATTCATTTGATACATTTATTTTACATATTGCATAAGATTGTCCTCCATAATTACTTCTTGTGTGATTGCATAGGCTAGAAGTTATAGAGTACTTGCTTCAAGCTACAAATGCTTCCAATCAAGTAAGAAGATCTAGATTCGACCCATCAAATTCGAGATTACTATGTGGAAGTGCTGTTTTTTGGTGTTGATTCATGATATATGTGCATGGACGATTGTACCAGCTTTTGTGTCACCATGATGTTGTCTTGTGGTGTATTCTCTAGGGACTATGTGCTACTTGTTAGCGCTGATGATTCTGCCTTTTTTGTCTTCGAAATGTTTTGCACAAACTTGCGCTTTATATAAAATTTGGGATATATGGTAGGCATGAGCCTTTGTTGCAACAAAGACTAAACGCTCGTCCGAACGTTTATCCAATGTATTTTTTTAAATTTTGACACTGCAGTTGTTTGATAATATAATGACACCAATGCATTTGCATAATATTGGTAGGTGTTTTTTTTGGTGTTGATTCATAATATTTCTGCATTGGAAATTGTGAAACCTCTTTTGTCTCCATAATGTCTTTATGTATATTCTTTAGGTACAATGTGCTACTTGTTCGTGGTGAGCACTATCTCTTTGTTGTCTTCAAAGTGTAGGCTTTAGCATTTGTTGCAACAAAGGCTAAGTGCTTGTCCAAAAGCTTGCCAAAAGTACTTATCTATCAATTATCTAATGACAAGATTGCACAATTACATCATGTGTGATTAGCATATGCTAGAAGTTGTAGAGGACTTGCTACATTGTACAAATGCCTTCAGTCATGTAAGAAGGTTTAGATTCGCCACATCAAGGTGATGAGTAGTGTTGATAATTGTTGTTTTGGGGTGTTGAATCGTGTTATTTGTGCATGAATATGTTTATCACCTTTTGGATCTTTATGATGTTCTCTTGTTATGTATTCTCTAGGGACTATGTGCTACTTTTTAGCGCTGATAATAATGTCTTTGTTGTCTTCGCGATGTTTCACACAAATTTGCTTCTAATACTAAAGTTGGGATAATTGGTAGGATTTAGCCTTTGTTGCTTTAACTTATTAGTCTGTCTATGATACCTGTCTTTATCAACCATTACCTGGAGTAAATTGTGTGTAGTAAAGCACCTCAAAATAGAACTTCACTTCACTCCAGGTTCGGCTTAGTCTAAGTGAAAAACAGTCTCTCAACACCTTCGTACACGGAAGATGAAACAAGTAGCGAAAAAAATATTTGGGCTATTTGCGTTGATCGTTTTGGAAAGGTTGAAAAGGATGATAGTTTAAACTCCGTTCTACATGTCAGCTTTTGTTTGTTTTCCTCTTGGTTTGTATTTCATCTAGGCTTCATAAAAGACTCCTCTTTTGATTCTATTCTTGACGCCACTCATGTTGTAGGAGGTTGATCTGTAGGAGGCTAGTGCGAAAAGTTCAATTTCTCTTGCTTTTTTCGGCTTCTCCTCATGTTCACCAAGTCATACGTGGACTCTTCTAGCCAACTTTGTACTCATTTTGACAAAATCACATGGTTAACGATTCGATACTGCGTGTAGGCTCAATGTTCAATCCTATTAGATGATTTGTGAGCGTTGAATAGGAACTTCAAGCTTATGTGGACTGCGAGAAATGCACCAATTGTCAAAAGGTCAACACAATGGTTGTAACTTTTGCTATCATAGGATTTTATAAAAGAAAATCAGTTACGTTACTTAAATTGTTTGAGAATGAATTGGGAACTTTGAGGGCATCATATGAAAAGGCTTCATATTCATGGCATTTTTTGTACATGGGTCGGAGTGTTACCTTTGGGACAATGTGAATACTTGGAGTACTGTTGTAAGAGATTCTTGACTTTGAATGAGAAGCTTAAGAACCAGATGTATGTTTTGATACTTGCTTGGTTGGATCAGTCCCATGGCTCCTTTCGATTTTTCTTGGACCTTAAGTCTCCTTTATTACTTCTTTTTATTGGTTTATTTCGTATTGGGGGTTACAAGATTCTTGCTACTTTTTAGAAAGATTCTAAAAGAGGTACATTTTAGAAGTCTGATATAATGATGTCAGTGGATAGTATGAAAGAGTCAAAAGTCGAAATTAATTCTCGATCTTGCAACCCATGCTTATAACACAGATGAGATTGACATCTTATGTTCCCTTGTTCCATTGTCACTTTATCAATAAAAATAATCTATGTCTATCTATGGATGATATTGATAATATTGATGGATAATATTGACCAGCATGGCTGGTCCTCGCCTTCCACACGTCGCAAGCCCTCACCCGTTAACTATGGGAGATCTCTGTACTTCTGTTTGACAACAGGTATCAGAAATGGAGAAGGCGTTGGATGCAAACAAGGGTTCCACTCCCGCTCGTTCTGTCGTCCAGCATCTTTCAGACAGCTTCAGGTTCGAAGTACTTCAAGCTTTGTAAATATGTGATTCTAATTTTTTGGAAGACGCATTCAAGCAACTCCGATAAGGGTAGAATAGTACTTATATCACATCATTTAAGGCATTTTCTGAGTATGTAGGACATGCTGTACGCACATTCAGTGTCTACTTGTCCGAGGAGACAACCTGGAATTTGGTAACTAGCGAGTAAAGTATCTTGAAGGCGGGTGATGTGGTGTAGAGTGAATACGGGCACGGTGCATGGCCCGTGGTATTCAACAATTCTCCGATCCGGTTGTTTGTACCTCTTGCCCCGCGATGTACTGCCTTACATGGCTCTGATGTACCTGACTTCAAGCCGTCCCATGTATGCAGCGCTAGTGCCGACCGAGCTGGTCAGAAGCCCATACAGTGGAAACAAGTGAGTGAACAACATCCTTTACTTCTCTTTTTACGTAATTAGTGAACTTTCAACGTAGAGATGAGAGACAATGCTAAGGACCTGTCAATGTTGATACTTGTATGTGGTAACCTCATTATTGTCGTTAGTTTACAGCAAGAACCTTGCGGCTCATCAGTCAGACATGGTTGGGTTGCCTCTGATTATTGTACAACTTGCTCGGTTGAAGGTTTGGAACTGGTTTCAAAATAGGCGGCATTCTCAGAAAGCCAAAATCGCACGGAGCCCTGACAAAGTAAAGGCAGTGACAGCCGCTGCGCCTGAACCGTCTCATCCGAAAAGGGTTGCAACTACTTCAGCTGCAGTTCCCTCAGGTGCGACCATGATTGGCTTTTGCTTAGCTGGTGAACTACGGTCGGAGTTTTAAGTACACCCGAAACCTTGGCATCTCGGACTTTACCGACATTCTTTAATATTTGACCCGTGCGTGGAGCTTTTACGCCAAGAGCGGGGAAACGCGGGTCACGGGGTCGCTGATTCTGAGAGTAGCCTGATGCTCCTATATTTTTGCTCGTTGGTCATTCTTGTATGCGCTTTTCTGTGCATGTCTGGAAGAGCTGGTGAAAGAAGAGAGGTTTTCTTCTCGAATCTGTTCAATTCTACTATTAACTCAAAATGTCTTCGTCTACAGCTGCTGCCGGGAGAAGAGGAAATGACGCTCAGATGGAGTTCGAAGCAAAGTCAGCCAGAGATGGCGCCTGGTATGTATCGAGTCTAAAGTTTCATTTCATACCGAAGTATACTTGGTGCCTTGATCCGATGTTTTGTGGAGGAAGCTGCTTCATTCCTGATTCCTACCGCAGGAGAGCTCATAGACTATATGGCATGATCTACAGGTATGACGTCTCGACTTTCATTTCTCACCGCCTGGCAACAACGGGCGATCCAGTGAGTTTCTAAAATAAGTGCACTTTTGTGAAGGATATTTTCGCAGACTGGCACATCAAGTTTGTCATAAATGTTTGGTGTGGTCTGTCAACTCTCGAATTTTCTATCCTTGATTGCCTGGATCGAGTCTGGTTTTCATTATGTGATGCTTTTAGCTCTTTTAAGTTTCAAAGGCTGAATATGTCGAGGTTTCTCTCTTTCAGGAAGTTCGAGTGAGATTTGCTGGCTTTGGGTCCGAGGAAGATGAGTGGGTCAACGTACGAACTGCAGTGCGGCAACGGTCCCTTCCGTGTGAAGCTTCAGAATGTGTAGCTGTGCTTCCAGGAGATCTTATACTCTGTTTTCAGGTAAACTGGAGTCTTATCGCATACCGTCATATTGACTTACGTGGAAATCCAACTAAACTGATGTCCAGCCCAAGAAAGAGAACCTAAGCCTACAAAAAGATTTAGCATAAATTCAACATGTTCAAACCAAGCTAATTTTGGAACAGCTTTGTGATAAGGAAAGCATGCTGACAGCACATGAGGCAGATTCCCCTCCCTCCAAGTCTTTTATGATGGGTTTTTCTGTTCAGCCGATTCAAAGCCCAAGGCAGCCTTGCTTTCAAGTCATTGTCGTTTTCTTCGGTTTGATGGATGAAGTATTAAATCTTTCTATGGTTGCTACTCGGAAACGCTAGGAACCTATTACATTTACGAGGATAAAGCATACGACAAGAGAAGACTTTTTTTCACTCTCCATTAGTTTTCTCTCGTCTTTCCTCCTACTTTCAGACCTTCCGTTGCATATACTTAAATCTCTGGATCAATCGGATAGAACCAGGGGTGTGTAAAGATGTCGAATATGGAATGTAGACTCCACTCAGGAGTAAAAAACAGGTTTCAGATCCATAATCATAGAGTTTCAATGTAGAGTCCTCTTCTGTGTGGGTGTCTATATACAAACGTTAGAAACTAAATTCTAAACTTTGTGTAGTGGTTTGCCTTGGAACGTAAATATTCTGAAGGGTTGAGAGTAACTCCATTCCATACTGTTCAATGCAGGAGGGCAACGAGCAGGCTTTGTATTATGACGCAGATATATTGGATGTGCAGAGACGTCGACATGACGTAAGGGGTTGTCGATGTAGATTCTGGGTTCGTTATCGACATGATCAAGCAGAGGTGACCACCTGATTCAATATCTAGCAGTACCTTTTAACAAAAAGATAAACAACTGTAGTGGCTTTACAGCTGAAATATAGGAGGAGTTCATGCAGGAGCAAACTGACTTGGATGATTGATTACCTTGCTGATGCATGTAGTCACTGCAAGTCTAGACGAGAGTGCGAACATGATGATTCTCAGTAGAGTGCCTTCTTGATCTCTACGATCTTGTTGATGCTAAACAACTTCCTCTGAGTGCAGGAGGTGGTTCCACTGCGTAAGGTTTGCCGAAGACCTGAAACAGAGTATCGGCTACTGAAGCTGCAGTCTTACGGTAAGAATCCTTCGGCAGAAGCAACGCAAAATGCAGCACCGAAAGCCGAGGACACACCTGGTGCTGCGGGAAATGATGTGGCCGGTACGGGTCCGGCCAATTCCTCCGAGGCTGTCGCTCAAGCATCCGCTACCCCGACACCAGCATCTACCACCAGTGCGCAAGCTGCGATCGGAACGGAGGCTGTGCCAAGCTCATCCGCCCCTGAGATTGATCCTCCTTCAGATGCTGCCACACTAAGTGCAGGTCCTGCGGAAATGGTCGTCACAAGCAGCAGCGTTCCTATAGTTCCTGAGCAGATTCTTCCTACTGTGCCCCCCCAGGTGGTAGAAGAAACGAAAGGAGCGGTTGAGAAATCAGGTCAGCAGGTCGTAGAAATCAGCGCTCCATCGATGCAGGCAGAGTCTGAGATGTATGATCAATCTGAGAGCATAGTTGTGTTGGACAGAGTCGATTTGGAAGGCAGTCGCAGTAATGTGTAGCAATGATCTATGGGTTATCTAGGAAAGGGCGTTGGTTGTGCAGGCTATAACACACCACTCCAATTAAGATACAGCACTTCCAGAAGCTCGGTCCAGGTAACGAATGAGTGTACCATCACTGAAGCATTGGGCCCCTCTTTTTAGTTAATGAGATATGTTGGGAATCCATTTGGCTTTCAACTGATTTTGGCGTAGAAGGAGAAGAAGAAGAAAAGTCAACATAGCACAATATTAAATGCAAGCAGAAACCGAACGGGACCCATGATGAACGTGGGCTTTTGTATAATGACTGGCTTTCCCTCAACGTAAAATGGATTGTGTTCAATGTCCGAATATGTTGTGGGGCAAGACTTCGCACCATGAATGAAATTGCATATTTTGTTCGCTTCAAGTCATGTTTTACTTTTTCTCTCTTCATATTCGCACCATCATGAATTGAGTTGTGAATCATGTAATGGATCTGAGAAAGCATGTCTCTTGTCTTGAATATTGGTCAAGCTCGTGATTTTCCAGATAGTCGTGGGCCCCAAATGCTATGTTACTAGCATTTGGTTTCCGACACAGGCGCGTCCAAAAACTATACGGCTCTTGACGGTTTCTGGATCTCATTGTCATAATCCCTTGACCTTGACCCTGATAGTGCATGGATGGGTGAGCCCCTCGGTTACCCTCCGCTGTATCCTTCACTGGAATGACAAGATAAATGCAGGAGACTTCGAGAGGAAAGTCCACGTATCACAGGCCAGCGAAGGCTATAGCAGGATTACTTCTGGGACGAGTCTTGGAAAGAGAGTTTAAGGCTGTCGCTGGAGCAAATATGGCCGTAGGAAATGTAATGAGTGGGCGATGAGTCGGGAGGTCTTCACAAATGAGGAATGATGGGCTGAGAAGAGAGGTCATTTTATGATATTTCGAGAAAAAGGCCTAGCTCATATGCACATCTTGTGAATGTCCCGTGGATGTTTTATTTCTCTGAGATAGGATTTGATGACAGGAATGAGGGTCGACTTTCTCAACATTTTGGACTGGTTTCTCTGGAGCCTATCTTTGGATGGGCTTCCCCGCATTTCTTCTTGGTTATCCTGTCTCCTTCTGGACTGCAGGCGAATCTCCTTCACCCTTAGATATCACCAAAAGACGTTACATTGTCGTTCATACCGATCTTCCCATACCGAGCTTGGGAGGGAGGAATAGGCATATCCTTAGTGTGATTGTGTATGATGTGATTGATTCTCTCTTCAACTGTTTTTTTAAGTCGAGTAAATTTTAGGCATGAAATGTGTAGAAGTCTTACCCTGTCTTGCGATTCATTCCTATATTATTGAGTTGAAAGTCCGATTTGCATGCGGATTGATTGTATGATTTCCTTCTTGTCTTCTTGCTCTTCTTTTGCCCGTCCTTTCTATCATTGTGATGACCTTTCACATGGTTTATCTTTAGGTGAAAGCGAATGGAAGCAACCAATTCGTTATTTGATCAAGATTGATTCATTGGACCCTCTACTATCTGCTGTCTGGTTATGGGAAGGGGCTGGTTGACATTAAGAATCACCACTTAATCCACACTGTGAACAACAGGCACATGTGGGGAATTGCGACGTTCTTTATTTGTTTTGTTGGCACGCACACCTGTACATTCTCAACGTATATGGGGAACAAAACTGTCTACAATGTTCGAATCTAAGATGAATTCCTATCTGGAAGATCCAGTCTCCCGCATCGTTCAATTTGATTCTGGCTCCGTTGACTAGAGATGCAATATGGTCGTCAGACGCTATAGATTTCGGCTTCTAGTTGTGCAGCTTCTACTTCATATTCAAGTGGACAAGATAGAAGTTTAAGCAGAGGAGAACACACTTTTGGAGTAGAGAGTACGATTTTCTGATTTCATGGTAGCCACTTCACAAGTGGGTTGGTTGACACAGGTCTTGAGGACACTATTTGTTGCAGCTTCGGATTGATCGTCTGAACTCCTCTGAGGTTTGAAGCTGACTCCTCTGCCCAGTGGCGATGATCAGTCTGATATCCTGTCATTTCTGTGCACAGTAAGATTGAAATGTTAGCTGCATCCATCATTATGTCACTCTTTGAAACCTTACCAAAAGGTTGTACATGTACATTCTGGATTCACAGCGGCTAGATTTGTACAAGAATGTAGCGAATACAACAGCTTTGTCTTCCTACGGCTACCTCTGAAGAAGTTACCCTGCATTATATAGCTCCAGAGTCATGTAGTCTAATGATACTAATATGTCATCTTGGTGTTTCACGTCGGCAGATGACAATCGTGATAAGCTGACATAAATATGTCTTCTAGTCATGAAGTAAACTCCCTCAATAGTTGCACATAACCTCATGGCTAGAATTACTCTGAACCAACATCGAATAGGGAGAACAGCAACTCAACTCTTGGTTCAGATTGAAAGTTATAAAAGCTGAAAGCTAAGGCTTGTTCAATACTCATGCAACAAGTGGGTATTTGTCAAGAGAACTTACATCTGGTTGTTAGTTTGTACAATTGAGTTTTTTACCTGAAACAAATATTTCTGTACTTGACTAGGCAAGATTTATGGGTGGCTTTAAGGTTGAAGCAGGATGATTGATCAGTTTGTGAAGTTGGTGATTCTCCAACAAATCCATGTCATCTGTAGTTTTTTAGGCATAATCTACGAACTATATAGTTTGTGAGTATCAATAACTGTGCTCGTTTCTTCCTTCGAAACTCGAAAGGACTCCCCATCCATGTACTACAGATTCAAACTTGATACCAATAACTACATGAGAATTTTTGAATCTCTTTCAGTTTACTCAGTCCAATCTGCGAACTTCGACAATTGTTCGTTTCAGAATGAAACTATGAACTTCAGTATACTTCTGTAAGACACATGAAGCTATACTTCTGTTGGACGTTTACTAGTTTAACGTGATAAACGAGTTGGAAGTGAGGCACTGACCGATCCGGAGTGGTGGCGGCTGTTAGACCCTCGAGATATGAAATCTTTCACTATGGAATCGGGAATTTTGCCTTTTCCTTTGTCTTCTAGGCGTTGATCTTTACTTTGCAAGCCTCGTGACGTTATCCTTCTCTCATCAATTCGAGTTGCTTCAGCTGTAGTGCCGTGAAGATCGTGGTCATCTTGAGCTTCAAGAGATGTAAGTTCCTCACCTTCAGTTTCGAAAGGTATAAGTTCATCACCCTCGGCCTCTATAGATGTAAGCTCCTCACCTTCAGTCATAGTAGTTATATATTCTTCGCCTTCATCTTCTAGAGATGTAAGCTCCTCACCTTGAAAGTCGCGAGGTATACTTTCGTCACCTTCATTTTCCAAATATGTAAGCTCCTCACTTTGAGTCTCGGAAGGTGCAGCTTCCTCACCTTCATTTTCTAGATATGTAAGTTCCTCATCTCGAGTATCGAAAGGTGTAATTTCTTCACCTTCGTATTCTAGAGATGTGAGTTCCTCATCTTGAGTCTCGAAAGGTACAAGTTCCTCACCTTCATTTTCTAGCGTTGCAAGTTGTTCACCTTCAGTTTCTTCACCAGGGTCAACAGCATCCGATGTTCCACCTATCTCAAGCTCCTCAGACATAAGATTAGTCGATTGGAGTTCTGTTTCCACTTCTTCATACTGGTGGTTCTTCTCGTTCATCTTAGCTTGAGAATGACGCTGACTACCTGAGAGTCGGGAATTCGTCGATCTGTTGAAGGCAGACGATGTTCGAGCCACACCCGAGCTACTACCACTACTGTAAGTAGAATTCTCCAGTCTACGTGACGCAAGGGAATCTTTCTGATCAAATGCGTCACTTTCGTCGATTGGGTCCAAGCTGCCGTCTTGATATGATTGCAGGTCTTGCTGTTCTTCAAGTGGACTCTCTTCGGTTACAACTTCTAGGTCGTCTTCTTTTCGTCCCTCCACAGGGTCAAGATTCTCCCCATCAGAGTCCTCCCCATAAGACCGTAATTGCTCGTCTTCAAATTCAAGGTGTTCACCACCGAACTGGCCGGTATTAGTTCCAGGTTGCTCGCGATCAAACTCATCTTGATGATTTAGTTCAGTATTGTCATCAGGAAACTCCGTAATATCAAACTGTTCCGGTAGAGGCTTTGATATCTCAACTTCCTCAAGGTCTAACTTCCTATCGTCAAAACGATCTAATTTTTCATCGACTGTTTCCTCTAGGTTTGATTCCTCTTCTTCAGGGACCTGGAGCGTGACCCTCTTTGACATTTTCTTACTCCTTGCTGCTACAGCGGGGAACTCATTTACCAGCATGTGAGTCTTCCTTCGAGCTTGAGAGTTTTGACGACTTTTTGTTACGGTTGCTTCCAGATCCTGTAGCATATCATTCAGCATCTGGATCTGTGAGCTCTTTCTTGGATTTTTTGTTCCCAAGCTTATAACTTCTGGTGGTAAATCCTTCACGGGATCACGGTCAAAGGTACTCTTTTTCTGTGTCGGCAGAACCTCGGACTTTTTTGACATTTTCTTAGGCACCTGCGCAATTGAATGTTCAGAAGTTCTGAACTCGGGTAACCGATCGTGTGAAGTTCTCTGGATTTCCGACTCCATGTTTTCAGCTTGTACTCCTGAGCTTTTTATCTTTGCACTTTGTGAATGACGACCACTCGGGTTTTCACTAGACTCTAGTCGCCCTCCAAAGCTGTACTTTTGTTCTCTTTGAGAGTCCGTAACGTCAGGCTGTACAACAAAGCTGTGCACCGCTTTGGTCTGTGAAGAATGGCGGCTTGCAGAATTCATAGCTCCAGGCTTCACTGCAAGGCCATGCATCCTATCATTAACAGAAGGATGGCGGCTTCCGGAATCCACTGCTCCAGCTTGCATTGCAAGGCTATGCATCCTGTCATTTTGCGATGGATGGCGGCTTCCGGAATCTATAGCTCCAGGTTCCACTTCAAAACTGTGCTTCCTGTCAATATGCGGAGGATGGCGTATTCCAGAATCCCTAGCTCCAGGTTCAACTTCAAAGCTATGCATCCTGTCAATTTGAGAAGGATGGCGGCTTACCAAATCCACACTTCCAGGATCCGCAGAAAAGCTCTGTATCCTGTCATTTTGCGAAGGGTGGCGGCTGACCGGATCCACTCCTCCAGGATCAGCAGAAAAGCTATGTATCCTATCATTTTGCGAAGGATGGCGGCTTACCGAATCCACACCTCCAGGATCAGCAGAAAAGCTATTCATCCTTCCATTTTGCGAAGGATGGCGGCTGACCAAATCCACACCTCCAGGATCAGCAGAAAAGCTATGTATCCTATCATTTTGCGAGGGATGGCGGTTGACCAAATCCACACCCCCAGGGTCAGCAGAAAAGCTATGTATCCTATCATTTTGCGAAGGATGGCGGCTTACCAAATCCACATCTCCAGGATCAGCTGAAAAGCTATGCATCCTGTCCGTTTGCGAAGGATGGGCACTTCTGAAATCCAAAGCCTCAGGTAAAACTGAAACGTTATGCATTTTTTCTAATTGTGAATGATGGCGACCTTCAGATGACAATTCCACAGGGTAAACTGAAATATTAGACATCCTTCCTTCCTGCGACGGATGGCGATAGATTTCAGGTTGCTCCGCTTGGCCATAGATTTCTCCACCTAGGGAATAATGGCGACCTTCAGCTTCCATTCCCTCTGACTGCACCACTACGCTACCTATCCTTCCACTTTGAGAAGAGTGGCGGAACACGGAATTCATTACTCCCGGCTGCATCGAATGATCATACTTAGAGGTCCGGTGGAAGCCGGTATCAGCACCTTCCGGATGCACTGGAAGATTAGACATCCTTATTTTTCGAGAAGGATGGCGACTCTGGGACTCCATGCTCTCTGATTGCTCTTGAAAGCCATACATCCCTCCAGTATGCTTACTTTGAGACTCCATCGTTTTATATTGGTTTGAACCGCTATATAACCCTCCAATCTGGGACTCACGGCGATTTTCAGACTCCATACCGTCCATCTGCACGGGAGGATTAGATGACCTTCTTTCCTGAGTATGATGGCGACTCTGAAACTCCAAAGCTTCAGGTTGCTCTGGGAAGCTGTACGACCCTCTACTTTGAGGATGCTGGCGATTCCCAAACTCGGCAACTTCTGGTTGCCTGGTAACACCGTACATATTTTCACCCTGAGAAGGAAGGCGGATCCCTAGACCAATTTGCTCTGGCTGCATTGCATGATTGTACATCCTTCCAGTTTGAGAATTGTGACGATAGCCGTGTTCCACATTATCCGCCTCCATCTCATGACTGTACCTCCTTCCTGTCTGAGAATGATTGTGAATATCAGGTTCCATGGATTCGGGTTGCACCGCCAAGCTGTACATCCTTCCTGTTTGAAAGTTCTGGGAAGTCCTGCCTTCCATGGGAAGGGATCCATGCGGGAGTCGACTAGTCGAAACCCGAGGATTATCGTAAACCATGCCTTCCGGCTGAACAGCAAAACTGTACATCCTTTCAGCCTCAGAAGGGTGGCGACTCAAGGCTACTGCATCAACTAGATGATACCCGGAACTCCTATATTCTGGAGGTTCCACAGCAAAGCTGTGCATCCGTCCTGTTTGCGACTCTCGTGCATGTTGCAAATTCACATGATTTATCCTCGGTATTTGAGTAAGTTGGCGACTCCTTGCTTCCAAATCCCGTAGATCTGATTGTTTTGGTACCTGAAGTCTTGAGTACTGACGATCTCTAGACTCCTCTTCTTCAGATTGCACCCGCATGCTACTGCTCCTTCTATCTTTAGAATGCTGGTGAATTCCAGCTTCCTTGAGATATGACAACCGTTCACCACTAAGCAAGAAAGGATCTGATCGTTTGAGATGGTTTTCTAAATAATCGCTAGCTCCAAATGCCAAATCTCCTGGTTGAGTTTCCATGCTATCTGTCCTCTCCAAATCAGGATAATCATGAACCTCAGATTTGAAACTTGGGCGGGATATGAGTCCGTGTTCTTCAGTCTGCACTGATGTACTATTCCTGTTCTGAGCATGAGACTGCTCGATGGCTTTCAGAAGATCCGTATTCTGTAGTTTGAGCCCACCTCCCCTGCTAGCTCTTGGATTCCACGTCTCCAAACTGCGATCCCATGATGGTTCTTCGCTGTTTGAAGAAGGCTTCAGGGTTGCCATAACTTCCGATGAACTGGATGGTTCTGATGAAGCTTGTACCTGTCCACCTGTGGGCTTCACTTCATCCTCAGCATTCATCCTATCCAACGTCTGAGTTTGAATAGACTGGCGGTTTCGTACTTCCCAATTCTCAGAGATTCGAGACTTTGGATGATGTAAAGATGATCGTATCGGTGTATCATTGAACGAATATGGCATTGAAGGTCGAGAAGAAGACTGGTTCTTGGCGTCAGAACCACTGTCTTCCACTATCTCAAACTGATGATCCTCATTTTGATGTCTGGTTTCAGCTTCCGTTACTTCAGTCTGCTCTTTCAGGCGCAAACTATGTGGAGTCCCGGGTTGCCATTCTTCTTGAATATCCTGATTCTCGAAACTTGTATTTCTCCTAGAAGCCATCTCTGCAGAGAGCAGTTCAAGGTTGTTGGCAAGCATGCTATCTCGGAAATTCTGATAATTCCATGGCGCCAAAGTGTGAGTCAGGTGCGGAATCTTTCGAACCCCAACGAATTCTTGATTCGCTTCACCCTGGGTCTGACTATGGAAGTCAAGTTGATTTGATCCTCTCGTCCCCCTCCGCATCTGGTTGAAGTTTGGGCTCTTCCTTAAACGCAGACAATCGAACTGCTCTTCCGATTCAGAATCCACCCTTCCTTGTTCCAATGGAGTTTGTGACTCAATAAGTCCTTTTGATTCCAAGACTCCCAACTTCTGTGACAATGTAGTCAACATTTTTGCCAAATATTTCTGTGAGCCTTTCGAATTTAAGGTTTGCAGGTTACGCTTTGTGCCCTTCTCACAGTTTCCATCGTCATAATTATGAAAATCATCAAAATTTGACGGATTATTCCAGTTTTGGTCTATCATAGTCGGATGTCTACCTGGGTTTATTTCATGTTCGTCCCGCGGGTTCGCGCTGCGCAATTGAGGCTCTCGAGTTCGAGAATCCGGAAACTGCCCAGGCACGTCAATTTGTGCACCACCTCGAGTTCGAAGGGGCATGGAGGAATCCAAAGATTCAAGTCTATTCGCATTCAACTCCATCTGAGCTAGAGAATTGCGGCGACTTTTAGAACCAAAAATTTCTGATATAGGTGGCATGAATGATGAGCTGCCTCGTGGAATGCTAGAAACAATATGCTGGACAGACGTCTCTCTACTTTTCCGCCGACCTCCCACCCGCGTTGATTTTTCGTTCAAAATCTGTACAATGGCATCAGACCTTTTCCCGGGTTCGGAGGCATATCTTATGGGAATCTGACTTCCTCCAGGAGGCCAATCTTGCTGCTCAAGGGCTTGTAACTTATGATGACCGCTTCGTGACTCCTCAGATTCAGACTCAAGAGGGATCTGAGCAGGAAAGTCGTCCCTCTTTTGAGTATTATTCAGCTGTCGTATAAATTCCTCTTTGCGACGTCTAGCTTCAGAACCTAATTCTGCCGGATAGGGTGTCGGCCTTCGATGGGCAACACTCTTGTTGCTGGGTCCTGGAAGTTCGGAAACGTAATCCGTTCGAAAACTTGTTTTCGATCGTCCAACGTCAGCCAGTCTTTGAGCAACACTAGAGCGGAATGCGTCTCTCTGAGAATCGTTTCCAGAGTTTACATGTCCATCGTCCAGGAGACGCGCTATTGAACTTCCGCGAACGTCTCCACTGCGGCCTGCCTTTGGCTGAAGGTCACTACTCTCGCCGTACACGTTGTCGACGTGCGAAGAATCATCTTCCAATTTAAAATTGTCTGGCACCACCACACTAACTTTGTGGGAGCGGTTTGCGCCGTCAGATTTATCTTTGACTCTTTTCCTAGGAGGGCCGCTCTGTATGCCTAAAAGAGCAAACTCCTTGGCAATCTCCTGCTGCAGTCTACTTTGCATTTCCTCGTGACTAACGTGGTCTCCAGGTTCATACTCCTGTCGAATGTCAATATATAATCTCGATTGGGCCACGCTGCGTTTATTTGCTTCATCTGTTTCCATTTCCCGACTCTTTTCGGAGCTCCACGATTGATGATCCGGCTTGGATTCCATGATTGAAAAGTCTAGCGACGGCTTTCCCGAAGTTTCACGATCAGCCGAAACCTCTCCGGCTGCTAAACGTGAAGAACTTTCTAAGCTCGGTCTGAGCTGGTAATTAGAGCTTGAAGCGAATGGAGGCACCTTCGTGCCGGATCGGCGTTTTGTGTTGCTCTGATCATCCGCAACAGGCTCCTCATGGAACAATGGATTGTCATACGGCCTCATAATGGCGCTGGATTCTTCCATTATGACACTTTCGTCATCTGGATCTTGGCGAGAATCGTCCACCGGCAGCTTTTCTTTCTGCTGTTGTTGATGACTCCAACCTTCCTGTTCATATGAGGAATGGAGGCCTTTACTCCCACGCTTCTCCTTACTTCGACTTCGACGGGGCCCACTGAGAATATGAGCTTCCTCAAACTTAAGTGCATCGATTTCTGATCTTTGGAAACTCTGGGCCTCAGTCCCATTTTTCGCTGAACTGGAATGTCTTTGCTCCTGAATAATCTCGCGGGAGTCGCGCAGGTCAGAGGAGTTGCGCTCTCTTCTCGGAGAGCCTCTATATTCTTGAGATGCTCTCTGCCGGGCTCCGTACTCGTTCAGACTTGGGCTCTGATTTTTGTCAGAATTTGACTGTGACGATGTGCTATCATTTGCTACGTACTCGAACTCTTTATCAATCACGGAGAAAACTTCAGACCTGACGTTTCTGGTCAGATCATTTGAACGACCTGAGCTACTACTACCTTCATTACCTCCCACTACTTGGGAGAAAACTTCTGACCTGACGTTTCTGGGAAGATCATTTGAACGACCTGAGCTACTACTGCCTTCATTACCTCCCACTACTTGGGAGGGAAGCTCATCTCTGTCATACTGATAATCATTGTTGTCATCCATCTCAAATTGCTGATTGTTCTTTAAAGGATTAGAAAGACCTGCTGTATATTCTGTCGTATCGACATCCTGACTTGGCCGATCATGCAAGACCCTCGATTTTCGACTGTCCTTGCGCCGCGTAGCAAAGTCTTTTTTTTCAAAACTGTCGCTGGAATTTGACGTTTCCCCCTCAAGAGCACCTATAGATTTCGACTCGAATGTAAGTTCTTTGAAAGGTCTATCCACAAGTAGCTGGGATTCCTCATCCCTAGTACTCGGGAAGATCATGTCGCTGCCGGAACGCTCAACATTAAACTGTTGCAGCACTGATGCTGGCTTCCAGATGTGATCATATTGACCTTCCTGGGCTTGGTAGTCTCGACAAATCTCAATCAACCCGAGATTTTGAGATATCCGGCCATTTTTCACATCCATTGTCACAAATTCTCGACTTCCGGATGCCAAACTTTCACCCTGTGAATTTCCGACTACTCCTAAGATTTGGACGGCTTGCACGGGATCTGAAGGAACTCGGCAACCATGACATCGACAGGTTTGGCAGCCTCTGGCCTGAACAATCCTCGCTTCGGCTTTTCGAGTTTCGTACGAACTTGTAGAGGCTCCGGAATTACTGGTGGAACCTTCTGTGCCTGGCACCATGCCTTCCAGCTTTAAAATTTGATACTCGTAACCAGAGTTCTTAGTTACATGCTGTTGAACGCTGCTAGCTGAAATGCCATCCTCTGAAGCATCTTCGCAACCACAAAGTTGGCAAGTGGATAGGCGAGATGTCTGCAGGTTGCCTTCACCTTCAGACTTTCGTTTTAGAGGCAGGTCAGCTTCAGAAGTGTACCCGTTATCTTTATTAAGGGACACGTGAGTGGAGGCACGACTGGAATAACGCTTACTAGTCGGTGATGTCTGGGAACTTCTATCTCTCAGTTGGTAATTTGAGGCCCTATTCCTCCAAGAGTCCACGGTAGGCTGAGGATTATTAATGGGAAATGAGCGTCGTCCTGAACGAACCTCATGCAAGCTCTGGGGACGACTCTTGAAGGTGCCATCTTTGAAGCCAGCGGCTATCGTTTCCTGCATCTGGAGTCCAACAGCTTCTAACTGTTCCTCCACGGACTCGAGTTGCTGTGCAATGTCGTCCTGCATTTCGCTTGTTAAGCGATCTGCTGCAAGCTGAAGAGCGTGATACGGACCTCGGGTAGATGGAAGCGTATCCTGACGATCCTCGTCGTCGTCGTTCGTATCGTTCTGTGACAAGCCAACATCTCGCAAATCGCCGCGAGTAGCCCGGCGGGATCTCCGTGTTCGCGTCGAGTCCGAGCGAGGCTCGGCTCTTTTTTGAGGCGAAGCGGATGAGGAAACGACATCATCATTGGAGTCAGAATCTTCACCTTCTCGACGGCTTCTGGATCTTGCCCTTGTCGAGAAATCAGTGTTCATGGCCCTTCTCTGATGATGAGCAAGAATCAAATTCTTGAGATCGAATTCGTCACTGTCGCTGCTATCAGAACTCTCACTACTTTCCAACGGCATCCTCTTCGCCACACGACGACGAAGAATGCAAAACGACCACGATTCAAAGCCAGTGACGAAACGTTAACGGCGGTTAAGCAATGGTTCCAGCTCGTATTTGTGCTGCGTACCCTCCGAATACTGAGCCTTCTCCGGTGCGAAATCTCCGACTCAGTGAGTCATCGCAAAGTCCTAAGACATGGAAAAGAAAGTTTAACATTGCGCTTGAGAATGAGCAACAAGAGCAAGAGCACCTTCAAAATCAATGACTTCCGCCGTTGCCGCGGCTTCCAGTCCCTTGATAAAGGTCCAACCGAACTCCGACATATCGCAGAGGGTTTTCTCTCTCGTGCTTTTTCTCAGAGGACTTAGTACATATGACCAATCAACTACAGTTGTTTCCACGTGCCTATCGTCCTCCGAGGGGGAGGCTTTGAATGTCACCACACAGTCTCCCAAATTCATATTACTGCCTTCCACCACGTACGCGTATGAGTGCTTTCCTTCGTCTATGACCAACAATCGTTCCTTGGCCCAACCTTTTCTTCTTCCACCGGGAAGTCCCGATGGCGAGTACAACGTGTAAAATCGAAGACATCCCGGTACGCGGTTGCGCCCCTTCAGTCTCTCACAAATCTCGACGATTGGAACAAACTTCTGCAGCCCACTGAAGTCTGATGCTATCTGCCACGTTCTGTCAATCGGAGCAGCTATGGCAGCCGTGACACTGCCGTGCCACCTGACAAAATTCTCATCGCTTTCCATGTCCATCCCAACATTGCCTTTCAAGTCTAGCACCTTCATCTCGCCTTCCTCGTCATCTATCAGGTACTACCTCTCTTTCACTCAACCTTTTTACACCGTACCCAACCTCCGGCCACCGAACTCCTGGCTAAGACGACTTCTTGCACACAACAAGCGATCATGCTTCCAATGAGCATAATCTCACGTCCCTGAAATCGCTCCGAGGCCTCCGAACTCGCTTCCGATCGCTCTTCATCTTCCTCCCTCTCCCTTTCTCTCTCCTCTCTAACTCTCTCGCTGACTGCCAAGAATCGTCGCCCTCGAGCGCAAAATTCGAGGGCGATCTAAATCAATGTCTCCAAGCATCGTATGATCGAAACAACCCGGGATTTCTCGTCGCCTACAGCAAGATCGATATTCAATTCGTCTCTATTTTTTTGGCGTCCTCGTCCTGCTGCCAAACATTCCGATTGCTCTCGTCGACGAACGACGAGAGGAAGAGCGATGTTCGTCAGTTCCGCATCGTCGGCATCGAGAGCAACGAATCGACCTCAAGAACGAGAACTCGGACGAGCCCAAATTTCAAGATTCGTGCACTCTTCGCGTGGAGAGACGTTGGGGCCTCGTCCGCGGCTCGAATGCTCGTTCGCTCACTCGAAATGCAATCGGGAAGCCGTCGTGAGAAGGGAATCAGATGAGCCGTCGGATCGAACTCTCCCCCTCATGCAAACAAATTCTGTTCGTCGATTTTTCGGTCGCTCATGGCAAGATTGTAACGCGCGGAGCTCATGCATTTCTGAGGAGGAGGTCCGAATCTGTGCGCTCGGCTGGTCGTAGACTCGCAGCGCACAACGAAGACTTTCTGCCGGTCATCGACTGGCCGCTCCGGTTGCCGTCACTGAGCAAAGTGGGTTCCTGGTTCCTGGTTTCTTCACGGGAACCGATTCAATCCGCTTCCAAGGATTGTTCGAAGACAGACGTCACTAATTTCAAAGTCTGGGAAATCCTGTCGAGCGTTACACGATGAATGCGAATAGGCTAAGGTTGATTCGTTGTGCAAACAACTAGAAAGGTCGGATAAGGTTGTGGTACTTTGCGAAAGGCAACAAGACAGTGCACATAACAAGCAATCCGGTCACTGTGACCTATTTTAGGTGCTGTATTAAATACCATTGCGATACTGTTGGGCCTATTCGCATTCATCGTGTAACGCTCGATAACAAAAGAACGAATCGAAAGTAAACTATCTTTTATATATATATATATATATATATATTAGAGTGACCAATTTCTAGTTGTTTGCTCATCTTGTTATCTATAACGAAGGATCACAAGCATATGCGAACAAACAAATGAGATCAACGAACCTAAACTATAAAATTTTTGGATTTTAGTTTATCGCTATTTCAATTCAAAGGATTAAAACTGTTTGCATCAGAATGTTGTTAACGATAATGTTAATGTTGTGGTTGATAAGTCATTTCTTTGGAGCCCTAAACTCCCATAAGATCAGTGACGACTGTGGCAGTTTACTTAACCCGTTGGTAACTATGGGTGTACATGCGATTGGTGTTTCTAGTTTCCTGCTATGAAATGTTTGGCAAGTTTTCTCGTCGCGCCCAACATTTATTCTGTCCCTGGACGTAACCAGATTGGACGAACCACATTACATCTTTGCGTTGTGTCAGTCTTCTCTACTCGTCTCCTCGTGTTTACTGTCAGATTTTTTACCTAAGAAATGTAAGTATGATGTTGAATCATCCATTTGCACATGCTATATTCTTACAATAGATTGACACACATATATTTTGACACAGAGTGCAAAGGATGTAGAGAAGAAGTTGCAGATAGTGAAAAAATTTGAGACAGAAGTGTATATATTAATACCAACGAACAAAAGATTGCTGATTTGGTCACTTTTTGAATGGCTATAAGATTCTCCCTCTCAAAGTTGTCATTGTCACCATACTGGATACTAATGCTCAAAAAAATTGAAGACTAGACAGATTGAATAAATTTCAATACTTTGGAGGAGTGTTACTGGCAAGAGTCTGTCTCAAATTTGTGTGAAAAAGTCTGAGCCAAGAAAACCATGAACCTTTAGTGATCAATTGAAAAGAGAATTCTACTTGTAATGTGCAAACAGAAGAAGCTTCAACCTCGAGACAAGGTGATGATTTTTTAAATGCTTGAAACATAAGTGTGTGTACTTAAAGATGTTATGATAATCACATTTTGAATGTATGATATATCAGCTCAAGGTGAAAAATTGTACCCTGTGATAATAATTAGGAAAAAACATATTTGAACAAGATATTCTTCTTAAATCTAGCAAAAGGCAAAAATGAAATGTGTTAGAGTTCAAATTCCAAAGAAAGTAAAAGCTAAAAAAGATAGTGCATACTTCAAATATATTTTCAAAAACTTCACTCCTGAACACATAAAGAACCAAATAAAACGGGAAGTTGATTGCTTTGATACTACATCTCTGCCATAAACCTGGCAATGTGATATAAGTTGTGGTGGTGTTATGACCCACGAAACTTTTAGAGATAACTTTTGTTCAAGAAATATGGTAGTACTATCACTAATAAAGAAAATAATAGGTAAATGAATTCATTTAAGTCGCTACTCCACGTGACTACAAATATTTGTATTCGATTCATCTGATGCATTGTTTTGGAAAATTCTAAATTAAGCCAAAATGCATATTCAAACAATAAATTGAATCAAGTAAAGGTAAGAAAAAGAAAAATTTTATATTCAAAAACTTAAATAAATATCCAAATCTAGAAATTATTCTTTTAAAATAATTAAATATAAAATTATATAGTAAGAAAGGAAAAAAATGTAGAATATTTCATCAAATAACTTCATGAGAAACGCCGTGAAATGAGAAAGAATCGGAAATAAAAGAAAAAGGGGAACGCAGTGGAACACATCACAACAGTGGCCTTCCCGGAATTCCCACATGAGAATAGACGGCAACGAATAGGAGCAAACGGAGTTCGGCAGGACTCAGACTTGGCGTCGAACACAAAACACTCCGGAACCGGTCGGCCGCAAGTGCGGACAATGATTTGCAGGAGTGGCTCGGATAGAGAAAAAGAAAGTGAAAGCGAAAGCGAAAGCGAATGGCCCAATCATCCCGCTGGTCGCTCCTCCGCGCGTGGCCTCGGCCACCGTTGCACCCCACGGCCCAATCGCTGCTCCCTTCGTCCTTCCGTCCGTCTGTCTTGTCTGTCGGTCGGTCGGTCGGTCGGTCGGGCTGGCCGCGCGGGAGCGTTACAGAAGCGAGGCATCGCGCTTAGCAGCCGCCGCTAGAATAGGGGCCCCGTATACCCGGTGCAAGTTCATGTACGCTCGCTCGCTCGCATGCAGCCCGACGACGACGAGCGGCGGCACGGCGGCAGCAAGCGAAAGAAAGCGAGCCGGGGAGCCATTCGCCCCGTTGTGCGCGGAGCAAAGGAGTGGCCAGGAAGTGTGGGGGGGCATTCGTGGTCGCTCTTGGCTGCCGCGGGCGGAGGCGGGCCCCACCGCGACCTCGGTCAAACGGGCGGGCGTCACGGCGATCGTCAGCATGCAGCAGCCCGAGCGCCAGTGCCAGTTCTGACATGTGCGGGGGGCAATGGGGACGCTGGATTGGTCGCTGGCGGCCGTGGCAGGAGTGCGCCACAGAAGCGTTGCGAGCTCCGGGACCTGGAGCTAAAGCACGAGCTTCGGTGGCCTTTCCTCGGGGCCTCCTTCGGCCGTTGCGAGTCTTGGTCACACACATGGCCTAGTACAGAGTACAGAGTAGTGCTGCCGCTGCTGCTGCTGTCTGGGCCTTGGCGCTAGGGTTTAGGGGGCAGGGGGTGGAAGGAACGTTTTGGGAGCAGACTTGGAGACTACTGTGGAGAGAAGAAGAAGCTGAGGAGAGGAGCGGGGGGGACCCAACACTTTGCCCAAGAGGCAGGGCAGGGCAGGCAGGCACGCAGGCAGAGCGAATGAGGGAGTGAGACCATGGGCCCAGTTTGTTTCACTTGAGTTTTGTCATTCTCCTTTTCTATCGATTCCTCCCTATCCACGTTGCTCGGGTCTCCTCATCCGTCCCCGCACCTCGTCACTACACTCTTTTGCTGTTGCTGCTCTCTTGTTCTGCTGCAGCCTTGCAGTGCAGCCGAGGGAGTCTCTCAGAAGGAAGAGGTAATCCTTTCATCCTGAGGGTGAAGGAAGGAGCAGTCGTCGCAACATGGCTTCTCAGCCGAAAATCATACGGCTCTCCCAATCCAGCCCTCCACCTGATCTCGATCCTGAGGAGGAGCCTCCGGAGAAGAAGCCCGAAGTGACTTTAATTGGAGGAATTATGGAGAAAGGATTTTCTTCTTCTTCTCGTAGTGATAAATTGTCCGCTCCTCAGCCGAGAGTTACCCCGTTCCCAGTCGCCAGGCATCGCTCGGAAGGTCCAGTAAGTGTCCGATCTTCTGTGTGTTTCGCCAGAACTTCGAGCAATTGTAACTTCATGTGATGAATTAATTTTTGTAAGTTACGGCATTTGAGTTTCTCAGCTACTGTTTCTCTGAGAAGAATTCAAGTCCGAAGCTTGCCTTCATACAATTTGTTACTAAATTCTCGGTACGGATTCCTGGCTGCAGTACTGGGCCCCTTTGTCGAGAATGCCGGTGCAATCCAGGATGGAGGAAAATCGAGAGGACGAGATGGCTACAGCTTTAGCTGATTACGCCGAACCACTGAGTAGAAACAAAGATAGGACATCGCCGGTAGCTAGTCAGTGGCGAAGTAACCGTAAAGCTCATCGGAGTGAAATCTCTCAAAACAAGAGTTCACCTTCTGATGCTTTGAGTTCGGACAGCGCTGCTTGTCCAATTGAACCTGACCGAGAAAGCTCTGAATCGATATCAAGTGAGCGTCCATTTACCCAAACCGAACTCGCCTTGAAAATGGACTCGACGGAGCCACTGGAGCCGGCAGTGTTTGATAGTGGAGCTTCGTCTGAGAAAGTGAAGACAATCACGAGCATGGGGTCTCACACAGATCATGAGGAATTCAATGGACAGTCACCAGGTGGAGCAATTTGCAGAGAATTTGTCGATTTGCCATGTAGTCAGTCCGAGGGGCAGCCGGTTAGTACATCGAGTGGCAGCTCTGAGCAGTCTGACTTCGTTAACGAGAGTAGTGACCAGAGTGTACTTCGGAAGATGCAAGAAATTGTGATGGGACAGAAATCTCAGCTGGTCTCTGGCTCTGGTCCAGGAGGTAGCAACATGGGAATGTTGGATGCAGTTAGTAAGGAAATCGATGCGGAGAACAGGAAAGCGTTGTTTTCAATGTCTTCTGCAGAGGTTGCGGAAGCCCAAGCTGAGTTGTCAGAAAAGCTACGACCTGAATTGGTAGAACTGCTTAGAAAACGTGGCTTGGAGAAAGAGAGGAGGCGGGTCTCAGAATTGAAAGGATCTGCTGCGAGTAGATCACAGGAAGGACGTAATCCGGATGGGAACATCGCGTCTGTGGGGCAGTCTAGGGGCCCCTCTGAAAGTCACTCAGATGCAGAAATTTTGAGCCCATCGGTGGACGGAATGAGAGACATCCCTACAAATCAAACGTCAGTGTTACAGGGTGAATCTGCAAATGGAGGCGACTTGCTTAGCGAATCTGTTACAGCAGGGGACAACCGAAATAATGCAGAAAGCCCCGAATCAAATACTGAGAAGAAAACCACGTCGTCTGATCTTTGGACTTTGAGAGTCGAGGCTGTCAGGACAATGCGATTCAATATTGATGGCGAAGTGGTCTTTTTCGAGCCTGCTAAGGAGGAGCCAGAGACTGCGGCATCAAGCCCTTCCGGTTTGTTCTGAAGCTATTGTTTGTTATTGCATAGCTACCATCGTTTTCTTACAATCGCAGCGTAAGTGGCTGTCTCCTCCAACTAGTGACTGGGAAGTCACGCTGAGAGGTGATTGCTGCTGCCTGAGTAACTACAGAGTAGTTGCGGACTTCCTTTGGATTCTAACCTGTTGTAGGTTGTCATCCTCCCACTTTTCCCATGGTTCCTCCCTCTCGTTGGCCCCTCATCTCATCTCGACAGTTGTGTCTTTGGTGCTTTTGGTGCGGAAGCTGCCGCAGTCAACAAGCAGCAGGATGTTTTGAGTGCGGTCGAGCGCGATATGATACGAACTGAGGGCGATCCTGCTGGATCTGGCTACACTCTGAAGGAAGCCTTGGGTCTTGTACGAAGCACGGTAAGTTGAGGGAGAGCACATTCCCCTTGTTCGTTTGGCAGATAGAGCTTTTTGCGCGTATCCTCGTAACCATTTCGTGGTGCAGAGAGAGAGGCAAGTGAAAAGTGCTGGCTCTATGGACTCATCGTTTAGGTCTAGCTGGATACAGTAGATAGAAAATAATACCAATTTCTCTGGGAGCTTTGTTCAGTGTTTTCTTACCTCCTGTGATTAAACCTTTGCCTTTGCAGGTCCCGGGGCAACGATCTGTTGCTCTTCGACTTATTTCAGCTGTGCTGGAGAAGGCGACTGTGGGCTTTCAGAATCAGCAGCGAATTCCTACATCCTTTGCAGATTTAAAAGGGCTTGTGGATTGGCAGGCCGTGTGGGCCTACGCACTGGGTCCTGAGGCGGAGCTAGTCTTAACTCTCAGGTCCACTTCGCCTCCTGTCTTTTTTCCTACTAGCTGTTGCATGGACTTTCTGGGCTATCAAATCCCTTCAATCATAGCGAATGACCTGTCCTCTTTGTGCCGCTCACTTGGCTCCGCTGTATAAAATTTTAAGGATTCCTAAAAGCGGCCTCATTCATTCGAGAGATCTTAATGTTGACAGGCTTAAAATCAATCTTAAAATCAACTTTGACAGGCTTTTGTCTTCATTAGGACTTAGAAATTGCTCTCCTTCCGTTCTGAGGTTTGCATGCCGCATCAAAAATTTGTAGGTGCTGTACATACATTTACATATTCAAGACATTTTTTAACTCCCAATATAAACTTAGATTACGTGGTCCAGAGAGTGCTTCCACTTCTCTGGCCTCGTTGGGAAGCGCTGAAGGAATAGCGCGGTCTGCTTCCATGCTAATTGCTTGCGCTGAAGCAGACCGTGGAGGCAGTTATCACGAACTGTGAGTTTCTAGTAGAACGGTTCAATTTGGACAATATAGAAGAAATCTTTGCTACCAAAACCGCTCAAGTTTTGGCTGCTATCATCTTTACTGAAGTACTGGATAGATATTTTTATTTTTTGGAAGGTTGTAATTTAGTTTTGTTAGGTGTACTTGCGTTATGCTCATGGTATGCTCTATCCATCTAGGGAACCACTTTCAGGTATAGCGGAGTCTTCCCTGTCCTTTGTCCCCTTCATTACATCGCGCGATGTAATCTTGTGTCATACGCGACTTGTTTCTTTATCTTAAAGTACACCGCTTACTATCTACTAGCTAGTACATCATGATTGAGTGCTTGTAACTCTTGTCGAATTGGTACCGCTGAGGAATCGTTACTGCCGCTTGCCTGCTTTTATCGACATATTTAAGTATACCCAAGCCCCTTATACCATGTTTATTGAATATTTCCAGACCAAGCGCCCAGTACTCTAAAATTTTCAGCGTGAGCCGCTGTTCAGTGCAGGTCAATGCGGCTGTTTATACTAGCTGCTTCTTAATCAAGGGTCTTGGTTTTTATCGTGTAAATCGTACAATGTCGTATATTCATTTTAGGATTATACGATATGTCAATATCACGATCTTTCAAGATTGTGCTTGATCAAAATTTATGAAGTCCAAGAACACCTCAGCCATGAGAAATCGCTCTGTTTATGAAATTCAATTTCCAGTAAGTATAGTTATAGACAAAAGAGAATAATACATAGTCAGATATTTATCTTTTAGCATTCTTGAACTCATAAAGATATTGAACATGATTTATATGTTTGATGTTGTTTTTGAATTGAGCAGGTTAGCTCTGGATGATGGGCACTCTACAGTTGTTGCTACATGTGCCAGAGCCATTCAAGCCCTCTTTAGCTACGCTTCGAATGAGAGCTACTTTGATTGCCTTGAGGTCCTTATCTTCTCTTTTGTCTTGTCTATGGTACTTACACATGTGGTGGAGGCCGTTTGATATAGTTTTATTTTGCTCTGTGTTTTGGTTTCTGGTTTGATGTGTTACCTTTTCTATTCATTCGAATGAAAATTACATCGTCGTTTTTCGCAACTCAAATTTCATTCATTACGTAAACTGCTTTCAAAAATGGAGGCACGAAATATGAAAAGTAATACATTGTCAGTCTCTTCTTTACTCGTTTCATATCGGGTCATTAGCACTGTAGATTCAATGGTACCTCTGTTTTCGATCGGCCCTTGAAGGGTACAATAACCGTTCGTGTACTTATTGTTTTTACAGGGTCTGTGGCCTGGAGATGATCTTATTTATACCGCACCTATATTTCGATTGAAAACAAAGCACAATGAAGGTTTTATAGGAAGTGGTCGCTGGAAATACAATGTAAAGAGGAGTGAAATGTTCCCTTTCTCAGGGAACTCTGTCCAGGAGCAAGTTGAGGAAGAAGGAAAGGATACAGTTGGAGAGGATGGGCATGTTGCCAATAAAGACGTCGTCGCTGGTCTTGTGCGGATGGGGCTGTTGCCACGCATCCGTTACATACTCGAGGTAGTTGTATACAAATGTCTCCTCATTCACAGAGTCAAGTGCTTTCACTTTTCTCCTCGCGTGGCATAACGCTGGCAAAGTCGCGCGGGACTGTCTCCAATCAATGTCTTGGCGCGTATTTTACAGTCTCAATTGTTTGATGTGAGCATAATACGTCATTGTTCCCTCCCATATTCCGTTCAAGTTGAACCAGTATCTCACGTACTGGTTGGCAGGATTGTGATGAACCTACATCCATGACGCTCCTTGCATGCTTTGTTCACCTAGTTAGTTCTTTTTAAAACAGGTGCACGGAGTCTTTCCTGTATTTGTTCAGAATTTTTGGCCTTCGAGGTACATCTCTCGATGCCTACTTGAGTAGGCGTTGCTTCGAGGTTGTTGTACTGTCATTGCAGTCAACTGCTTCTTTCGATATGTTTTTTACGATGAAAATCTCGTAGTTTAGTGCTTGCAATTAGTATTCTTTCAGTCTGTTTTTCAAGTATTCGAAGGGCTCACTACTTACAGGACTTGTCTCGGAATTTATACTTTCCTCATTCATACTTGCTATCATACACTGAACCAGTTCCTGAATAGTAATTCCTGCTTGTACAAAGTTCAGCCTTAGTGGAATTCTTTGTTTGCAACTCAATATGTCTTTGTCATGGTAGCGCGCTCGCCCTTATTGCTGCTCAACTTCAATCGGATTTCAGTTCTGATTGATCTGAGGTTTGCAGGTTGAAGAGCTTATTGTTCCAGACGACGCCTTGCTGTGCGTCCTGATTGCCGTGGCAAGGCACTCTCCCGCAGGTGCTGCTGCTGTTATGAATTGTCCGAGGCTTATAGATACGATTCTAAGTCGATTTCTCCTACAATCTCGAGAAGTTCCCGAGGCATCCTTGTCGTGTCAGCTCAAGGCTGTTCGTCTTTTGAAGGTCCGCATCTCACTTCATAAATGTCAGCATGTTCTGCTCTGTGTTTGGATGTGAAAGCCTGTTCTGTTCCACAGTCAGTGATTTTGTCCCATGTTGTGATTAAGCTCAGTGTGATAGAATTAAGAATGGCCGTAGATGATTTACGGTTTTTTTTTATCATCAGTGTGTCATATGTACGTTTGACCTCTATATTGTCTTTCACTGAGCTTTCAGATGAATGCGACCTTGTTGTACATGCAGGCTTTGTCTCAGGCGAGTAGATTTAACTGCATGTTCTTTGAGAAATGTGGAGTGCTGGAAGCTCTATTGAGGCCGTTTTTACAACAGCCCTCTCGAGAGTCCTTGGGTATACAAGATAATATGAGGGGGTTCCGCTCGAATGCTATAGAAATTCTTCGTTTCTGGAGAGTATGTCTCAGTTACCGGATCGGCCTTTCTTTTTTCACTGACTGCTATCCGACCCTCTGCATATGGCTATTGCCGTTGTCCGAAGACGAGATTCTCTGTCCACTCAACTGCCCCGTACTTGCTATGGAATCATACTCTTTGCTTGAGAAGATTGCGAGAACTCTACCAATCCTTCACGATAATCTCAGTCCCACGGATGCTCTCGCAGTACAGTTGGGTGGTACGAAATGGTCTTGGAGTGTTGCAATGACAATGGTGAACACGGCTCTGAAATGGTTATCACCTGACCGGATTTCCGCAGTTCTTTCGGTTGCCAAGCAATATATGCAGGCGAAGCGAGAACGGTTGTCAGAGGAGATAAATTTAGCATCGAGGACTAAGGAATACCTTGGACTATTGGGTTCTGTGTTGCATTTTCTCGCGACCGTCTGTGAGAAGATTGTGTCAGAGAAGGATCTAGAATGTAGTTTGAACAACACGAGCAGTTGTTCATTGCCCTGGTTGCCTACTTTTGTTCCACACTTGGGATTGGCTCTGGCCACGTGTGGGCTCCTGGATACCGTCAGAGCTGGAGGGTACTCCAAACATTCTAACGGTGGAACGGAGAAACCTCATACGCTTTTCGACCACGTGTTCTTCGGCCTCTCGGAAGGAGGGAGCATACTAGCTGCGCTCAACTGTCAACTTGCCTTGGTGCGGGTAAGCAGTATGGTTGATAAACTGATCTCTGTAAATAAACTTAAAGGGGTCCCAATATCAACGGATCAGCTTGCGTCGCACGCAACATTAGATCAAGGTTTAGTCGTATCGGCCGAGGGAGAACTAAGGAGATGGGTTTCTCTTACTGGAAAAGTTATGACTTCGCGGAACAATACAGCGGAAATGAGCGTTCGAGGGGGACCTGCCCCAGGTGTGGGAGTTGGTTGGGGTTCCTTGTTAGGTGGCATATGGTCCAGAAGTTACATACTTGCTCAGGCTAGCGCCAGGTTGAACCTGGAATTGATATCTGTGCTTTCGGTGAAGGGAACTTCGACTTTTTCCGATGATGAGCTTTTGGGACGCGGTGTAGCACCGAGAGCAGAAAATGACGGGCCGGTTTTCGGTCCTTTGTGGAGAATTAATGCAGGTCTTGCAGTTGCTGCTTTGACAACCCCTCCAAATGCGGATTTGTTGGGAACAGGATGCTCACTTACCATCTTTCATCCCGACAGTTTGTCGTTGCTCTTAGAAAATATAAAATTATTTTTGCGAAGTCGGAATGGTGGAGAACCTGAAGGTATTCAGGGCGGTAATGATCTTGAGCATCCTTCTTTGCACCCTCAACAAATGAGCAAAATTCTTATAAAGCATTTACAGACATTCTGGCTGGCCCCTAAAAAAAAGAAGATTTCAGATGGTGGAGAACATCGTGCTATTCCTGGTAAATCAAACGGGGCCTTCAAGTCTAAATTGTCCACAGTACATGAAGGCAGTTCAGAAGGTGATGACACCACCCCGGAAAGTTTGATGCAAGAGTTTGCTGGGCAAAGGCTTCCTCTTCCGTCTCACTGGTTTCTGAGCCCACTGGTCACAGATACAACGCGAGCTACGACGACAGATACGGGAGCTTCAGTCGGAGAGCTTGAAGATGTCATCACAGCTGGGCTCGCATTATTTCTTGGCCTTGAATTTTGGATTTCGGCCACAGGACGGGCTATCCCTCTCGTTAGGAAGATTCATAGCCTCTCTTGTGTATTTGTTACCGGAGGTGACGTTTTTCTTCAGCCTCCTGCTAGGGATATCATTGGGGTTCTCCAGGATATTATTGGACGTCAGGTCGAGGAAAGTTTACGTACAGTTCCGGAGTCAAATGGTGGTGACAGGTGTACGTCGAATGGAGAAGATCAAGGACAGTTGCAAGCACATCGGAATCAGTCTTCAGAACGGATTACGCCGGATCACAAGGAGCGAAAGCTGGACTTCGAAGGTTCTATTGATCCTAGCTATATGACTTACGCGGAGACTCTAGCCGAACAGTTCGTTGCCTCTTCTTATGGGGACCTTGTCTTTGGAAGACAGGTGGCGCTGCACTTGTCAACTGCAGCTCCGGATATCATCCGTCTTGCTACTTGGCGTGTTCTGTTCGATGCAAGGGTGCTGGAGTTGCTTCCGCCCTTAAGTAAATGTTGTGGCCAGTTGTCAATATATCTTAGCCCAACTGAGGTATAACTTTACTTCACAGATTTCTTATTTTCATTCTTTTCGGCCTTGCCAAATAGGGTTTAGGTGCACTATGGTTGTTGAGAATGTGGAGCATGAAGATCGCCTTGATTATTCATACTAGAAGCACGGACTTGCGTCTTGTATTCTTCTAATTGTATGTACGGAATGATTGTTCATATCACAGACGGACTTGAAGATGATTGAAGCGTTCTTGTCTGCTTGGGCTTCCGGCGCTCTTGATAAGGCGGCCAGCAGGAATTCTTTGCCTTTCAGGCTTGCATTGCATTATCTTGGTGGTTACATCTTTGACAAGAGGGATGTTGCAGACGACTTGCTGACACAAAAGAAACTTGCAAGGACTTTGGTGCGGAGCACTCTGAGGAGATCGGATCGACAGGTTGGTTGGGCCAAATAGCTTTATTTTGAAACCAATGTCTGTCATTGATATAGAATTTACGTCTCCCTACTTTACTCGATACAAAACTTACAGTATCACTGTCTTATTTGATACTCACAGATTCATCATTAAGATCTAGAATAACAAAAGATCTTCACCAGTAGATTGTGTGTACACAGAGAAGACCTTCCATCATTTGAAGTCCTTGCTTTTTCAGGAAAGGAAGATGGAAATCAAACTTGCTGCTCCAAGAAAACTCCATCTTCTAGAAATCTTCTTGTTTCCATTGCAGTTCTAGAAAAAAAATTCAGTTGGAGCAGCAAATTTTCCAGATTCGTTCGTTGTGTATCTGTAAGTGAATGAAGGTCTACATTGTTTGTTTTGCAACATAACGACCGACTTCTGTTTGTTAACAGGCCATGCTCATACGACTGCTTTCTGGAGCAACGGCAAATGACCACGCTGGGAACGCGAAGGAACAGGTGAAGACAAGATTAGCCTTTTTGACGGAGGCTTGTGAAGGGGATGCTTTGCTTCTAGCCGAGATTCAACGTGTAACAAGCATTTTGTAGCTGTTCCGTTCATCATTAGTCACATGTTTTGGTGTATCCATCAGCTCATCTGCAAGTTCTGTACAATATCCATGTCTTATCAAGATGAGTCGTAAGCCCGCAGCCACTTCTAATCTTTTTGACAGGACAGTGACGACGAGGTTTTGTATGTCTAGTGCGAGACGCCCTTCTGACAAATTACCGGGCCAACCAACAAATGTTGGAATACACAGATTTTAGATAAGTAGGAAGAGTCGACCTGTTTCTTTTTCCAGTGGACTGAGATTGAGATGTAAAGATTTTGTTCTCATAATCAAAGTTAACCAATTGTGGGGGTTTCACGAGACTCTACAACAACTTCACGGCTTTCAATAGATCCCAAGCGATCCAGCCTATCAGATGAGTTCAAAGTCAACAGGCTTTGTCTACGTCCTTGCCATTTAGCAATCTTTTCGAAGTTATTGATTTGAAGATATGTCGGGGTGAAGTTATTGTCCTCATCTTAGATCGCGTTACTTTGTTCGAGCTTCACCGGCGAAGTATCTCCTTTGCCAAACAGATCACACGAATGAGTTTCTCGGATGTATTGTAAATCGCGCCAAATACACCGAACTGTTTTCATATTTATCACAAAATGACAGGTTAATGTGGAAGCTTTTTTGTGGAAGAATATGTTTACTTTTATCATCAAGATAGTCAACATTGACAACAATGAACATGGTTATGGACTGCACAAGATGATACCCGGAGGTGATATTGTAGTGTTCATCCCAACAGACTCTGCCCGTGCCCTGTACGTGGAGGAAGTGCACGCGACAGTATTGCACAAAGTCGAACAGTGAAGACATTCTTTTTCCTTGAAAGAGCTTTTGTGAAAATGGAAGTACACAGCGCCGTCTAGATTCAATGAAAAAAATTTCACGACCAAATAATAGATGGCAACATTCGGGCCGTTGGACATAGATTGCGTGAAGTTAATGGACTGCCTTTGCGGAGAGTACATCTGAGTGCACTAACAGAAGGCAGGCAAGTAGACTAACGCATTTATTACGTGGACAGGCAAGAGAATGATCATCAGGATAAGCCATCGATATTAGACCGAAAAGATATCACTCACGGAAAGTTGTAATGTCCTCTTCAGAAAGTTGAGCACAGATTCTCATGTAATCGAAGACTTTTGAAAGTTAAGACCTTTTACTGTTGGATAGAACCTCAAGAGACACGAATTTCCAAAAAGCTAAATCTTGCCAGGAGTTATCTTTACTGCAGGTTTATTTTTCTATATTCATGACCCTCATAATTGATTTCCTTGACCTATCTGTTCCACAAGTGAAAACCAAGTTTATTGGTAGAAGAATATGGGAGCATCCATTGATGTTTTCATTCCAGCTCAGCTCCCCTGGGTTATGTTGACTATCATATCGCAAGCGGAGTCTGCAGGTTTATCGGGACTATCGAGAGATAATTTGCAAACCATTTTATTCCGTGGGAAAAGAATCACACTTTTGCTGAGCCGATGTGAGTGAGTTGAAGAGCAGGGGTTTTTCAAAGTCATAGTTGCAACACGTTCTGCTGTCGGTTGAGGACGAGAGACTGATCGCTCACAGAATTTGTCGACAGGGTACAATTTCCCTTATGCATCTAGTTTTGCACATGTGAGTCTTTATCTTTCTAAGTATCCTATGTTAGCAAAAATGTCACAGAGCCTGCCCAGTGGAGCAACCTGTACTGGCACTCTGTGCTAGCAGCAATCGAGGACACTCACTAGTTGGAAAATCTGAAAAATCAATCGGTGACTGAAAGGGGTATATGCCCACTTTCAGTCTTTCAATTAATAAAACTCTGAATTATCTTCTTTAAACCAACGGGAAGAAAATCTCCCATACGGCAACTCGAGTTTTGCTAACCTTGTTCTCGTATTCATTGAAAGAGAAAAATCACTCAGACATTGCAACCCAACAAGGTCAACACAAAAATAATGGGCTCATTTTTCTGAGTGCACACTCACATAAACACAAGAGAGTTTCACTGGATCCTTAATTAGTTTTTGGGGAGCTTGCACAAACTATTTAATCAGTTTAACAAATTAGAGGCAAACTGACTACAATCAAACAAAATTTCAGTAAAATTTTTTCGCATCTAAGTATTCAAGATCATTTCATATACCGAACGTTTTATAGCCATGTTGTTTTATTATGAATTTTTTATTAATTTCATCAATATTATATAAATCATTCTATTGAATTTGGTTATATCAATTTTCATATATGATTTTATAAAATATTTTACTAAACTGATCAATTAAGCTTTGAGAAAATTTTCTTGCTCACAGGGAATATGAGCAACAAAAAAATTATATGTAATAAAATCATGCTGATAGAAAAATGTGTTTTAAAAAAAATTTAATACTTCTTATATGAAGAGATACTTCAACCTTGATTATTTCGATAGTTTAATTCGTTCCTGTAGATTTTGATCTTCTGATATAATTGTGTTATGATTTGCAATTTTGAAAACGTAAGAACTTACATAACATCTGTCTTCAACTTTGTTTTACAAGTTGTTAGACATTTGTAATACAAAGCAGTCTGATAATATGAATATAATAGGAGAAAGGATACACCTGTTCGAAAATATCTAATAAATAGATATATTCATCGCGTTGAATGATTACAGTAGTGTGAGCTTCACTTGCATCGTGACAACAGAAGGCCACAACAACAAATATCATGAATTGGTACTTACATTGCATGAACTTATTTAAAGTGTGTTTCTCATTGACAATGTTTAAATTAAAGATTACAATGAATCCCATTTGTATCTTTTCAGCAGTATAATCTATGATATCCTACCATTTCGTGTTTTAGAGGCATTCTGCTCGCAATATAAGATACGATCTGTCAAGTGAGATGTACTTCATGCGTCTGTAACTGCGTGATTCCAACTAATCATGAAGTACCTAACTTCGGCACCGAAATCAACAAGTTGAGATATAATCACGGCTGTGCACAAATTTCATGAAAGTGTGCAGAATTGAGACGAGAGAATGGCCTAAATTCAGCATCGTGTATGGGGACTGCTGATGTTTAGCGAAGGGGGGAGAGTCGGTGAGGAGACGTGCGCAGAGGCCATGTGGCATTCATGCTCCCATCTACTTGTCAAGAGCGAAGGACTCCAGGTGGCCTCATGACAATTGCCACGCGTGTGCAGCGGTGTCATCCCTCGAACAATCGATCGACGAACAAATCGGTCCTCGATTGCGAACACAGAGGCAAAGAGACGAGATGCGTTCAGTTCAGAACCGATCATTTTACACAATACTCATTCAATCTGCAGAGAAGAGCTAGAGCTGAGACGATTTGCTGCATACCCGCGAGTCTAGACTGTCAAATTTGATTTTGAGGCGGTGAGAAGATGGTAGGAGCTGAAGGATGGAAGACGAATGCGGACACCACGAAGATGAGCCCTGAGGAGGTGTCGAAGCTGAATCTGCACAGCTCGAAGCGGCCGCCGGGCCAGAGCCCCGGAGGAGTGCTGCACCAGCAGGGAGGTGCAGGCCTTTCTCGTGCGGGGAGTTACCCCGTGGCTTTGGCAGGAGTGTTGGTACTAGCGGGAGTCGGGACTTGGGCCTACTATCGACAGTCGCATCCGGCTCCCATGGGGCAAGCAGGCCAGCACAGTCCCAATGTCCAGAAGGAAGCTGCAGAGAAGACCAAGCAGCAGTCCGCTACACACTGATCTGACGAGAATTCGGTTCGCCAAGGCCACCGAAGTGGATGGGAATGAATGTCACGGTGCAACTGGCACAGGAATCTCTTCCATGTTCTCGTGGAGATGGAAATCAAGAGGGCTCATTTTCCAATGGAATCCAGCCCCATCTAGAAATCTCTGGAGTTCGAATCGTAGAGGATGGATGCACTCCATGTACGGCGAAACAGAAGCTTTGTCCTATATCGCAATGATGAATGACTGCTGGAAAGATGAAGGCGAGCTGCAGCTCGCTGGATGCATGCGTAGATCGGGGCCTGCACTGATTGAACAGATTGTTTGCTTCTTCAGCTGGTACTTGGCGGCATCTATCATGTAGATTGTGGTTGGTGCTGATGGGGCAATCCCCGTATACTGCAGACTGTAGCCTAGAGAATTGTACAGAAGATTGAATAATTTCACATGACAGTAGCTATTGTCGGCGTTAAAAGTCACAGCTTGGAATGGCATGGAATTTTTCATTATCTTGCCACTTGTGAATGGAAGCTCCGAGGTTGTTGGTGTATCAGTTCCTGCATTTTAAGACTTAAGTTGAAGTTTTCAGTTGATTGTACTGTTGTGAACTTCCACTCTTATAGCTATTGCCCAACACAGCATGAAGTTCTCTGTGAGCGATAATGCGAGAATGTTGTTATCTTACGGAGAGTTGAGAGTTTTGTTGGTAGCAACCGAGGGAAATGACATGGTTGCTGTATTGCCTGGTTTTAATATGGTAGAATAGAAAAGAAGAAGAATATATATATAACTGATCTGTTTTGATCTATTATGCAGCAAAGTATGATTTTGATAAGATACACGAAACATGAAATCAAAGACACTAGCCAGATCGTTTTGAAAATAAAAATTATATTCTTTAGTAAGCTGACTGTAAAAATTTCTTACATGCAAGATTAGAGGATCAGTACATAATAATTTCTCTCTGCACACTATTATGGCCAATTTTTATCTTTTGTTACATTTCGTTTTCTGCTTCTGTTCTAGGCTATTATATGAGATATCTCATGTAACCTCAGCATATTATAAGATTCCAGATTTATGTCCATCCTTGATTGTACTTCCATTTTTTGCACGACGAAGAATGTCGTCTATAATCATTTGAGAGAGGACTGGTAGATTTCACAGGATTGTATTTTGTCTGTCTAGTGTATCAATTCATGCATTTTACTATTTATGCTTCCTCTCGGTTGTCCTTTCTTATTACAACATCCTATTAGCAAGACATGTTTATATCTCTCTATAATAATGTAGAGGGTGCAGTCAATCTCAATCATCAATTATTTAAGTGAAGCATTTCAGTTGGCGAGATGATCTGAATAGTGGAAATCCTCAAGGACGAAATTCTACGTACTCTACACATAATCGCCCTTCCTTTCTATATAGTTCTTTTAGTATATTCCTAAATCTCTGTTCGACTAACATTGAGCAGAATGACAATGTCAGTCGAGTGCTCGGCGGTGAAAAGACATTCGTGAGACAGCAATCTCTGTAGTCAAAAGTGACGAAGAGGAGAGGATAGGGAGAAGAAGAGTGAATGAGGAGCTTTATACAATCCAATTCTTCCGAGAGAGAAACTTCGGTTCAGCGGTCAGATACATCCCCGAATTGAATTTTGCTCCACGTTAAAAGGAAAATCCCAGTGTACCAGATACAGGGCCGCAGTCTTGTCTTTCGAGCAATTGCGTCACCAGCGGTGGGATGAGAGGCTAGTTCGCAGCCCGATCAAAGAAACCAAATGGGAGTAGTAGACCTGCAGATCGAATGAAGCCGGACAAAGCGAGATGGCCAACGGGTGTTCGGTTTGAGCTTACGTGGGTCATAGATTGTAACTTGATTGAATGTGCTCTCACTTCACTTACTACTATCCAAATGGCCTAGACACAATCTTAAGCTTATCTTCCTCTAGTAGAGACGTTTGATCGTATCCAGGAAAGCCATCCAAGAAATTCTATTATTCAATACCTGCCACATGATTGTCACAGTGCACTGTCTAACATCATGTAACTTACATCATAATGAAACAAAAATGATAAATCTCTTGGGCAGCTACTTATTCAAGCTTTTTGCAAGCGGGTAAGGCCATAGGTTAGACTAGAAAAGAAAGATGATCCGTGGTAGAGTTGGTAGAGCATGATGAAGTCAGTATCAATAGTTTCTGGTTCAAGTGTGAATATCACAACAGAGGATACGATCTTTACCTTTGACCAAAAAATTATGAAGCTGCGCTGTATATGTTATATCTTGAGTACCAATGCAAAAAACTGGATGGAGTGGTGCCAGGAGTGTTGTCACGTCGTGGTTGGTTATGTATTTCTCTTACTTTCATCATTTTAGAATGATGGAAGTAATCTCGATAAGAGAGTGAGTAGAAAATGCTCCTCGGTACATCTTGGTTACAAAAAATAATAAAGCAATAACCAACTTGCAGAAGAAAATTTTGTCATTCTTTAATCTAAAGGCTTCTTCATGGAACAAGATTCCCAACAATCAGAACAAAGATAAGGAGAGAGTGGAGACAAAGATCGCGACCTGAACTTCGTTTTATCGCTATTCTAACTACACCAACGCGTTTCTAGGGGTCGGTAGTAGTTCTGGCAATTCTGGCGTCTAAAAACAGAACGCCAGATTTTAGGAGGCCTGCAATAAGCCAACCAACTTGTTTGGAAAGAAAAACATGATTTATCAGGTTTTGGGAAGCCATCAGAAAAGTGATGGAATGATGGTAAATATATCAGACTATAAAAGAGAGATTTGTATTTGCATCTGAATGTGACACAACACACACATCTTCAAACAATCAAACAAATTTATACCACCTATATAGTTACAACACTAGAGATTTTTTCAAGAACTTACTCGTCCTACTTAAGCTCAAAGCTTCTAAGCATGATGCTGAAGATATTAGCTATTGGACCATTTCTCACTGAATGAAGCTCGTCATGGCCGACCTCAAGAGTATCTTTGAACATTTCCTCCTCTTGTCGAAAAAGATCTAGGTCTTGCAAGTGGCAAAACATATCCATCATAAAGACGTGTGCTCGCTTTAAAGGTTCTTAAACATGAAGGATGCAACTTTTCTCCTCTCTTTAGCTCTAGACAAGCTTTCACAATCTTCTCTGAAAGTTTGTCGTCCTTCTTGACTTGGTTCTAAACCTCAGAGACACGAGGAATGAGTTGTATGTTCACGACCTTCCTCTTGCTGTGTTCATCAAACTCGATGCTAAGACTGCAAGACATGCTTAAAGATCTTGGATGTCGAAGAGACCCTTTGTTAGCACGGGCATCCTCGAGTTCTGAACGCGGATCTTCGTGCACTAATCGTCGTACGCGCACTCTGATTGCCATGTCGAGATCTGGGAGACGAATCACAGTCCGTTGTTTCGAGGGGTAAGCAGACATTGCAGGCCCACTAAGATGTTTGGCTTGTTAGAATCCATAAACGTTCTTCTGCACTGACAGGATGGATGGATGGAGACGATCGACTGAGTTCCGAAGATTGTAGTCCAGAAACGATCACTAGCCACAGCAAAAATAGTACAGCCGGGGCTCGTAGAATGATCCATATCTTCGACGTGAACTGAGCACCGACAGCGTTGCTTTCTCATGAGCAGCTGTATCGGTCCACAGTTATTATCCCTGTTGAGAAAGTTATCCTCCAGTTCCTGAATGTGTTCACATATTCTGTGCTACTGGGGTTTGTTATCAATCAGGGTTGGGCCTCTCAATGACTAGACCAAGGAATCCTCTTTGATCTCTTCCAGACACCCAACAACTGCGACAATTCGACACCGAAATTTACATACCGCGGCAGATAACCTTCTCTGAAAGCAGTATGTAAAACTCATGGAAGTTTCGGTTGTTGTGATTGGATCAGGTTTTTCGTGCACTGACGAAAAAGGGACTTCAATCTTCAGTTACACTACTTGATACTTAACACTTCTTGACTCCACGAAGTGAAAGGAGTGTGTCAGCTAAAAAGGTTCACCTTGCAAGATGTTACTGGTTCGAGCAAGCTAAAAGAGGGTTGTACTCGGTAACGAGTGCTACAACGGGAGGTAGGCTACGTTCCTACTAGAAATGTCCTGCTTGGTTTGTGTTTTGCATCTGTAGTTGGGGCAAGAACAGCACTTTGAGCATAATAAAGATTTAATTTTTAAATTTCCAGGGGGCACAGGACGTTGGACTACAGATTATGGGGAAGTAAGCAAGAATCGATGGTATACTTAAGCTTGGCTATCTTAAGGCGATGCCATAATTTAGAACTAATGAATAATTTGCAAGTGAAAGTGGAAACATCGAGGACATCTCCTGTATGGAATCAGCCCTGGTCAACAATGATTTCAGAACTCTCGCTTGGTTGGCTGTGAGGCCCAGTTTGACAGTGACGGCTAAAACTTGGGAGGCCGAGGGAAAGTTGAGCTTCTGATCCTTCAAAATTGTTGTCGAGGTGCAGCATAGATTGTTAATCAAGATCACTGGCTACTTTTGATGTAGAATCCTTTCAGCAACCAGGAGATCATCTGGTGTTGTGACCTGCATGATAGAAGTCATCAGTGTCAACGATCTGTTTGAGACCAATGACAGCTCACACATAACATTAGGAAATTACTTTCAAAAGCACTTCCTGTACCCGTCACAAAGCGATAGAATGAGATTGACATAAGATAAGATACAGAAGTCCTGCTCCTCAAAGGTCTCATGAAGGAAGCAAGCACGCTTAAGCTTTGATTTCGATCGATACCTTAAGATTGGTATAAGAACCCTCCGTAATCAGAACTGGGTGCTTCAAATACTCCACTATGGAAACATCATCTGTTACTTCAAGACCCTCCCTGCATGCGTAAAATCTTAGAATGAGTGATCTCGTGGTCATGTAACATAAACGATGATGAATATAACAATTTTGAAACATACATGGACAGCTGCTCTACTTGCATATCTCGTATCTGTTACCTCTCCACAAGCTCAAATCCTTTCCGAAGTAACGCTGGCTCGATGACCTGTTGGCATCCACAGAGTTTTCTTGTTACAGTGGCATAATGTACAGTTTGATCAAAGTAAGATCTATTTCTTGAGCCTCCTAGTTGCATATTCACAAAGTGCGGACTGATGCATGAGGGCTTTCTTGTCCAGCAGGATTCAAACCTGAGGGGTCTGCATTTCCCACAACGTCTTTCGATCAAGAGTCTTTGTGACAAACAGGTCGCTTCCAGCCTGACCCACCACAAACGGTGAACGAAGCACATTTAACGTTGGATATATAATAGAATCAGAGTACTTCACTTCCGTTAGAATCTCAAAATCTTAGTATCTAACAAATCCAATCAAAGCGAGACATTCAGAGTTCATCCAACAATCATTTGTGAATCTCACAAACCTGTTTGATAGTGGCCTTACAGGGCACTCCAAGTACCGCTGCCCCATGAGTCATAGCATCTTTGATGACCTGAAATGAGAAAACGGAGTTGCTTATTAGAATCTGTGCTGACCTAAATGACAAGTTCATCAAAGCCTTAGATTTCGAGTGATCAAGGCAGAGAAGTGCTAACATGAGATAAAGGTTCCACCTGCCTTCAAGATATCGCTGATGAGAACAAGAGGTCGAGCAGAATCATGTATGCATGCCAGTTTTGATGTCTCACTGATCTCCTGAAAATAAACAGTCGGTCACAATATGATATAGCATGCTCAAGTAGGCTAAAGAAAAAGTTCTATTAAACGCACACTCCACTGAATGATAAGGTGTTGTACGCACTGAAGATATAGTGTGAACAAGGTTCTGGACTCTGTGAAAGATCAGATTAAAATCTGAGCACCACAATTGACAGACGCTGAGCCCTCAAAGGGGGCGGGTATATGCGTGCAGATACGCGAGACAGTTTTTGAAGTATCTACGACGCACAACTTATCAACCTGTCAGCTGCAAATGAATAATAATTCAAGCTACATTCTTGCAGTGCAATGATATACCTGCAGCCCACTTCGCACGGAGTCTTGTCGTTCTTTCCCGGGAAGAGCAAATTTTAGTGGAATGCTAATGTTAGCCTCTACACAGACACACACAGCAATCAGGAGAAATGTGTGACTCTGACGGCAAAGTCTGGAAATCAGCCTTTAGATTGTCTGCTTTCTTTGTCCCATCACACGAAGGAAAATCCAAACGACTCAAATCTATGGAGGGTTGTCCTTAACTATCATCAACCACCCTGAACTCCCATTGCGTCTCGCGGAACAATTAAAAGCGGGCATGATAAGCCAGATGATTATCTCTTGCCGGGACTTCGGACAGGGATGCTTGACATAAACTATTCCGAAATCGAAAGAATGAGTGACGTGAGTTACGGCCACGCATCTGCGATCGGTGACAAGTAAACAACATCTACGGTTGAGGACAAACCTTCAAATATATCCCTGTAGGAAGGATCACAGACGACGATAATCTCTCCTACGGCCGCCATACTGGCAAATGTATGAAAGCTGAAGTTCATCCCGGCTGTAAGTTATAATTACGAAGGTGGAGAGTGTAAAGACACTGGACATGACGACTAGCGAAAACAAAAACTGGAAGTTGCAAAATTCTGAGAAAGGAAAAAAAAAAAAAAAAAAAACTTTAAATACCCGGAGCTGCATGAGCAATCGTGCACACAGCATCTCATGAAACATGCAAAGCTGGAAACACCCTGGACCCTTAAAACCCAAAGGAATGAAGAAATCGATAGAAACCTGAGTATAACAATAGTTCTTACCTGTAAAGAGCGATAGGTTGACCCAGCAGCGGCAAATATTGTTTGGGCATGTTTGCCTGCACATGAATGCTCACTCGGTTATCTTGAATAGCTCTAATAGGTTTTCCAGAACGCTAAACCTCCTCTGATACAATCCAGTGCCAGTCCAACTGTGCCCATCATCCACTTCGATTGCTCCAGTAGGTTTGAGGGCTTTCGTTCGGTTCGTCTCCGTACTCAGGTGCTTGCAAACTAAAGCTATACTTCCCGGGAGAGAACTCCAAGAGTGGCTCTGCAACCGTGCTCATCCATAATGTTCGCCATGAGCAATTGAATGAAACCAAACAACCAGCCTCTAAAAGAAATTACCCCCATACGCTTGCCCTTTCCGCCTGCGAGCAGAATCACAGAGACACTTCTCTCTGGTATAGCCTGGACAACCAGATTCAGGAACCAAGAAACAATTTAAAAACTGGTGTCAGACCCTTTATGAATCTAGCTAACATGGTAGTATTTGCGGGCAACTCCTTGTGCTAGAATCTTTTTCCAAAATGACGTCTGATTATAATTTTTGGTGTCTACACCGATTACTTCGTTGAACAATGAGAACGCACCCCAAGAATTCAGAACCTTTTTACCACAGTGCAGCTATTAAAGTAAGCTCTCGCCGCCTTTGACCAAACAAAAACTGAAGAAGGGTCGGCCACGAACATCTTACTGGCGCTTAGAAGTTACAACACTGAGGAATTTATAATTGCAAATACTTGCACATTTTTTCCTGCTTATCGGCATTACACTCAAACTTGTATGTGACGAATGCAGCCTCTTTATCGGCCTCGACGCACCTCGGAGCTTAGATCGTCGTTCTTCGTCGACTGCGCTGTCGCGCTCGCTGAAGCGGGAGAGACTGAAACATAAAAATACAGTTGCACAAGGTCGGTCATCTACAGACGATACAAAAATTTTCCGACTTGACCAATAAGCCAGAGAACTTGATACGAAAGTAATTACAATTAATTGAAATCAAATGGATATCTGGAAGTCGAATTTATCCTGACAAGAACGACGACGACACACCTGCACAAGATATCCAAGAAGCTCCAGAATTCCTCTGGCTTCTGCTTTCGGACAGCCCTCGGCTACTTGAGAAGCAAGCAGCCGAGGCTATACTGCGCGCCCTCTCGAAGGAGGACGCCCGTCGCGTCAAAGCGCATCCGTGAGCCAATTCTCGTCTCCGTATGCTCGTGCAGCTGGACCTCAAATCCAGACCAACCGCGACAGCGCAAGGACATAGCGCCACCATTGCCATGGCTCCGATTCAACCAAACCACCTCCGTCCCTCCTGCAGCTCCACGCTTCGCGCTCGCGCCGATCCCACAACTGACAGTCGATCGATCGATGCGGCAATTGGCGATCGATTCCTCCACAGCAGCAGAAGGAAATCGCCAATTCCCGATTCTGCACGACGACGAGCTGCTAGATACTTTATCTCTTTCGCCATCCGGCCTTGCATTATTCCCGTCGCACATGGTCCGCGACCGGCTGCAACCGGTGGCTTCCGGAGGAAGGGAAGGTTTATCCACCCCCAAGAGGAGACATTGGACCGGACGGCCGGTTGGTTGGACGCTTTTGACTTCCATACTTCGTAGCCTAAGCTCGTAACTGTAGAAGGTCGTGAGACTGAAGCTTTCCAGCAGTTCCAGTCTATTGCTTATTTAAGTTAGCATATGTTCCTATGACTCTTCGTGCACATCGGATATTTACATTATTTTATTTTTCCTACCTATGTTTTTTGAATATTGATGTGCAATCCTATCGACAGTTTGTGAAGGAAAAAAACCAAACAACTTCCTATCCATCTTGATTTGTTCACACCTTTCGACCAGATTTGGTAGCAATTGTAAGGATCGATTTGTTTTGTACGAGCACATTACTCTAGTGATGTAACCACATCAAGTAACATAGTCAGTCAAACCTAATCTTACTTGTTAAACTATGATTAACAGGATAAGAGTTAAGTCTCCCTATTGGGTAACTTTCCCTTGCAAATATATTAAAAAAAAATGATAATTTTTTTTTCTTTTTTTCTTTTTTTTTCTTTTATTATGTAAATAGCATTTAACTCAAGATTAGAATTCTACAAAAAACACAAATATACATACTGCAATAACTTGTTTCAAATATTACAACTTCCAAATTTGTATATCTTTTTTGAAGACTTTGATATTGCAGATATCAAATAACTTCTGAAAACGCATTTATGAAATAAACTCAATTATTGTCAGATCAACACAATGATTGATTGTATGTTTCTATTTCTAAAATATAGAATCTTAGAAAAGGTAAACTTCATTCAAACACGTAGATGATGATCATTGGAAATTTAATATTGTATAAATGAAAGTATACAAAGTTCTTATAATAAAAAATGTATCATATAATAATACACATATGTTATTATTTTATCTTGTATTTTCATGTGAGATTTTATATAATTATGAAAATAAATGATAAAAGTATTTTTTTAATTGATGTTTAAAGTTCAAATTTACAAAAACGTTGTATATTATAAATGTATGATATATATGTTATAATTTTTTTACCAAATACACAATTTAATGATAAATTTAAATTTTGAAAAATAATAATTTATGAATTTTAAAAAAAGAATGACATATTCGATTATCCTAAATTGTTAAAAAATCTATATATTTTAGCACAATACGGTATTATAAAATTCAAAAAAAATGAAAAAACTTTAAGACATCTAAGATAATGATAAAATTTGCAAGACATGTTGTAAATCATAAACATATGAGTTTTTGCAATTTGCATGAGCAAATTTAAACTTGTGTTAAAACTTATGATAATTTAATTTAAATAATAATGATTTGAAAATAAATTTGCAATCTAATTAAATTTTTGTCCAATATATTTTGTTTTCATGTATATTGATATCAACATAAATTTTGAAAGTAACGTATTTTAAGATGAAAAACATACTGATAATGATTGTGCTTTTTCTAATATAGATGTTTTCAACATGTGCAACAAGATAAGACCAATACTATCTATTTAAATCCTAGTGGATTGATGTATTTAACAAATGTTTTTTTATTATCACACTAATTATTTATCTGTAAAGCACACGTATAGTTAACATGACAACTATAGATGGTATATTACAAATCAACTTTATCATGAGTAATCTCTACTGTAATTCTAACTAACTAAAATTTGTTTCATATTTATTTTAATTGATCAAGGTAGAATTAATATAGATTATAAACTCTATTAATAAATCATTTTCAATCTTCAAACTTGTATGTGACATAAATGTATGAGTCATCAAATTAACTTAAGTAATAGATTACTATAGAAAAATTGTAACTTGTGAAATGTATGAAACTTTGATCTACTGCAATGAATTTTCATCTTCCCAACTTAATCAGATATAAGAAACATGAATACGTATTAAAAGACTTACAAACCTTAAAAAACTCACATATTCATTCATCAATCAATGTAGTTTTTTGAAATAGGATTTTAATTTTCTATATATCCAAAATTACACATTTTTTATATGAGGATAGCAAAGTGTAAAAGATATCTACGCTATGATCAAGGTCAATTTAAGATACAAGGCTACTCTCTGTGGTCATATGATGAAAAAACTCAATTTCGAAAACTTCTCAACAGCGAACTCAAACTACAAATATATGTCTGAGCCATACTATACAAAGAACACTTTTGGCACTGAAGTAGATGTTAGTTTGAACTATCTGATATATATTCTATAACTCCATATATCAACCTAATTAGCCATAAATAAATAGTAGGACAACGCAATAGACGCTTCATGTTCATGTCTTAACGGGACATGCTTGAGAATCTGAACAGTGTAACGATATAATTGATTTTACCGAACTTACCTTCAATATTCGTTGCGACATGAGATTGATGTGAATCAATGAGAGCTGTTTCCATTATATAGTTAGATCAATGTTGTGCTACAATCCGTACCAAGAATGATATGAAAACCAAATAATGGGAGGGGAAGAGTGAACAGTATGAGAGTGAGGCAAAAAATGCCAGAACGAAAACCAAGTGGAAAATAGGAATCAGTGGCAATAAAATTAATTTCCCAGACACCATATTTCATTGTTCGTGTGTGTCGGCTTGGATCATAATATTTCTTATACTTTCTACTTGGGAGAGAGTGAGCTTATTCCCAAACCGACCTCGTTGATAATTATGTTATGATGAATCGCACCTTCAGAGAATTAGTCTTGATGTTTAGTATATAATTATTTCTAATTCCAAGGGATATAAAATATAAATAAAAATTGCTACTCACTTAGCACTATCGACTACTTAGTATGAATAAACTTTACTAAAAACTTACCATATGGTTTTCAAGTTGCAGAATCATTATTTGATCATGGTTTACTTGATTTAATTGTTCCACGAAATCTTTTAAAAGGAAGGCCTCACAGGGAGAAATCCCATAGCGTACCGTGTCCACGTGACCAAAGCTCAGAGCTTCATTTGGTGTAATTTTTGCAAAGGGCAGTAAATGGGCGGACGCTCTCGTGACGCCCGTTGGAAGGTGAAAGGAAGATGAGGACGGAGAGCATCGGCAGCGTCGTGAGAAGCTTGTGTGGCAAGAATGGAGCCAAGTTCTGAATATCCATGAGGCCTTGCTCCGACGTCCTGTAGCGACGGACCTTATCCGTCGACAGACGACGCTGCTCGACGAGCGAGGCTGAATCAAGACAGCAAGACAACAGCACGGAGCTCCGAGCGACGAGGCCAGAAGCGGAATTTTGTTCCTCGATTCAAACTGCCACCAGCCTAGCGTGCGAAGAAGAAGCATCGACCATGGCAACTCTTTGTGTCTCGTCGATTGTGCACGGTGCCATGCCAGCTGGTGAGTTCTCTTCTCCGCTGCAGTCTTTTGAATTTCTGTCTGTTGCGCTGATCTCCTCAAACTTCTTCACGTCCTCGGTGGAAGCGGAATTCTCGTTTCACCGGTCACCTCTCTCGAATTGCATTGGTCGCGGAATCACGTCTTCGTTTAAAATTATCCAAATGTTTGGTCCATGGAACCAAGATTGCGGCAAGATTGATTGCTGCAAATGGTGTGTCAGTCTCACTGAAAAGAAATAAATTTGAGAGTTGGATGAATGTCACCATATAAAGTCGTCGGTACGTTTTCTGATGTGTTATCACTATGGTGCCACGTTCAAGCTGCTCATGTACTAAAATATTGAAATTCCGTCTCTTAAGCACTTGGCCTAGCTCGGAACCATAAACTGCAATTTTTGTTGTCGGAATGAACTTCTAGCGTCGCTCAAGTTCTTGCTGAAATCTACACATTCAGCTCAACCAGGGTCGTTCCACGACCCCGTAGCTTAAAAAAAGTGGGAGACCGCTAGCATTGACTTTGATTTTGAACTCTGCTTTCCTTTATACTTAATCACATTCACTCTTTCGCCTGGAACCTTAGTTAGGAATTTGACTGGCATTGTTCAATTCGTTGGCCAAGAGTCCTTAGTCAACACTTATCAGGTGGAGCAGATGATCGCACTCTAGAGATGTCCTCTCGATCTGTAGAAAGAGCCGCGTGGAAGCTATAGGATTTCACCTCTTTGTTTCTGTCCAGGATTGATATTCGTAATGCTAGTCGCAAGATCAAACTATTGTGCGCAACTCTGGTCTGAATGTCAAGCTTTTCACGCATTGTTTTAGTTTCTTTGGGTTTTGATACTCATCCTTATCCCTTGACCTTGGCTTCCGTCTCTGTGTGGCAGGGCATGTATGCTCAGCAGTTTCTTCTGGACAACAAAAGCTCCATGCTAGAGCGAGACTGTCCTCCACATCGTCATTGTATTTTGGTAGCTCCAACTTGGGTGAGCTCTGCCGTCTTCCTCACACCCACCGCATTTTTTTTCAGAAGTAATTATCATCATCACGAAGATTTGAGGGAAGCAACGAGAGATTACTTACCCTTTTCTCAGCCCAAATCCGTCAAATCCTCAAGTTACACATTGATCTATACCCAGTCTTCGCGAAAAAGTATTAATGTTTCTCTCTTGAGCATTCAGTTATCCTGCACTCCATTCTAGATTTTTTTCTTTACTTGCCAAAAAAATCATGAAGCTGGAACGGTAGCGCTGAAAACTTTGCTCTGTACTCACTTGTAGTAGCATTGAGGTCCGAATCGAAAGGAGTCAAACAAGTTGCCACCGTAGAAACAAGGTGTGAGAGCAAGACAGAGGAGACCAGAGGACCCAGCGCCGATATTTGGATCGGACGATTAGCGATGGTCGGGTTTGCCGCTGCCATCACATCGGAGATTGTCACCGGGAAAGGAGTACTAGCGGTAATCAATCCTTAACCAAAAGCTCCTATTTCTTAGCGTGTGTTTGTGGAGCGCATTAGGGTAGCCTTGCACTGTTCTGACAAGCTTCTGCGTTTTCTACAGACCGCAGGTTTGAGCACTCCCCAACCCACTCTGGCTTTGGCGTTAGCAGCACTGGTAGGAGGATTGACAGCGTTTGGAGTGTTCCGATCTGCTGGAAGTGATTAATTGGACTTGATGTTCCAGAAACAACACATTGATGTAGAAAGCTGTTCAATACTTGCCACTAGTGTAGCCTTTTGTAGAGACTGTTGCCTCTTTGAGTCTCTTGTCTAGGAATTGATGCGGGTAAATTAGATGACAACAAGAAGTTTTTAGAACGGGCAACTAGACCAACGCGCCGTTCTCTGCAAGTACTACTGCACATCCTCACGAGTCCGTGACTGTCATTTGAATTGAAAAAAATACTTCATGCTTGTGTGAATTTGACCGAAGAATTGCACTTGAGCTGTGAAACTGAATGAACTCAGATGAAATAGGCAGCGTTTGACCTGATATTAAGAATGCCGAGACTCCTTAGTTCTGCCACTTTCTGCAATATGCCTAGAATAATCATAAGAACATTCACAATAAAGTTCCTTTGGAGTTCGGGAGAACTCTTTGTAAGAGGAGTGTCTCCACTTCTTACTAACCTGTGTGAGACATCCAGGAAGTCTTAGCGCTGGTATGAAGCTACAGCATTGATCTACATTTATTGGTATGTTATGAACATCTTTAGGGTAATGTAATTTTCAAAGGTCTTTTGTCGAGGGTGGAATATGGTACGCTACGATCGTAACTACCTACGAACAACTGGAAGTGTAGATTTTTTAATCTCGGTAATAGCATATTCGCAAAACATATCCATAGCAAAGTTTGAGAAAAGTATGATCAAGGTCTATGGTACTATCATCAAACGTGCCTTCAGGATACACACCGACATATGTACGAAGAAATTCGTATACAATACCGGATTGCTTTCCTCCGTGAAACGACGACCCTGTGAATGGTCAGACACACTTGGACGAAGAATCTAATATATTAGGTAGGAGAGGACTTGTAACAGCGGGAAAAATTAATTCCATGTTGTATGGAAAGAAACAGTTGAAGTGAAAACACTGATGTAGAGCCTCGGATGATGATGTGACGTGCAGTCTTAAGACGGAAACTGAGAAAAGTAAGCATTGTACATTGGGCAATGAAACCATAAGAAACCTATCTGACTGCAGAAGCAAAAAGGCACAAATGCTACGATAAATGGAGATATTTGACCTTCTATTTTACCACGGCTTTGGAAGGAGTATACATAATTTTCCAATCAGACGTTGACGGAAAATGTGAATATTCTATCCACATTTCTATGGACCAGAGTCCTGCAATCTACTTCCCAAGTAATCCATGTCATTTTGGACCTACAAAGACAACGAATATAAACCTTTAATTCAACTATTTGAAGCCACTTGCAGAGGGCTGACTGATTCTGACATCGATTATAAGGCCAACGCAATCCTCAGAGTGTCCTACAATTACAAGATCGGTTGTTTCAGCCACAGAGGCACAGTTATGGTTCACCTCCACAGATAGTCCGCTCTCATAGTAGAACTTACGATGGACGAAGATTTCTGTGATAGCTAAACCGCTTTTACCTACTAAAGAACCTTTGCTTCCAGCAACATAGGACATAAAAAATGAGGAGGTGACGGGGTCGAATGAGAAGGACCTAATATTACCAGACACAGCTCGCGGATATGTGCGAGCCAGCTTTTTGGCAAGGGCAATGTTAAGTTCGCCATCATCACCAAACAATGAAAGTTCAACAACAGAACCTGTCTTGGTGTAAAAGGCTTTATACTCCCAGCCTATCCAAGACTGGACATGAGCATCTGCAGCCTTTAAGACTCCATCCACTGAATTGTCAGATCGCTCCAGTTGAGGCTTTCTAACGACACGGGAATTGGTCAAAATCTGGCCAGACTCCTCAGATGAAGACTGTCCTTGGAAACCGCCATCCGTGATTTTCCAGTCAAGACCTGTTGCCTTTGATGAGGACCTAGCCCTACTGCAATCCATTCCAGAACGTTTTTGCAAGCCTGTGTCACAGGCAGCGACGCTCACACTAGGACCGGCACCTTCAGTACCTTCAGCAACATCTGCAGCGCTTTCGAGCACTCGATCTCTGAACTGCCAAAATTTCTTACTTTTTTTCTTATTCTCTGTCGAAATAAAGAACTCAGTCAGCATAGAACCGCACCTGAGTCTCCTGCTTTCCTTCAACCTCTCCGAAAACGCCTGATTAGAGCTGAAGTTCGGAGGAGTATAATAATGGTAGCTGAGCACAGTCTTGTTCTGCCATTGCTGTCCACCTGGGACAGTTTTTAGACCACACCAAAAGTTGTCAAATGTGATGGTCTCAAAGAAGAGAAGCTTTTCTGGATCCACAGAGCGGACAGCTGCTTGCAAGTTTTCGTAGAACCGAGCTAAATTTCTGGAATCTGCAACCCCTGGCAGCAGCAACAAAGGATCTCTGAAGATGTCTCCAGGCCAAGGCTCATTCATGAGTTCATAGCCTATGACGCCAGGTTCATCTTTGAATGTCTGGGCAACCGTCGTCCAATATCGTGCCAGTAAATCTCCCCAACCCCACTTGTTTTCGTACAAGTCTTGGAACGCTCTGGAGACTGCGTATGAAAAGTAATACCACCACCATGTATGTTTGTTGCAACGCTCAACAGAAGGCTCCCATCCATCTTTCTCCCACTCAGACGGCCATCTCTTACCAAGAGGCTCTGGAAAAGATGCAGGATACCGCTTCGCGTTGTACGATTCCTTTGACCTCGAATGCCTTCGCTTACTAGCACTGAATGTTCTCTCCAACTCCTGCTTGATTGCAGCATGATCTGAGTTGTCTTCAGGGAAACTTTGCTGAAAGTCAAGCTGGACCGGATACGGACTAGTGTGGTCCGTATCATCAAATATCCAAGATGGCAGTCCTTCACCACAGAACTGTGATGCAAACAAATCTTGATGGAACTCTAGGAGGGTGTAGATTCCAGCTGAGTGAAGCTTCCTGACTATTGTCTGCATAATCTCCAGGTACGTAGAATTGACTACACCACGTTTAGGCTCTAAGCCAGGCCACATGACACCCAACCGGACGACGTTCATGCCCCATTCTTTGAGAAGCGCAACGTCGGCATCTGTGAATGACAGCTGCGGATCGAATGAACCGATTTGAGGGTGCCAAGGAGGACCTTTCATGACAACGTTCAGTCCATGAAAAATCCTCTCTCTACCGCTCCCGTCCTGAATTCTCCCAGTGTCCGGATCAACATGAAATTCAGCAGCGGCAATTCGACCATCTCTGAAAGCCTTCCTATCGTCCAGTCCCCATGCTGACGCCACAAGCAAAGCGATCAAAGTGGATCGCAATAGAACGAGCCGATGCGCAGACTTGAAGGACGCGGAGAAAGATCGCATTATGGCGAATTCAATACACCGAGCTTCACAGCTGTTTCTGTGAGGTTTCATGATTCCAACGCCGAAGAAGCAATGCTTAAAATTAGTCTGACATGTACTAGGCTGTCAGGTCAGCGAGGGCTCCTTCGCATCTCAAGGCTCGATACCATCTAACAGAATTGGCACGTTCGTTACTAATATCGAATCAAGAGATTTGCCGTCCCTTATTTCAGTGGTCCAAGACAGACAATCTCCTCCATGCATATCTTCAGATTCCCCACAACATATTTGCTTCATTTAAAAGTTTGTGAAGCCAATTGTACTCGGCGAGATTCACGTTGCATGGGCCACTCGTGCCCTGTGAACAGATTCGCGATGCATGAAGCAGAATTCCATCAACTGCTGAGAGTAACGTGTGGGCAATCACTTTTACATTGCTTGTACCCTAAACACAAGGAATTCGAGCGTGGAGTCAAGATGGCACACGGCACAAAGTCCCGCGCTCTGTCAACCGTTCAGATGAAAAGAACTCTTCTGCTCTGGGTCCAGTGAACAGCGTTTGCAAGCGATGAGTCCAAACCTCTCCACGTCGGAAACTTTATCTCATGAGAGCATCTGTATGAAAGACCCGGACCCGCAACTTCCGTCGCCTGCAAACGGTGCCGTGCACCACCACCAAGTAGAACGAATGAAGAACCATTTGCCCGACTGGAGTCCTCCTCTGCCTTGCCACACTCCGTCCTGATTCGCCCCAATTTTATGATTCAACAATTTTGGCTTCCAGATCCGCCCGCAGCTTTGTGCTCGTGTCGAATCCCAGGCAGTGCATGCATGCATGCACATGGGAATGAAACCCCGAGAATCACAGCTTCTCAACTGCACTTCAAATTCCTCCTCCTCCTCCTCCTCCTCCTCTTCTGCTGCTGCAGGATGAATAGTTTCTTGACTGACACCAAGACTGCGAAGGAGGAGGCTCGTGGATCTTCGACGACAACGAGTAGTGCTGCTGCTGAAATGGTTCGCGACTCGCTCGAAGTTGGAACCTCAACTCTGCCGTCGCTCGCCTTCTTCTTTCGATGGATGATCCTCTTGAGATCTCTCTCGCTCCCTCCCATTTTCAAAGTCTTGAAACTCTTCCTCGCAGCGATCAGCTTCCCATGCCATCCCCGAGAGCCTGGCCCCCAGCCCCACTAGGTCGCCCCCGAGAGCCTCCTCTAGTTCCGCCCTTGACCTGACCAGGGTCACGGCCTCCCCTCCGTGACTCCTGTCAGGCCCCCGACCCCCAATCTCCCTCGGCCTTCCACGAGTGCGCCTCAGAACGAGCCCAATTGACATCTGCTCCCATGCAAGATCGACGCTTCTGAGAATACTATGACACGTGCAACATCTAAATCATCGAAAGGCTCATTTCTGCCTTCCACTCTCTCGATTCTCGTGTCGCTTTGTTCCAGTTTGTTCTCGTCGCCTGTGTTCATGAACGTCGACCTTTCCTTCTTTTCTTCTCACATCACCAAAGTAGTGATATTGGTGGGTTCTCAGCGAAATTTCATGATCTTAGATATACTTAGGACAATATTGAAATATTTGAACCAAATACTACGTGACACACCGATAGGAAATCGCCTAAATCTAAGCTTTGAAAGCGCGCATTAAAAAATTGACAGACACATTACAGTGGTAAAGCAGATAACTGTATAAAGTTATTTTAGGTGTAAATAATGCACAATGGAAGATGTCACCAATCTAAATTTTGCTTCATGTGAGCTGCTGTTTTAGGTGAACTATGGACTATTTTCTCGAATTGTGCGTGTGATCCTTGCGGTTGGGCCATGCTAATCTTATCTGTATCTTTCCAATTTTATAAGTAGCTACGTCCGCCATCTTCGAGTAAGTGATGTGTAATGATTGTATGATGAAAATTTTCAAAGAGTCAATCAAACATCATGCCACAAAAATTCCTTCCTCTCTATTGATTCAAAGTGAAATTTTGGGTTTCTCGCAGCTTTACGGCTCAATTAAGAATAAAAAAAAATCCAATATTTTTTAAAAAATTATGAAGATTTTTTTTATATGTATCTGTGAGAACATTGATGATGAAAAGGCCCGACGGCATGGAGTGCGCGAGGAGCTTGTTCGGGTATCGTGTGCGGACCAGCCATTTCGAGGAATTTAGGTTCGTATATATGTTCCATGACTATTTTCATAGCTTGCTGAACAATATTGTCGCACCCAATAGTTAAAGGTCTGAATTCCCTGGGCTTGTTAGGCATGGGTATCCTAAGATCCTTTCTAAGAGAAAAAATTGGTGTATACCTCATTTGGACATTAAATTTTTTTGGAATTTTCAGTTTGTAGCAAAAAAATATTCGTAAATTTATCACTTATTATAAATTGTAAAAAAATTCATATTCGGGTTGTACAAATGATAAAAAAATCTTTCAAATTTAATTACTGAAACGTGTCATGTTGCAAAGTCATCACATTAACATTTATTTCCGAACGATTTCACTATGTCATTGCAAATCTACTCTAAACTATTTAGTTTTTACTAGTAGAAGAAACAAGTATAACATTATTAAATTTCAAATGTGTAAAGCTTATTATTGTTGATAAAAAGTGAACAGATTCTTGAACACAATAGCTATATTCATATGATTAAAGTTATTTGATATTTTACAGAATTATATTCTGTAAAATATATCTCATTAAAATTCAATAAATGATCATGGTATTAAATTTTTATATACTTTTTGACATATGTACTATGAGATTTTTACTTGACAGGCTTTGTGGATAAAACTGTAATATGATTCCTTCGTGATTAGGTATATTAACTTCTTGTATGAAATCTTTCAATAAAGAAAAATTTCATATTGCATATTGGCAATCTCAACATGAATGACCAGATTTACATTTATGACAAGTTTTTAATGTTTTGGGTTATAATACTATGAGACATCTGTTATTTCACAGTGTATTTAATGAATAATGTTAATATAAAATTTTATTAATTTATAATATAGTATGCATATTTTTCACGTAAATTTGTACGTTTGTTTGGATAAACATTAATTATATTAATTGAATAATGACATGTGAGTAATATGTGTTTTTGTTGAATGTTGATTGAACCTATTAATTAATTGAGGATGATGCATCAACAATCCGTGTGTTTGTTATATAAATATATTATGTCATCCATCTATTATGATTGATATGAATGATAAAGATGTAAATTTTATTTTTTTATATCTTTTGAGAAAAATTAATATTGAAAAAAATATTAACATCATAGTTATCTTTCATCTCAAGGCTTTGTAAATAAACCTTCAAGTGATATGCTTTGCTATACTCATTGCTACAATTATTCATGTTTAGTTGTCATTTTTATCATTTTTTGGAAGATTATTCACATCTCATACTTTAGATTTTGCAAAATTTATTTTTTAAAACTTTCATTTACATTCAAAAGTACAAAAAAATTATTTAAAATTAATTCATGCGAAAAAAACATACAATTTTTTTGAAAATTAAATTTAAATGATTTATTCTATGATTAATCAACATATATACATCAATGTACCAAAACTTCTCTTAATTTTCAAAATATTGTAAATTTTTAAAATTTTTGCAATCATTTTTCATTTCAAATTAAGTAAGTTATATCTAAAACTTAAATTAGAAATCAAGCGTTCTTTATTTTTGCTAGATTTTTTATATTTCCATATTTCAAAAAATTCATTACAAAATTTAATTTATTTTTATTTTGTATATATAATCCAAATTATTATTTGATTTGTAATGTCATAAAAAATCAAAACAGTGAATTTTGCCAGATACTTATACATCATTGGCTTCAATATTAACGTATGATTGTGTATAACACATCTTATTGAGTTCAATGTAATTTTTAGAAAGCAATTAATAATCTTTAACATGTGTCATATATGGATTTTCAAAACTCTGCAAATCTGCAAAAACATCCAAACAGCCGCCATGAATTGAATATTTTTAAGTCAAGTTCGAAGTCTGGATCAATATTAAAAAATTTCAGGTAAAATAAACTTTAACTCCAGACCAAAAATATTTATTTTCATTGCATGACTAGAAATTTGTGTGTGCATAAAAAGGTTTTGTTTTAATTATAATATACTTAAGACTGACGGTTGATTTCAAAGTTACTTGTTTACGTATAATTAAATTTCACTGTCTAATTTAATGTCTAATCTTTGGTGAATGCTAATCCATTTTTACTTGTTTACATAACATAGAGTTCAGCTTTTCTTACTTGATACATACTTTTTCTCTCGAAACAAATACACAAATATGTAAATACAAGAATGTTCTTCACGTTCAAGACCTCTCTTCTCTTAGTCAAACCTTGCGTGACTGTGTGATAAAGTGTGAAACTAAACATGATCAATCAATTATGCTACGATCGTTTGCAAGGTCAAAAGTGGATTATGGCCTCAAACCATGCATCGAAACAGAGCGTCAATCTCAAATGCGATTGGTGCAGACATTGAAAACATATTTTAGAAGCCCTATCTAAGATGGCAGTCGCACTTGTTACTACGAATAACGGAGAATACACTTCCGTGTTTGATTCTTATGATACCCCGTGGGAGATTTTCGAACGTTCCAATGCCGTAGAGAAAGAATGTCAGCAAATTGGGCTGACGTGTGAGACACATTTCAATTGTAATATCAATTTTTATATTTTGTCCCGTTGAAGTGAAGCATACGTCCCACACTTGACAACAAGGCCAGAAAGTTATGCATCTCTAACGCAGTCCAAAAGATTGTATTGCCATACTTTGAAGAAATAATTGCATGGTCAATGTACATGATTCCCCACATTGAAGAGCTTTTTGGAAGTAAAAAATGCCAAGGATCAGAAAAAAAACAAATTTTCATGTTACAAGATATCTAAACGTACAAAATACATGTTACTTCCTCAACTTCAGGTTCTCATGTTTTCACTGCTTATTACTGCTCCTCTTTCTTCGCTTCTTATTCACTTCATTTGCACGCTGAAGTGTCTTCTTGCTTGCGCTAGATCCACTCTTGCATGGTTTGCATCTTCTCCTGTACAATGCCGTTCTCCTTCTATTGTTGTCATGAGTTTTAAACTTCCAATTTAGTTTTCAATTTCCATGCACTCTTCTGATGTTTCACTTGGACCTGTTCTAAAACTCAAGAAAATGCTCAACTTGTTTCAATTTAGAAGCATATTCATTGACCAAAAAATAAATAAATAAATATATATATATATATGTATGTATATATATATATATATTGTGTTTCTGATTTTGGCACAGAAATTGATTTTCTCAAAACAAGAAATATTTTTTCAATCAGGCTAGGCATGACATTTGGTTACTTTATTGGTTTTCAATACTGAAGAAATGTTTAAAATTTGTCATTGAAGATATACTTTAGAAATGATGTAATTATATGTTTGAGGAATATTATTTATTTTATAGAATATTTTATAAAATCGTCCGTGATAGTTAAATTTTATCTAGAAATTCTTAGGAGCTAAGTAAGATATTTATTTAGCTTATGTTAGCTTCATCACAGTTGGTTAGGTTCATTAGATTGTCAATATATAAGAGAGTTCACAAAAGCTCTTGTGATACTTTTAAGGTAAATCTCAGTAAAATCTAAGATTAACCATAGACGTAACTTACTGCGATGAACCACATATGTCTGGTGTTGGCTAACTTTGCGTGTGCAATATTGTACTGACTTTGTGTGTGAATGTGTTTTCAAATTTTTTTGTGATAATGGATATTAGAGTGTTAGGATTGGATAAATCATATGTGAGAGTAGATGAGAGAACTGCAAGATGACAGACTTTGAAAACCGAGACAGATATCTTTGATGGTCATTAAATATCAAAATTTTAAATGAACATTAATTTGACCAGAGCTGAAAGATTGGGAGCAAGCCAGGGTAGCTTGCAAGTGAGTTACAGCAAGTGTATATTGCGGTAGTAACTTGAGGATTGAGATCAAAAGTGATGTTGAACAAGAGTTAGAAAGTGCACAATTTTCTAAGTTATTTAAAATAGAAAAAGGTAGCAAGAAGAATTAAAGAGTGAATTTTGCTCTTTGCTTCTTTTTTTTCTTCCTTGATTTTGGACTTAAAATTTGTTTGATCTGTTGGAGTATGAAAGACGATAGCAAGACGTATCCAATGCAGAAAAGTTAAAAAACAGCAAGCGTAACATATTACCATGATGTATTTAAATTATTGACAAGATTAAAATTTTGAAAACTATAGATCTAAATCAAAAACACATCAACGCATAACATATTAGTACAATTAAAACAAAATCATGACACAACGTCAAAAATTCAGATATGTTATGAATTATGTTGCATGCAAGTACAGACCGTTGCAAACAAGACATATGATTGTGTTGAAACGGATAAATTGCTATTGTGAGCATGAAAAACAGTAGAATGAGGATTTTGGAGCCAAACAATTTTTGTTAATTTATCTATATATAATACATTTATAAAATTTTTTTCAAAATATTTTCACATTTTGAATCGAGTGAATGATTATGAAAATTATGTTCTTTTTATTAAAAAATAATTGTATCACAAACAAATCTAAGAAAATGTTGTATGTCTTTTCAAAACTTAGCTTCAAGATGAAACTTTTCTTGTAAAAAGATCTAAGTTCACATTCATATTTTTGTTGATCTCGTCATTAATTTTCTGAATTTTGAAGTGAAAATTAATGATGGGAGAAATATACTTCATCTCCTAACCTTAATAACTTTATCTTAAGAGTCATTGTTACATGTGTTTCTTCAATGTGGTAGCTCAACAATGGATTATAATATAGTTCAACTTGCTTTGTTGATGTATGACATATCAAAAAATGATGATGATTATTTTAATTTTATTTTTTGAAAAGAAATTGAATTGAATGCAATCCAAGATCAACCATATTCACAAAATGAAGAAAATATATAATTTTCAATAAAGATAAATCAATTTCCAATAATAATTTTTTTAAAAAAATACGGTAGTAATTTAAAATGTGGTCAGAATGATCAAATTGATATGAATTATTGTGTGAATTTAAAACTGAAGTACTTTTTTTAATCAATGTGTTTCAAAAATTTGATCTTGAAAAATATGACTTGATTGATAATAAATTATAAATAGACTTATGCGACATGCAATTCATTTTGAAATGACAAAGATATATGAAATCTATATAATGTTTGATTTTAATATACTATATATTATTAATAATTTTGTAGTATCAAACAAATTAATTATGAAAAATGATCAAC